GGTTAACGTGGTATTCAACAATTATGTACAAGTGTTTATAGCAGTTTGTAATATTCAGTGTTTAGCATTCAGTTAAAGGTTGCTAATTCTAAGCCATAAACGATCAACACGTAAAATAATTAAGCTTCTAACTAGCAGCAAACGAGATTACAATACCGCACGTATTTGGAATACGCTGGCCTCTTGGCTTTAATAATTGCCATTGTGTTCGAAATTGTGCTTAAATTGAATTGTTGTAGTTTAATGGCATTATGTTTACATCGCGCTCTTATGCAACGTTAGCTTCTATATTCGACTGCTGCGTGGACCTCGGAATTACAATCCATTGCCGATCTTTAATTTGGATAAAGTACATATTATTATTCCAAATTATATTTTATTTCATCATCCAGATATTCTGTGCTAAATATGTTTATTCGTTCAGGGTTCCCAGTATCATTAATAATAAACAAATATCTTAGAATAGATTGTATGCATTCACATAAGTGTATACTTATAAGTATATTGTACTTATAACCATTTGTTTTAATATACTTGTACTAATATATATTCTTTTTTCGTATGTTGGTACCAGGATTAGTGTACGAAGCAGCTGTGGGTGTCTATTGATCTATAGAGATAAATTCTTCATTTATGGTTCCAGTAAATGTACGAACTTGTTCTTAGTAATCCAATTAACCTGCGGCTTATCATTTCTCTTAGAAAGTTCTAGTGGGCGAATACTATCTAGGAATGTACTGTGCGTTTAATGTAGCAATAAACTCATACTAGTTGTATAATAAATGAACTTAATACTTTTCCAGATACCACAAAGTCTTTATGTGTCCTATATACCTATATAAATAAGTAATAATTTAAAAGAAAGTCTTATATCCATTCTATGACGGTTTGTAGTATAATGCAACTATTATATTAGTCGGTGTACACTAAACAAAAAATGCAGCATTGAAAGAAACTATTCTGTTCTTGGTGTTACTTGCAAACACATACGGACCTAATACGGGTGACAAAACTTGCTTTACCCAATTAATTCCGATTCCTTGTAGTATGAGTGAATTTTGTATAACAATTTTTAAAATTTGGACTATTCACAAGAACTTTATTGATTTGAATACAACAATACACCTTGTATATTATATTTTCTTTGGCAATTACGACTGATTGAAAAGAAAATGGACAGAACTAACGAATTTAATTTAACGAGCAAAAGCAAGTTGTGTGTGATGAATGTGATGATATTGTAAAAAGTTATCGAATATTTAGTAATTTAACCAAACATTATCTGTGAATGTAACAAATCTCATCACTCACAAGAATTTCATAATTTTTTTATGTCTTCGCAGATCCTGGTCACTTCTATCAATATATTCGTTAGGGACACAATAACAATAGCGAAAAATGTGGAATTGTTGAATATACTTTTACATAACCTGCTGCTTACTTTTATATTTATTATGATGATCTCAGCTTTAGAGGCTCTAATGTCGTTAGCGGTGCGTCAGTTCAAACAAGAATAGCGAGTTGTAAAAAGTGCACACTTAACTACATTAGTCAAATGTCATCGGCATAAAAAAAAAAATCTATCATAAACGGTGGATGATATCAGTAAAGAGTCGATGTTTAGTAGCTTTTAGCGCGCATCTATCAGTTTGACAAACCCTGACAGCTATTTACAAGGTAAATTAACGTCTGTATTAGCAGTTAGTATGTAACTAAGCAGGCATTTCCTTGCTTATGCCATGCGGTAATAACAAGCGCTGATAATTACGGATACAGCACATTATTGTTGCAAGGGCAGCTTATCGAATTAGGACAAGTTCGATGGCTTCCATTCAAATTGGATGTCACGTGGATACCAGCTATCATGTTACTGTTACATAGTTTCAAAGATTAAACAGATTTGTCAACACATGTCGCCTACCACAAAAGTAGTTCATGCAGTCTACCGATATTATGGGAACTGTTTAATGAAATTTATATCTTTACTTATTTAAGCGAATCAGTTAAGTTGTTCTCGCTCGCTTAAAAACTGTGGTGATAATAACGCGCTATTATATATTTACAATTCTTAAATAAGTATATCGGCGAAGTAATGTAAACTTGTGTCTTGCAAGAATATCGAAAACATAAAAAAACATTAATGACTGATCGACTTAACAAATGTTTTCTTTCAATAAAACACTTGGCTTGATGAAAACAAACCTTGACATAACCCTCCAGCCTTCTGCCGTTCGTCGACTGTAACAAATAAGCACCTTTTTTTTTTTTTGACGCTGAGAAATGCATTCCGCATACCCGCTTTACCCTGCGCGAGCTCCACGGGTTATGTGGGACTCTCCCCTGCGGACCAACCCCAGAATGGGACTGGTCAAAGAGCAGAGGCCTACCCACTAAAACTCAGCGATGTCCCTCACTGCGGGGGATCAGCGCGCGGTAACGGTCCCCAACGGGACCACTTCCCGCGCATGCCGTCCCCGCTCGACCCACCCCTTAACAGGGCGGGTCCCGTCTCGGGTTAGGGAAGGGCTCAGGAACATTCGAGTCCAACCCCAGACAGGACAAGGAGCGTGCAATGCCTGGCGAGCGCGCTAACCCGCCAGACTTGCCCCCTGTCAAAGGCAGGAGATGCGCAATTGAGCATCTCCCACCCTTGCCCGTCTAAGAGAGGGAATTCACACGGACTGAACCCTCGTGAATCCCTCACCCCGATAGCCCCGGATACCAATGTCCAGCCCAGCGTGCACCGAACCAGTCACCGGTATTCCGTTCCTTAGTCGCGCTCTGATAGTGGCCCCGCCGAGGCCCGATCACTCCACACACCGAACGGTGTGTGGGGCAGTCCGGCCCCGACGGCCCCATTACCAGAGAGCAAGATGGAAAATTCCCTCACCAGCATACGCCGGCCGACTCCTCGGTTTTCCTCACTACCAGCTCTCCGAGCCTCCCTGCCGATCGTAACCAGCAGGGTTGCAAGGCGAGAAGGTAACCTTCGCGGATTCAAGACCTCGAGTAACAAATAAGCACCTTCATTATAAATGAACACTTGCTTGCTTATGTATGACGTAGTTGAAGACCTCCGAACATTCATTTAAAGGTAGTGAAACCTGAAATCGACAAAAGTTAAAATTCAAGTCAAAGGCAGATCCACAGTTATAAGCACACGATGAGCATGCCCACATACCTAATACATAGTTATACCCTTATCATGGTTTACGCGGGCACGTACTTGGCCTATTTTCGGGTAGCTGTGACCAGAATCTTTTTGAGATCTGCATCTGCCCCTGATTCAAGTTGTGGCGCCTCTGATACAGTTTGTAGCATTAATACAACTCTTTTGTATACTTATTATTTTCCCCATTCAATGATTTACCCAAGTCCTACTTTGTAAATCAGAGCAAAACACCAGAGGCGCACGTCATGTGATTTACCTTTCACCGGTTGCTTATTTGAATTTCGCAATTGTTATTACCAGCCGGCGTATACCAAAACATAAGTCAGTAAAGAATGCTATGTCAATATCCCCACGCATAACATAAAGTGCCTGTCAAAGTAAAGTGTATTTGTTAGAAAAACCATGTTCTAGCAGCAATGAATAGGAAAACAATGAGTTTTGAGTCATAATTACCATATTTGCATTACCAAAAAAAACATTATTTAAAGAAAATGTATATCGGTTCATGTTTTAGTTTTTTTTTTTTATGAAAGTTAACTTATGTGCGAGTGTTAACTTAGACATGAAAATCGGTTGAGCCGTTTAAAAGATGTGGGGGTTAAAAATGGGGAATAATAACCGAATGTCTGCAAATATACTCGAGTGGGGTGAAAGAGAATATTGATGACTTAATCGAGTGTTCTTAACTTCGGTTGATCAGAAATTATTACGAGTATATTATAGAGTTGAATAGGAATATAAAGATTAAGTAACAATTATTAGTTATAGAAACAAAAAATAGTAATTAATAAGTAAAATGATAGCGAACAAGCTTGACCTCAACTGTAATATTTAGCTTAAATTTTTAAGGAATACATTATAAGAAGTATGTACCTATAAAAAGTTTTAAATAAGATAATTAATTGAAAAAATAAAAACCCCTAACGCAAAAACCTAAGTTCCCTTTATAAAGTAAAAAATAATCAAAGAAACTCGATCTTAAAGTTGCTAAATACGTATTAATAATTAAAAAAATATATACGTTGCGTTGGGGGACTGCTCCAAACCTCATGTATTAATAACATTTAACAAGTTATATGTGCAAATTTTTAGCTAATTACTAAATAATTCTTCACACAAGTCTTAGATATTTAAAATTATGTAGTATTTTGCTTCAGTGTTATAAAATGACTTGCAAGTGACGTGTGTGCATTGTAGCGCATAGTAACCTTGTACTGGCGTTTGGTAAATTTATAATTTTGTGTGTATGGCTTCCTCTTCGTTAAATCTGTTGTTTTGTAATCTTTATTTTATCAATGTTAAAACAAGCTAGTAATGTTAAGTTTCGCGTATATCATCTGGCATACAAAAGATTGTAACGTGTGTGTTTGATCCGTTGTATTTTTTATCATCCTTTCGAGGATACCTCTCGCCCTTGAATTTTAAGTGTTTATTTTTCGTCATACGACTTGCCATAAATTGTTTCCTCTGCGTCTCGTCTTTTACATCTGTTCTCTTTAGTTTTCAGAAGAATTGATATTCTAATTCTGACACATATCTGTCGATTCTCTAAAATTTAAGTTATTCTTCTTAATTTACTAAGGATAATATAAAAACAAAAATTCGTTTAGTCTTTGCATTTTCCATAGCCGCTGAGTAAATTTAGTTAAGATACCTATGTTTTTTGTAACCAAGTGTGCTCTCAATTCCTGTTCTGTAGTGGTATCAAATAAGGGTGTTAGACCATGAATGTTTAATTCTATCAAAGATTACAAACCGTATTTGTGGATTCCCATATCATTTACGGCGAATTACTTATATTATAGCCGAAATATTTTTTTTTTCACAGGAATAAAGCAATCGCCGACTACCTGGGCAGTAATGGCTACACGGACGCGCTGGAAGCGTTCAAGAAGGAGGCCGATATGACCGGCGAGATGGACCGCAAATTCGGGGGTCTACTCGAAAAGAAATGGACCTCGGTCATTAGGCTACAGAAGAAGGTAATAAAACCACACTATTCGTAAATTCCGCATGAAATACCGACCGTTATTAATATAGAATTAGGGTTACCACGAAGAAACAGTTTTAGTACGGAAACGAAATGTTTTATTTATAAATCATTGGTTTTATAAAGACGTGTACTACACCAATAAATAATAAATGATGTTGACATAGTCTTGAAAATAAATTAGTCGTCCAAATACCTACTCGAGAATATGTAGTATTATTCTAAAGTAAATGCGGCAACCCTTGGCAAAAAGGTAAAGCCACCAGCGTTACTGCGTAGGTGTCATACAGTGACGAATAATGATGTCACGTTATGTGACATGGATCTACGTTTTTACAATTGCGTAATATATTATACTGTTTTTATTGTGTTACCGTGTGTTTTAACAGTAATTTGATATGGTTCAAATATACTTTTGGCATTGTTAAAGGATATTTTTGTCTTGGTTTGAAATAACAAAAAATGCTATACCTGAATTTTGAAGTATAAAGTGAAGACTTCACGATTAAAATTCAATTTAGAATTAGAAATGAAATAGAGGCGGCAAAACCGTGCCGTGTGGCACCCTATCCTCTGCCTACCCCACATGGTATACGGCATGAAGAAGAAGATAGATAGAAATGGAGATGTCTATTTAAGGGTATTATAAAAGTTCACAGTCACATGTACATATGTACTTATGATGCGTGTACGTATCCGTGAAGATTATCTGTGCATTGAAGGCAGATAACAGTGTCAGGTGCCACCTCTGTTGCATAATAAATTATCGAACAATACGTTTCATTGGACTCGTTAGCATATCGAAAATGTCGAAAATTTGTTTTCGGAGAAATAGAATAGGCTTTTAGGTGTCGTACGAGTAGTACATGTTTTAATTAAACCAAATGGATTTATATTTATTTTGACATTTTCACAAATCTTTTAGAAACTAACTGTAATTGAAAATAAATATACTAAAAATATATGCAACTTCTGCGTAATAATGATGAAGATATATCATGACAACCTTTGTATGCGTTATAACCAGTGGTCGGAATTAGGTAGAGTTATTCATGTACTTACACTGATTTCATACAGCGAAAGAATAAAGTGGATATGCCTCAAATCCCGAGATTAATTTTAAAGAGCAGAAAAAATCCCGTGATTTTTTTAAATAAAAAGTTATTTACTTTTGCACAATTTAAATTACTGCACGCACGACGTTGCCAAACCTTACATCAATGAAAGAAAGAAATAAAGAAAGAAGAAATAAAGAAATCCCGGGTAGGTCCACATTAATATCAATATTTTGATGCAAGTACATAAATAACTCTACCTAATTCCAACCTCTGGTTATAACTCATTTCAAACTGTAACATATTGCACGTTGGAGAATTTATTTATTTGCCTACACAAGATTTCCGATAGGATTTTGTAACACGTAATTACATAAACAATATTATCATCGATAGATCGTGTGCATATTATTCACAGCGGGCGTGCTCTCGTAATCGGTGTCCGTGTGATCACATTGCCACACGGTCATTAATTTATCTTGTCAAACAAATTGTTGCACTGTTAAGTTTCAAGTCGTCATGGACTGGCTAATCGCTGACAGATTTGTATATAAAAGGTTTAATGACGTCCCGGCACGACACGGCTCTACTATGTTGTAAAATAGAACATGGGGTCTAATTTTAAAAATCCCTTTTAATTTGTCATTTGAAAAATATTCACGAGTTTCACGCTACAATCTTCTGATATGTGATAGCGATTGGGTACGCGACGTTTTTTTTTTTGAAAAATATTAAATAATCAATAAAGGAGATTTGACGTTAATTGTAATTTTCTATGTAGACTTTAGATCTTTGAGAAGTGTCAAGCGATAGAGAAAATGCTAACTGCAATCTTTTGAATGGTTTAGTTTTATTTTTTTTGATCATTCAAATCGTCATTCGTTTCAAAAACGACTTTAAAGTTACATAATTCCACAATCGTTATACCTTTGAAAGAAATTGCGATACATTCTGAAACTACTTAACCCACAGATCGATCAGCCTTTCACATGGACATTTCTAGGTCAGCATGATTTTTCTATTCGCAACCTGTCGATGCACTGCCTGTGTTTTTGTATTACGACAGTTTCCACTATCTACATCATTACTCCAGAAATAGTGACGCGAACCTAAACAAATATACCCAAGGTGATCTTAATTGGTTCACCGCTCGCTCGTTTTATCTTGAACCTTGCTCTACAATTAAGTTAATGTAAATAGACTTTTATTTTACACATAATTGAAATTCCTTGGTTTTATTTTACAACAACATTATCAGTATATTTTGTGGACAGTAAAACGGCCCGTCGCACAAACGTCCATTAAAATTTACATTAGTTTAAAGCGACATAACCGAACCAAATTTTCAAATTTCTAACATTAATTAGAGGTTACATTTGCCATTAAACCTTAATGAATGTTTCTGCGCAGGCCGTAATTCTCTTGAAATAATAATAAATTTGGTGGCTTTGGCTAGCTTTTTCATAGGGTTTTTTTTTGTATTATATCATGAGAATATTTGACCACCTACGTATACATTAAAACTTATTAATATTTCAGGTAATGGAATTAGAATCCAAATTATCCGAGGCTCAAAAGGAATTTATCGAAGGAGCGCCGACTCGCGCCAAGCGGACGCCTGCGGAATGGATACCTCGTCCACCAGAAAAGTTCTGTCTGACCGGACACCGGGCAACTATTACTAAGGCAAGTACAGCAAATAAAACAGAACAGTATTCTTGTTTAGTGGGTTAAGATTAAAGGATCTGTTGGTCCATGTCCGAGAGACTAGCATTCGCCGGTTATCTCTGAGCGACCGGGTTCTAGGATTGGAAAGACAATCATGATTGATGTGCTGACAGTTAACTGTTATGTACAGATCATCCAGAGGCAAGGATCAAAGGAGGGGCTTCAGTCACGAGATCGAGTCAATCTAGAACATGAAATTTTCTATTTATATTGTCTCAGGTCTGGGTTTTACGGTACCTTGGTTGTTTCAAATTTCCATAACCAAAGTGCTAAAACCTACTTCATTTTGGATCTGAGTAATGTGTGTTGAATAATGTTTATGTTATAATAAGCATTTGATGAATTAAGGAATGTTTATATGTATGTTTGTGAAATTATTCGGTCCATATTGCCCAAGAGCTGAAATATACCGATTGTTCTACTTAGGTGTACCATAAATTAATAACTTATACTTAATTAATTAAAAATTCTTAATGAAAAGAAAATACAAGACATCTTAAAAATACGTGACTATATAACGATTTCTCTTACCCGTAAACATACATTGCGTACACGAAATTCTTCATTGCGTGTTAGATATATTTGGTTAGCGTTTTTGTTCTACGCATTTTTATTAAGTCTAGTATACTTACTTAACACACGACTGAAATGCTACACCGATTTTTGCTATTTAGCGCTTCAAACAGTAAAAGCCAATTCATATGTCCCTTTTCGCATATGAAAAATCTTCACAAATCTCTCTCACTATTATTTAGTTTATGCTCTATTTTTATAAGGTTTTGTTGTTCTTTTATAGGTAATATTTCATCCAGTGTTCAGTTTGATGGTTTCATCAAGTGAAGACGCCACCATTAAAGTATGGGAGTTTGAGAGCGGCGAGTACGAACGAACCCTGAAAGGACATACCGACTCCGTTCAGGATATCGCGTTCGACCACCACGGAAAGCTGTTGGGTGAGAATCGTTCAATCATATCGTATTGTTTTATTACTTCGTATAATAGAATATTGTTCTATGTACCTTACACGTATCTCTATTGAAATACGAATGTATATGTCGCCGGATTTTATTAAGCATGCTAATGAAATGTCGTCATACTATTAGGTTAGTGTTTAATAAATAAGTTTGGTATGATGGGGTTCAAGAGTAAAAAATCTCTCCTAATTAAAGAACAAAAAAAATTAGTCGCAGTATTATGATAAAGACAGGATTTCATACATGGATCAAAATCCTGTCTCATCAACTCATTTAGGGACTATGATCAAACTTAAGCTCGCAATGTGATCGAATGTATGATTTCTGTTGAATGTTGTTATTTCAAATTTAAAATCGAGTTAAATGTCGTGTTCCGTTTTCTAAATGTGATTTTACGGAAATTGAAGATTTTGAGATATTAACTCTAACTAAACTGCGTATATAGTTATAGAAACTTTAATAATAAATTTTAAGGTTATTTTTTTAATAAAAACAATAATCTGTTATTGAGATGCGATTGTACTTGCATGTGTAGAATCTATGGCTCACATGGGACATACCGCCAATAATAGTTGGATAAAATATTTTTAACCAACCAATGATCTCGAGTTTTCGACCATATCTTCAAAGGAAAATATGTGAGAGTTTTCTTTGCCTCGAAGAGTTTTTCCAATTTTCCAACTGTGTCTACACATAAAAATTAAACCATATCGACGCTCCATCGTTACGGAATGTGAAAGAAAAAAGCCAACACTCTCTCAGGTTTTCCATTCAATGTAGAGTTCTAATTTACTTATTTCACTTATTTCACTTACAGTGTCCTGCAGTGCAGACATGTCTATCAAGCTGTGGGACTTCAACCAAACGTTCGAGTGCGTGAAGACGATGCATGGTCACGATCATAACGTGTCGTCTGTCGCGTTCTCGCCGAGTGGGGATATTGTCTATTCGGCCAGTCGCGATAAGACCATTAAGGCGTGGGAAGTGGCAACTGGGTGAGTGGATCCGTAGTATGACTGAACTTTTGAAGATGAAATCGAGCATATACAAAAAGATTTAAATGTTTCTAATGAAATTTGGTCAATACGAGGTTTTTCTTTATTTAAGACTACCTGTAATTATAGTTTTCGTGAGTAGCTTCCCGTAGGTTTTTAAAATTATAGTTCCCGTATGTGTTAAGAATTTTTCATAATTGGATCAGTATGTCCTGAAATGTCAACAAAAAAAAATTAAGAAACTTTACCTCTTTATAATATTAGTATAGAAGACGATTCGGATTCTCTGATATGTTACTTATAATAATAATAATAATAATATAATCTTTATTGCACACATACAGACAGGAAAACAGAAAGAAATTACACAGTAAAACAATACAAGGTACACAAAAGGCGGCCTTATTGCTAAACAGCAATCTCTTCCAGGCAACCTATGGAAGGGAATAATAAAAGGAAAGGGAAAATATGGGGTATTGGGTGCAATGGTCAGAAGGATATGATAAGATATATCTTTGCATATTAAATAAAAAAGTATAAGTAAATAGTATTAACATAGAGAAAGGAAATAGCTTTCAACTCGATCGCCGAAAGAATTAAGTGAGTGTTACTTCTGTGTTTTGTCACATCATCGTATTTTGAATGGTAAAATTTTCCGTTTTTAGCCAATTTATTTCTTAATACCGGCGGTCACATTGTTATTGAATAACATATGCAACCCAATATCATCGTAGATAGTGCAATACTATACAAGCACTGTCACCGACGATGTGTTGCGAGTGATTCGTGAAATGTTATCTCGCACAACCGAATTTGTTTATCATAGTACTACTACTATCTTAATACGCTACTCTAATATACTACTTTTTCCTGTAATACTTTACCATACTGTAATAAATTTTTCCAGTGTTAAGATATTGTAGACCTAAAATTATGTTGGTGAGATTAATTTGGAAGTTAAATGACTCGCACTGGCCTTATCCTATACTATTAGGTGGAGGGGTTGCCACCCGACCTCAGAATGCTACCCGAGTAAGTGGAGCAAAGTTGACGCTATCAATTGAGATGCAATCTTCATTGGCTTTCGTCACCAACTGCTGTAAAAGTGTCTAGGAGTCCAGTTGACTTTGCATTTTGACATACGAATGCAATAGCGTATTTGTGATCATAAAAATCTATAAATATTTATTATATTTGATCAACTTTGCATTCACTGCTATTGAAAAATATTGTGATTGAAAATGCTTTTTTTTATATTTTTTTAAGGATTTTTCATTATAAATATAGAAATATGTTAAACACCTAAAATGTTCCAAGTGATGCCCAAGCATTTCAGGGGTTAATAATGATATTATTCTCCTCACGTTTATGTTCATGCCGTTTTTGTTTGTGTACTTTTTAGATACTGTATCAAGACGTACAAGGGTCACCGCGAGTGGGTTCGTATGGTTCGCGTATCTCCCGACGGCACATTGCTCGCCTCCTGCTCCAACGATCAGACCGTACGAGTCTGGAATGCGGACACCAACGAATGCAAGGTAATCTTATAATTATTAGAAATTGTATTGAACGTACTTATGGTATGACGATGACACATTATTTATTTACAATTTTTTTCTAAATGTACATATCTAAGTAGGAATTTACTGAGGAATAATAATTTTATTTGCTTGTTAGTAATTACTCATATTCGTAAACTTTGTCTCTGTCTGTACGTTATATTTTAACATGCTGCGTAAGATTTTAACATGAATTTTGGTTTAACGCCTTTTTTAAACGTTCGATAGGGACGAATTTCAATAAATACTATGGTTTGATCTAAAAGGGAACGAGTGGTGATATTGCCTTGAGCGGATAAGATGAGAATGTTGAGTGGTCTAACTAAACATTTTGTTTTTTTTAATATCACTTTTATATGTTTAGAAGCTCTAGTAGACTAATTCTAACATATAAGTATATCCTTACGCCGTATCCCTTGTGGGTAAGGTAGAAAGGATCCTAAAGTACGGTCCTCACAAACATTTTTCGCCTCATCCACTTTCAACAATATTACACATTAACATCTTATACAACATTAAGACACTGCTAAGCAATCCATTAACAACAATCTTTACTTATAAACATCCATTAATATAGCGTTATTGACCGTTGATTAGTTAACTTAAGTAGCGTTTATAAGTAAGAAATATGTAATGACGACTTAAGCGTTAAGTAGTTGTTAGTTAATCAGATGCTAAGACGTTGATTACAGTGGACCCCCGGTGATCCGACAAACCTTTTGCAGGGCAGTGTCGGACTATCGAATTTGTCGGATTATTTATACTGCCTAAGACCCCTATAATTCGGATTTTTCAGATCAGTGATATGTTATAAGTACAAATCTTACTTCATTATGTATGTCGAATCTATAGTAGGTAAATTAAACAACAATATAGAGCTTATGTATTAATATAATGAAAAATTGATATCATTAATGCTAGAACTTACAAAAAATAATAACTTTGTATTAGGAAATAATTGTGTACAAACAAATGTACTTACGTAGGTACTAAAATAATTTGAAATTATTAATAAAAATTGAATCAATTAATTTATGAAGCATGAAAATGTTCATATATTTTTTTAAATGTCATAAATTGTAGATCGACCTACGCCGTATTCACTTGCCATACTACTGAAAGATTCATTTTGACTTCAGCGATCTAAAATATCAGATTTTTCTTTAATTGTCAGAGTTTTATTCTTTCGCTTCTGGGCTTGTGACGATATTACTAGGTACGGTAAACAATGAACGCACGCACGCTAGGCCGCGGATCACTATCACCTGTAGTCAAATTCAAACCAAGCAATCCGAATCAAAATAAAACCTACGCGTCGAGCGCAATAATGGTGGCGCGCACAAGCTATGACCTGTTCAATCATGCGTTACGTATCTACCAAAAAATATTCGGACATGTCGGATTACAGGGGGCGCCGGATAACTGGGGGTCCATTGTAGTTGATTTTTATAAGTAAGGCTGTAAATCTTTATAATAGCAAGCTCATTAGTAGGCCCAGATCTACGATTATTTTTAACCGGGTCAGAAACTTCGTATGGCGCCCTTACTCTTAAACCCCTTTTTATATACTACCGTATTTTTACGATTAGGATATTACGTATTTATTCGTACGATTATGTACTTTTATTTCAATTAAGAATTTTAATGTATGTCATTGAACTGAGTGAGATTTAGAAGCTCGTTGTTTTTAACTGTTAATAGATATTAGATAATGACGATTTTGACGACCTAGGCTAGTGTTCCCACTTGCCCCTCTAAGATCCGGGTCTGCTCATGAATAATATAAAGGGGGCGTTTAATATCGTTTGTGGTCGGAAAGGTTGAATATCTAGACCGGGTATGGGCAACCTTGGACATTTTATGGGCCAAACTTTAGTGTGCATACATTCATACGTTCGCGAGCTGCGTTTAAAAGTAGTACAGTACGATAGATATCAGACATGAAATAATACGACAATGTTATTACAAATTAGGTTTTTCAAAATGTCTCGCGGGCCGGACGCGGCTGTTGCCCACCGTGGATCTAGACGGTTCCCGCTCAGCGCCTTGTCGTTTGTTGTGTACAGATGGAGTTGCGCGAGCACGAGCACGTGGTCGAGTGTGTGGCGTGGGCACCTGAAGCTGCGGCCGCGGCCATCAACGAGGCGGCCGGCGGGGACAACCGGCGCGCCGCACACGCCGGACCATTCCTCGCCAGCGGCTCGAGGGACAAGTCCGTCAAGGTGAATTAAACTGAATATATTTTCATTATAGAGCAGCAGCTCGGCGGCGTAGTGGGTAAAGCGCCGCGGCCTACGATCGTTGTTGGTAAGCAACTCTTGCAAGGGTCGGTCACGGGATGGGTGACCTTTAAATTATTATCTCGAGCTACACCGTACATCGGAAGGCAAAGACGTCCGACCCGGCTGCGTCTGAAGTGGTCGACCTCCCTCCTTCTAATTCTTATTTGGCCAGCGTGGAGGGTCATAGTCTATCCTCCTTAACCATCCGTAAGGAAGGCCTGGGTCCCTGAGTGGGGACGTAAAAGGACTGATGATGATGACGTTCTTTTGATTTCTTCTGTGTATATGTATAATTTGCAGTTGTTATTGCATAATTTGGTACCCATTTGGATATGCAATACTAAATGAATAAGAAGTTAAAAAGCATTTAATAAGTTCAGTTAAAATAAAACAAAATATACCAATCAAGACAAATACTTTGTAAATGAAATTAAACTAAGACCTGAAAAATAAACTAAAAATTTTTTATACCTGTACCTATCAATAATACTTAATATAAACAAGGATCTTATCACTACAATTAACATTCTATAAACAATAACTAAATTACTAAAACTACAACTAAATTAGCAAAAAGTTATTTACAACACCCAAGAGTTTTGTATAATAGGTCTACTGGCATGGGCATAACTGACATTTACTTAAGGGTGGAGCAGACATAAAGAATATAACTTTGTAAGACGTCCCAATTAATATGACTTCAAAGAAACTCTTGTTTCCAATAATTTATGATGCAACGGAGCTAGGACCTTACACTGCCGTTTGCCTCATGCACACATGATCTTCACAGATATGATTTCCATAAAGTATTTGAAATGTTCCTTGCCTGACTCGCTTTTAAGTAATGGCTGGTTCACTCGGATTAAGTTGATAAGTAGTTTACTAAATTGTTTTCTTAATTTCAAGCGACTTAAGTTTATAATTAGTAGCTTTAAATTTTAAGGTACGTGTAAACGCACATTAATCATTTAATATTAAGTTAACAATTCCCAACCAGCCATAACGTTGTTCCAGCATCAAAGTCAAGTCAAAATAATCTTTATTCAAATAGACTTCTTAAAAGTATTTTTAAATCGTCCAACATTTTTTTCCCTACCACTCGTTCAGGACGTCTTTTGGCTTATAAGAAGAACGAGCAAGACCAGCTCTAATAAGAGATATGACATTTACTTAATAATCTTATATATATTCAATAGATCTGGGACGTGAGCACTGGCCAGTGCCTGGCGACACTGGTGGGTCACGACAACTGGGTGCGCGGCGCCGCGTGGCACCCGGGCGGCCGCTACCTGCTCACCGCCTCCGACGACAAGACGTTGCGCGTGTGGGACGTGGCGCACACGCGCTGTCTCAAGACCCTATACGCTCACCAACACTTCGCCACCAGTCTCGGTCAGTTGTACACCAATACGGGTGTAGACAGTAAACGAAAATAATTACATGTTATGATTTTCTTTTTTAAGCGCTAAAATAAGTGCACCGTTTACCATACGCTTGTATACAAGCGCGTCAGAGGTCTAAAAAAACCTTTATTACTATTAAATTTTAAGGCGTCAAGTGGCTCAAGTGCCGGTGTCAGATTACCGATAACGGTATGGTGCTCAGGCGCCGATTTATGACCGCGGTAAAGGAAGGATATATACTATTACCTATAATCACACTTTTATGGATATCGTATTTATAATGTTGCTCAAATTAATGTATACAAATTAATGTAATTAATAGTGACTGCAAACAGCGCGTGAGGTTATGACCCTCTCTACTCATATCAGAACTTGGAGAATTGTACTTTTTGCTTACATAGAACGATATTAGTTGTATATGGGCGTTACTTCATAGCGACGCCATGATAGAAGATGGCGTTCCCGCGGGAAATTTAGAAAACTAAAATTTGTTTTCAGATTTTAACTTATTATATGAGTGATTCTTTTTTAATATATTTTTAGATGTATTTCATATATACCTATAAATAAAAAATACAAAAAGTCGTCTAGACCCTTACTAGGCGGAGCCAGCGACTAGGGTAGCCAACCTAACTATAATAGATAGTATTGTATTATTTACTTATTTATTTTATTCATATCTGTTTATGTATCGGATTTAAATGTTTATTTAAATTTGATACATAAACAGAAACTTTGTAAAGTATTTCATAGAATTTATTTATGTATGGTGCATAATAGTGTGTTTTCCTCATCTGGTATTCATGGAAGATCAGCGTCGAGGTGCTGAACATGCTGTTGAGATGTCATTAACACACCTCGACGCTATTTGGTTACCTAATTAGGGCCACTTTATGTGTTTATTTATTCTATTTGTTGTATTTTTACTGGAATACTCAAAAGTAACAATACATTTGTCAAAATGACAGTTAACATACTTTTGTAGAGCAAAAAACCTATATCGAAAAAGAAATATGTAATTTGTTAAACAGCTAAAATCATAGTAAAAAATATATATATAAAAAAGATACTTACTTCCCAACCCTATTGTAAAGAACGTTAATTATTAATAACCAAGTAAGGACAGATTCCTAGAAAAATCTACTTCTCTTGAGACGCTAGGAGCTGACAAACTGATCTAGTCCTTGAACGAGGCATGAACTAAACTAAATTAGAATTTCGGTTTCCTGAATATGCTTATATTGTGTTTCTTTTTCAGATTTTCATAGGAGCTTGCCATACGTGATATCGGGCAGCGTTGATCAAACCGTAAAAGTTTGGGAGTGTCGCTAAGAGCGTTGCCATTTTAGTAACTTAAAACTCACCGATGATATCTTTATCATTATTTTTTCACACATTAGCTGAAATGAGTTGCAAACGCAATGGTTAAATCTTTTTTTATTGGAGACAGGAATGTGGTTATTTATTAATGATATTTCCCCCTACTCATTGTAATCTTCTCGTATACTTGACGATGCTGTGGCTGCTGGTATACCAGAAAGCCCATACAAGCTCACTTCTCTACATCACATACCTGATAATACATTTTAGAACGTCACATTCCATTAAATTTATAATGGTTCTTATAAATATAATAGCTAATATAATATTACCTGATTGTATATAGAGTTTTTGGGATAATTTCTGGACGATGGAGTTGGTACATAGCATTTGTCAGGTACTCGATTAGAAATATGAAGTAAGGCAAAAAAGCTGTGTTATAATTTAATATGTCATTCTGTTTTATTTTATAGTTATTGTTTATTAATAGGCGCGTTTAGATATAATTTTTATTTAATATAAATAGAAAATGTTTTTCTTAAATGTCCCGTTAAGGCATATTTGTACCGTGATTTGTTTTATTGATAATTTTAGTTTTATTAAATTTGATACTGATGGTTATTCATGACAAAGAATACATTAATATTATTTCCTATTTCATTGAAATCATTATCATTAAATATGCCCCTAATAATTGTACATATTAATTAATATTGGTCTCTGCTCGACTTGATGTTCATTACGTTTGTTTGCAATTACGCTAACAGCATTAATGGTCATCTATGGAGACAACGAATTTGCGAGCATAAAAGTTTTTTTTTATTACGCTTCACAGACAATGTTTGTTATACAAGCTTTTTCACTAAGAACATATTCATAGACTTATTTTAAGTTTTGGTATTTCAAAACTTTAACTATAAGTTAGAGTGTTTTTTAAACGTTTTTAAATTATTTATTTTATTTCCAAATTACATTTAGTCTTCAATAATAATAACTCAGCTGAGCACCGAGCATTGAAATTGCTAGAATAGTGATCATTATAATATTCCTATTTTAATTATTATATTTGAACAGCTTACAATTGTATTGAATAAAAAAAAATTCATGTAAATTAAAGTGTGTGATATATAAATTAATACTTTAATTTTCTATCATATTCGAGGTAGCTAGATTAAAAGGTAACGAAGCCTATTACGTCTTGGTAGTTTTTATTTATTACGTTAGTGCAGTGGTTGCCCTGGTATTAATACTAGATTTAGCGGTAGCTTTAGTATGGTCAAACTATTAGACGCTTTGCCGTGTTAGAATATACCATTATGTGTGTACATTATTGCTTAAGAAGCTGATAAGTGATCTTGCTTTGTTGTCGTGTTGAGTAAAATTATTTAGATTTGTATACACAAATGCATATTCTTTCGAGAGCATAAAAAATTATTCTTATCCCAAATTTTCTCAACGTTATATCGTATATACGTATAACGGACATTTAAATTTCGCTTAGATCAATGTAAATCCGTAGATACACAGTGATCAAGGAGAATAATAAGATTAACACATCAATAAATTTATTGGTTACACCATAAAAGTTTTAATTTGCATTAAGTATCATATAAGACATTCTTGTGTTCACTACATGATTGCTACATAATGAATTTTTGTCATGGTTTAACCTTAACATTTTAAACCATAGCTATGTACTGTGTTATTTATACAGAAGTGTTTAGCTTATGTAGTTAAAATTCTTTGATATTCAGGCAATCGCGTAGGTTAAAAAAAAGCTTGCAATTAATAAATAAATGTACGTTAATATGGGTAAGAACGTTTGTATTACAATTATTGAGTAATATAAGTAAAAGCACTCAATATTTAAAAATATGCTTTTAAAAATAAGAAATTTATCGAAATAACTTTAACCGCATATGCAATATATTATTGGTACATAGAAATACATATAGTAGTTTCTCTGATTGAATTAAAGAGTTTGATTTAAATCTCAAAGGAACCTATCCCAGCTTTTGTTGATTAGTCTTATTTATTCAAAATTTATATGGAAAATTAACTACTGCAATTTGGTTGAATGTTTCTGTAAATAAATTGATTAAATATCTAATTTATTTTACAATATCTCTATCATTTTGCTACCCTTTTAATATATTTATAATTTTCATAGTTCATACGTATTTATGTTTGATCTCAAATTTGTCGATTCTATGAAATTAATTTAAAAAAATTGTTTAAAAAAATGTTTTCGGTCTTATTGTAACAGCAATAACAGTGAAAACAGCTAAAATTGTGTAAGAATTGGTTGTGCGTGTCACTGTTCAAGTTTGAAATGATTTCTTGATCCTTATCTAGTCATATCTATATCTAGTACTTTATCAGTCCGTTACGCAATGGTGCCAAATAGCCAAGTTATATACATTTGTAGTTTCGGAAATAAACGAGGCTGCCGTCAGTTTGGCAGCAGCGTCTTTTAAACTATCAATTTAAAACTCATTTCAAAACGTCGATAAATTTTTCCGAGGGTAAAAAAATCCAGGCCGTTAGGGGCTGTCCACTAATCGCGTCAGGCTCGAAACAAATCAACAAAAATCACGAAATATCACATTGAAGATGATTGGGGGTGTAGTAATATATCACGTATTTTTATTTTTTCCTCAAACGCAAAACTTTTTTACTAGACCGAAAAGCGGCGTCAAAAATTAAGATTTTTTGTGGGTACTAACAACACTTACATCGCACTTTAAAAGCAGCTATCATGGCAAAATGTTCAATATGTATGTACCTAAGATGTTGCATACCCTACCCCAGATCTAAAGTATATTTTATTGTTTTAATTTTGTATGAGCATGAAGTGTTTGCCTTTTATTAATTAAACCAAATTAGATTCATTCAAATTTTCTTTCTGACATAATAAAAGTAAATTGAGTATCGAAAATTAAAAAATATAATATCTATCAAATTTATTTTAATTTATTTGAATCGTAAGTTTAAGTTATCTATTATATTACATGCAATGGAACGATGTTTGGTTAATATGTCAACATTAGTGATGCGCCAACTTATTGGTTGTTTGTAACTTCAATTGACTCGATTCATCCGAATTCAGGTTTGGAATGAAGAATAAAAAGCTGAGCGCAGAATTCAGCTTGTTTTTTATTTGGTTTTCCATATGTGCCATACGTTGAATGATATTAATATAAATATCAAAATCAATTTAGTCTAGACTGTTACATAGTACATGTGAAAGTCGAAAACTATGCCAACGGTTCGCAAAACTACGGCAAGAGTACTGAGAAGAACCGGTAAGAAACTCAGCAAGGGCAGATTTTTCTCTTTGTTTTATTTCACACAGAGAAGTCTTCTTTGAATGTAACGTGCCAGAAGTCCTATTTTGTAAGTAAGTGAGTAGATAACAAACGGATTTTTATTATAATTATAATTTTTATGACATTTGTTACTAATTAATAAACCCTATTCATTCACTCACCACACATAATATAAAATATTATTAAGACTTTGTGTAGTTTTGTTGCTGTTAGTTCACCTATCAATTAAGAGCAACGAAAGTAACTTACCTAGTTGTTCTCTGTGGTCATTTCCATTATGTTGGTTTCCATTTTCCTTTATACAAATAAAAATCAATTTATTCAAACATTAGTTCGTATTAGTCGAGTTGCGTTTGCTTAACTCGAATTATTTGAATTTCAACTCGCTATTAATCCAAGTTATCAGATCCATAAAAACACTAAAAATTCTATTCTCTTTGATTAAATGTCATGAATGAGGAATTATTAAAAAAAAAATTAGTTTCCGATATCAAACTAGATGTCGCTATGGTACTTTTTTTTTAATTCTAGATAGGCAAGCACTTGACAACAGATTACCTGATGGTAAGCAATGCAGTGGTCTAAGATGGAGCGTGCTTGCCTAGAAGGAATCGATTCACTTTTGACTTGAACACAAACCTTCCGGTGTTCTTTAATGTATAATAGTAAATTAATTTTCAAAACTCAATAAACTAATCGTATTCTATTTGAACTTTTTCGTAGTTGGATTGATATCTGCAAACATCAACAATTTCTAGGTGTTTTCTTTTTTTTCTTAAAACACTTCTTCGTTGACATTTATATTCTACAATTTGTGCTGCCATCTAGTGACATACTTTTTTTTGTAGTTTCTTTATATTTTTAAGTGGTTCTTCATTATACAGCGTGTTTGGTAATACCTGTATAATCCCGAATATGGCACATACGGTATGATGAATAGAACCCAGAAAAATGATCACTAAGACTGAAACCCAGCACATGACCTAGATATTCAGCTTTTTTTCTTCGAAGTAAAACTGTACGCTGACAACCCTAAAAACAGCTGTTGTGTTGTATTTGGTCATCGACTCCATGTGCCGAACTAGTTTAAAAAATAACAGAAGTTAAATAAATCTAAAGATAAATATAAATATGCATCTGAGAGGAATTTATTATTTCCAAACAAAGAAAAAGTTAGTAGTAAATGACTTTTAACTATAAAAAAACACTAATCTTGTAATTAACGGTGTTTCAAAAACTTAACATTGCTCACATTAGTCTATGCAAGAAAGAGCGAGAGAGACATAAAATCGACGACGATGTGTATTGAGAAACTCGGGTTTCTGATGTGTCAGTAAGGTTCTGTAGATTATTTGCTTTGAAGTTTTGTTATTTTTTCATAAAGCCGTGTTATTTTCACGAAACAATAAAATACGGACTTATACAATGATATTAATAATCTAAGTATCTCTCTTATTCTTAGTTTAAATGATAATTAAATAAAGGTTAGTTGTAATGGAAAGGTCTAATAATAAATAATATTTCTTGACGCGGAACCCCAAAATCGGTACACTTTTGATTTAGGTACATTGGTGTTCGAGTTGCAATAATAATAACCTATGTAGTTTTGGTCATCGCGTCAGTCGCGTCCGTGACTTTCATCGGCGTACTTGTGAGTTTTCAGAATTTAGAAGGTCAACTTTACGTTTTCGTTCTTTCGGGACTTTTAGTTTGTTTTTCATTCTCGTTCTGTTTACCTGTGTATTATGTTTGTGTGCGGTCAGTGCAATGAATTCGTACTCAAATGCCTAATATTACGAGATGATAATGTGTGGCGGTGCTTGTGACGGTAATCTTGCTGCGGCTCGGCGGCGTTATGACGAGCGCCACGTGTCAGGAAGACCTGAAAACCATCGACGTCTTCCTTCTTACCGGTGATTCGCGGCATTTGTGAATTGGTTACATACAACTGGTTCATTCCATAGTGTACCACAGGTAGGCCGGCCGATCACCTATTCCATCGAGACAGAGGATATGACTTTACGTCGAGAGTAACACGACACGGTCTGTGTCGAGTCGAATGGAGATGTGTGTTTTATGCGGTGGCCGGCATATCGAGACCCTGGACTGATAAAGTGGAGGTGAAGTGTAGGTAATGTTGACAAGTGAAAGCTGAAAGAGTGATTAGAACGCTATAGGTATGTACCTATTTAATCTTAAATTAATTACAAGTTTTAATTACAAGTAAACTCATACGTAGTCGAGTGCGCGCGTCGGCAACATCAAAATGTATTCAAGGAAACGAGAGAGTGAGAGGTAATGAGAGAGAGAGAGAGAGAGAAAGAGCGAGTGCGCCGGGACGGCACGTGTAAGCTTACAGGGTTGTAGCGTAGTAATTGAAAACAAATTGTTCAAATATTTGTATGAAAATATCAATTTACATGAAATTGTTTTTTGACCTATCAATTGTGTTCTTTGTGCTAGGTTGTATGGCCATGTTTCGGGATTATACAGGTATTACCAAACACGCTGTATAATGAGGTTCTTGAGTTCTCCATGACAACCACAGAACATAGTCTGTGACATGGAGCTAATACAAAGAGGAGATGGCCTAATGAGATTTGCCTATATAACATTGCGTGACATTTTGCGGGATGAGGGGAACCTATGCTCCGCCCACTTTTTTAATCTCCATCTACCGGTAAAGAGCAAAATTATTAGCTTTATTCCATATCGATGTTACTAATTAGTTCAGCTACTTCATACTAGATGTCGCAAGAGTAGAATACTCAGGGACGTACTCAGAATTTCCGTACCAAGGTGTGAATTTAATTAAAATATTTTTTTGAACACTATTTTGATTGACCTTTTTACCCGACTGCGTGTCACAAACGAGGGTAACGTTTTATCGCTCTATCGTCGCTATAGTGGTGAAAAGAGCTAAGACACACAAATGACATTTAAAGCAATGAATAAAAATATTAAGACAGGGCTAAAAAAATAAAAAATATTTTAAAACAAATCTTTATTGGTTTAATCAAAATATCCATAATGATCTGTACTAATGTAAATCAAATAATTACGAAGACGACTTCTTTGGTTCGTTAGTACATCATACCTTCAATGAATGAACATAAGTCTATTTCGGTAACTCAATTACCTGCAAAAATAACTGTTTTGGTCAGTTGTTGTCGGTTTGTTGTCCTATCATTTTCTATGGTTGCAAAATGCTTAAAACGAATATCAATATATTTTTCAGCTATAGATTTCATCAGCAATATAATATGATTATCAGTAGGCGACTGGTCAAACATATGTATATTCGATTGTTTGAAATAATCTTGTCCAATAAGGGACTTTAAAGTATTCAGTACAATTTTATGTTTACGTAAATTAGAATTATTCCAAGATTGTGATTTGAAATAACGTATGTTGCATTCGGTTCGTATACATATATTTATAACATCTTTAGATGGAAAAGTAAGACCACCTTTATTTTTAGTTTTTATCAAATAAAGATCGTCATCTTCGTAGTTATCAGCATATAATTGTTGAAGGCAGCTCTCACATTTGATCTTGGAATGTAAATAATTGACTACATACCCAGAAATATATGCAATTATTTGACGGCGCAAATAATTACCTATTGTTGCATTTAACTGCTCATCAAATTCCAATAACAAACTATGGGTCGTGGGCTCCACATACATTCCTAATGCTTCTTCGCTCAGGTCGTTTTTCAAAATTCGATAACGTTCTGAAGTAATGTTAATTTTTTTTACAGAGGATTCGTTCAAAATCGAAATATCCTCTAAAGGAATACAATTTCCTCTAAAACCCTCTTTCAGTTCTGTATTAATTAGGATTTTTTTGTAAGCTGCTTTGAACTGACGTGAGGTTGGGTTATTATTTGCTCTTCCATGTGCCCTTATTACCCCAAAAAAGAGTTCCAAATGATCTTGCGAAAATTTGTACAGTGTAAGATATTTTAGTATCTTTTCTTTTTCAATGAGGCGGTCGTATAAGAAAAGTGTACTGCTGATACATGTCAAAAGACCTATAAAACCAGTTTTTCGGTTCGTAGCAATAACAGGTATATTTTCATCGGGTACTACTAAAAACTGCAAGTAATATTTAGCATATTCTAAATACTCTTTAGTTTTCAAAATGTTCTTTTCAAATAAGGGCTTTTTGTATTCTAACTGACAAATGTTTCGAGAGTTCAAAATGTCAAAGATATTATTAATTAAGCGGATAAAAATAATTGTTGCCGACGCATTTTTAAATTCAAATTTAAATTCTTTACAAACGTGAAGTGCGTCTGCAACGCTATTACTGAAAAGCTGACTAGCTAATTTTACTTTCATTTTTTGTTGATGAAAATTTATGTGCTTCTCTTTTAACTTGTTTCCAAGATGGAGCCCTTCAGACTTTTGTAGGTTATTAAGCTTGACAAGATAAGACCATTCAATGTTATTGCCCTGATAATCAAGAAAAGTCTTTTTATTTTCAAAGGCGTTGCGCACTAGCTTAAGCATATGGCATGCGTCGAGGAATACTGCTACTTCGTAGTAAGCACTGGGATGTTTAAAGGTAGTCTGCATGTTCTGAGGTTCTAATGAACATCCTAACTTTTTAAGCATAGCCATATTTGCAGCGCAACCGTCCACCGTAAGTGAAACAACGTCTACGCCATTTTCTTGACATTTGTAAAGGCATTGTTGAACGATCGAACACCGTTGTTCCCCAGTCATAGAATGAATTAGAAAGAATCCTATAGGTAATTTCCACCGTTCAGTTTGAGATACAAGTAACAGAACTAAAGCCTGGGATGCGTGATCCAAATTATCCTTTTGCACGTTATTAAGCCCGAGATCAACATAACCGTGATATTGGTTTCCGTCCCATTCAACGTGCTTCTTAATAGCCATCTCATCCATCATAAGACTGCACAAAGCACGTTTGCCTGAAGAATCGGTTTTGTGCTTTAATATGTTAAAAGCTTCAGCTGTAAATCCAGCTTCACCATTAACACTTTCATACCATTTAGAAATGGTTCTCGGATGTGGTAGACATGTATCGAAAGTTTTTCTGACGTATGAGTACGCATTTGGGGAAAAATAATAAAGTGTTAGAGCGAATGATCTGAGGGCTGGAGAATACTTCTTCTTCAAAGCAACGTTTTTAATTTTTGATAACTGACGCCCGACCAAGTCTTTTAACTTAACATTTATTGAAGACAAAATTTCGGCGTCCTCTCCAAGCAGCAAATGTTTCTTTTCCAACTCTTCAATTAATGTAGTTAAATTTTGAACCTAAAATTAAAGTGAAAACATATTGGATTGAGAAAAAAAGATCTAAAGTTAGTGCATGAGATGAAAATACCTTACGCGCGTCTCTTAATAACATCTTAGGTTCGTCATACCATAATTAAGGACTACACTCGACTGCGGACGAATGCGGCGAGATGAATAAAGACGAGGGAAGCTGCTATTGCACCTTACCAGAAACTTGAACTTGCGCGCAGATAAATTTTATGCTACTAGAATGTGTAGGTACCTTTTTTTTCAAACGTTTAAGTTTCATTTGAAGTCTTCTGATTTTTAATCCATCTTTTTTTGCTTTCCATCGAAGTTGCTCTATTTCTTGCTTCAACTTTTTTTTCTTGGGAGTATCGTGTAGTATCAAAAATTCATTCAAATCACTTGTGGTAGGCTCGAGTGATGGTATTGTAGGCTTCAATAACCTTCTATTAACCTGTAATATAAGAATAAAACAAATATAATATTTTAAAATTAACTTGTTCTTCCAAAAAACTGAAAATTGTTTTTTAATTACAAATTGCATTGTAACGAACCGATATATCCAGTTTTAAAGAAGGTAAAGTTCCCTTCTTTAATTTTCTAAGACCTTTTTTTGTCATGACAAAGTCTTCTTCATTAAAATGGCAAGAACAAATTTTTGTATACTTTGTTGGAGTCCAGTCTCGTCTATTAATTTTTGTCATCCATTGTTGTTTAAGATTATCATCCGATGGAAATCTGCAACACAATTTAAAATCAAATAACCTAGAATAACTTTTTTGTGTAAATACTAAATATTTTATTTAAAGTAAGTTTTATTTTATTAATAACAAAATGACTGTTTCGTTAAGCAAAACTTTTTAAGTATTTCCAATTTATGTTATAAGACTTTGCGTTCCTCGGTAAAATTATAGGAATCTAATTACAACCCTGTCTTTTCTAACTTCTATGTTTACGTAGCGTTGGCCGCCATCTAGTGTTAAATGGATTAATTATATTTGGACGCCTACTTAAATTGTTCTGGAACTTTTAATAAATTACGTATACAATTACTTACACATGAAATGTAATGCCATCCATAGCATCAGATCGTCTATCCGAGTAGTTTTTACAAGATAAAAGGCAACACTTCATAGTTTTCTTCTTAGTAATACAAAACTACACTAAATATGCTAATGTCAATCACGTGGACCTCACAATACCAACACGGACGAACGCTGGCAGCATACTAACCTAAGCCACGCCTACTTTGATGACGTCAGGACCTACTTGAGAATCACAGTGCACAGTTGCTTAGGCCATCTCCTCTTTGTATTAGCTCCATGGTCTGTGATGACAACCCATCCAGTTATCTTTCATGTTTAAAAGTCAATTAGTTTTCAAAACTCAATAAACAACTCATATTCTATTTGTAATTTTTAATATTTGTATTGATATCTAAATTTCGAACTTAACAAATTTCATTTTTTTAATGTGTTAGTTAAAAGGAACGGAAATTACTATCTGTGGTCTATTCGTTTCCTGCAAAAATGAACTTTTGCTAGAGTCGCCATCTAGTGGAGGTGCTTTTTAGTGATTTCGTTTTTTTTAAATACTTCCTCATAGTTTTTCTTCCACTACCACGACTATTATTTGAATAGCATAACCAAAATCGCGTAAAAAAAGCTGTATTTGTAATGGCGCTGATCAGATGGTATTTGTGACGCCTGTAAATAATATTAATATTTGAAGGCGACATAACCTATTTATCAATTATTTAGTTACGAAGTAAACAAATAGTATTACAGAAGAGAAATTGAAGTCAAATTTTATGTTTTTTATTTGTATCTACTCTAGTTTAGCCTATAAAAATTAGCTACAAATTGTATGTATAAATACAAATTTTGTGTTTCTCTAATAACACTGTTTTACAAGACAGCTTCCGTTTACGGTTGCGACGACAACACAACCACTAACAGGGCGTTTTCGTCGTTCATTATGTTCCTAAAAATGTTGCATTTTCTTTATGTTATTCTATTAAAGCAAATTTTGTCAGCCAGATTCAAAGAAAATTTTTTTTTATTAAATTATTATCTAATAATATTACACCTAAGTTACAATATCCTAATATACTTTTTCAAATATAAGATACTACATCGATGACTGCTTTGCATCCCAGTCATCCTTCATCATACCTCAGACTATAGAAAACTGTCAAATTTCCCCATTCAATTTTAAATCTTATCACGTAGAATTTAGAGATGAATTTAGTGAAATCTATATCAGAAATTTGACATATTGTGGTAGCAGCCGTGTGCACGTCAATTATACATGCATGACAATGTCATGTTGACATTACAGTCACAGCTTGATTTGATACAACGTTTTCTTGCTTTTGACAGAAAAGACATTCAAAAGGGCTCGATCGCTGAGTACATTTTTATTCATCTAAAATTTCTATGTAGATTTTCATTTTATTATAGTTAATATCGTCACATAATGGATATTGAAGAGTGTGTCAAAGAATGGGAAGATTTGGCAGTTGATTATAAACGACTTGAGGTAATTTATTAAATCCTTTAGTTGGCTTCTAAAATTACAATTTAATGTTGTCGTATTTTAATAAAAGCAATATAGCCTTATTATATTATGTCTACAAAGAGGCTTTTGTTGAGGTCATGTTGTTATTTTATATAAAAAACCACATGGACTAACCACTTAAGATTAATAATGAAAATAATCATGTTCTGTATTATAATTTACAACTGATATAAATGTTACAATCTTTAAGTATTACTAGTAGTTTTATGTTAATTTGTTTATGTGATCAATTCATGTTTTTATGTTGTTTTTTTCCATGCTTTAATTTCCAGACTGTCAACAAGAGCTATGTGAGTAAGCTTGAAGAAGTTGGGGAACTGCAGGCAACATGCATGAAAGAAATAAACCACCAGAAGTACCGCCTATCGATTATCACAAATGCACTCAAAAGGTCAGATAGTTTAAGGCTATTTCCTATAATTGATAATGAAATTAACTATATGAGTGTTTGTCATTAGTTATTACAATAATATTGGTTTAGTTATTCACCAAGTTGGTGTACATCCTTACATACATTGTCTTACATGTTCGCCTGGTTTTTATGGCTACTCATATCAACTTCCATCAACATGCAAAGTGAAAGCTGCGTCTTGTCTTTCCACGGCTTCTACATCCTTCCACTTATGAGATGTTAATCAGGTTTTGTCATTCTTTTGTCTGACATTTCACATACCTAAACCAATAGAGCATGGTTTAATTGTTTTATTTTAAATATTTATTACATTATAATCTCTTTATTTATCATGACACCTGCACTGAAATGTAAACAAATATCTAAAATTATATCAATTAGTGTTACAGATAAAATAGATAAAAGAAACACAGACTTTACCCTTTGCAATAAACAATATTTGACATAAATGTGTTCTAGAATTTATTTATTACACAAAACAATTTTAAGTATTAAAACCTTACTCGTAATTATGGGCATTTCCAAATATAAAATAAGAAGTATTTAATTTCATAATAAAATATGAGTAATATATAACATGTAAAAATTAGAATAAAATTGGACCAATAGTTTTATAGCCTTATTCAATGCAAACAAACAAAGAATCAAATATTTCCTCTTTATAATATTATTATAGATAAGGATAGGCTAAAATAAATAGATTACTTTTTTAATATTTTTTATTAGATAACTTATCATATTAATCTTGCATTGGCATTCCAATCAAAATATATGAAAAGTGTGTGTTGTAGAAATAATCTACATACTTTTTTAAATAACAGGATACCTAGCATCTCTGCCTCCTAGATACAATACTCGTACTGTGCAGTTGAAATAGAACAAAATTTTATTTGATAAAACTTGATAAATTGTTAAAGCAGATATAAAGATTAATATACAAATTATATCAATAAGTTATTGCAACTATCTGCCTGTGTGTGATAATGTAATTTTTCTGTGTAATGATAAATAATTTATGTATGTCAACCAACTTTCCGTTTAATAGATAATTATTACTACTGCAAGATATCTAGGGATTAGCTAATCAAGATAAAAGAAGTCCATAATGTTACATGGAATGTTTTGAATTTGTAATGACTAAAGGTCGGTACATATCTGACTGAATATGTCATGTAATTGTTTGTCGTGGTAACATAGATTGCTAACTCTAAAATAGAGTATTACTCTACCACATGTAGGTATAATCTATAACGCTAATATAAAGGACGATAAAATACTTGTTTTTCACACTATACTTATGATACTAGTGCCGTTCACGCTTATATGATGCATACCCATTATTGTAACAATAAAGTACCAAAAAATTTCTTTATAAAATTGTAAAGTAAATGATACTTTTTTTATAAGCCAATACTCTTTATTTACTTCCCTTGAAATCAGATATACTCTATTTGTTCTTATTAAAGTTGGCAACTCTACTCAGAACTGACAAATATATGAAATGACATAGAGAAAATCCATCGCGTATTAACGCATAGTCCCGTGAGACGTACGAGTATAACGGATGTTCTGTTAGATTTGCACCGATACTTAAACCGATTCTGAGAAAAATGGTATGAAATCATTTTCAATTGGATTTAAATTACATAAAGTTTATATTATCATTACTATAAGTGCACTATTTGTGAGGCAGTTAGGTAAATATTTACTTATCCATTTGTTCTTCTGAATTTGTGGTGATTTTGTAAAATAACACTTATGCAATTAGGGTTGACCAGAACCTTAGATGTTGAACAAGGGGTTTAACTACTTCCTAATTCATTTAGCCACTCGTTTTGTTAAGAGGGCGCATAAAGAATGACAAACTTTCAGTTGGTTTTGTATAATCAGCAGCACGTCAAGTTATACGAATTTATCAACTTTAATTTAAACTTAATGATTTAGGGGTAGAATTTAAAATATGCTGGAGTTTCACATATTGTGGCAACCTGAAGTACAGCCGGACAAAGAAATAAAATCCAAACAAACAGGAATTGAAAATAAGAAAACTATATGTTTTATTTTACATTAAATAATATCATGTAAATTGACTGGGTGAAATCATATATTTATATATAAAAAAAATATCGATAAGAATACAAAGTTACCTTTAAAATTCACCGTTTTATTTATGTCTTGTTATTATACTCCCTAGTCACTGTAGTTTGCGGGTAAATAATTAACGTCACCGAATCAATAGTTTTTAACGCATATATTTCATCTTTTGTATATCATTGACAGGCGCGTTGCTTTTGTATTTTACTCTGTTTTATTCTTTTTAGTCTTTACGTCTAGTGAATATAGAATACATCATTCAAATAAGTAGGTCTCTACCTCTAGCAGCAGGGCCGGTCCAAGTAAGCCAACTAGGCAACTGCCTAGCGCTCTCGTATATGGCCGGTGGCGTGGCATGGAAAAAAGGTTATGTACGATAAAATTAAATTGCGGTATCTCAAAAAAATTACTATTGTTGTTGGAACATGAGACCATGCCCGCGGTATTCAAAACTACAACATTTTCAGATCTGCATTGTTTTTTATCGATCACAAAATGACACTCTTTAATTGATGCATTTACATTTTAGTTTTGCCTATGGCGCCAAATTGTTTTTTGTTTTTTTTTGACTGACTGACTAGAAGAATATTAGCTCGAGCTTAAGGTCTGGCTGTTTAAGTTAAAATTGTAATTACCTAAATTGTTGGTGTTTTAAAAATTCCTTATCGAAGTCTCCGAAACGACGATTTGTTATAACGGTATTGTTTACGATGAATTAACATTGTTTATCAAAATATTTACATGTGATTAAAGAATTATAATATGTAATTCATCGTTAATCCTGAATGAAGATTAAATAATTCCCAAGAAACAATTCAGTATAATCAGTAAAACTCAGTATTTATAAAGTAGTAATTAAAAGTAAATATTAAAAAAATATGGTCAGCTTTTTTTCAATCCCAATATTTCTTTACAAATTCTTTTGCTATGTGCCAATACGTGTACATATACGATTTTTCAATAATCCAGTAATTATATCTAAGGAGTGTATATTTGTATTTTTCGAAATGCATATTTCTAAACATCAATTTTCTATTTACCTAGATTTTATTTCATAGACTTTTATGGCGCGACTGTGTTGTTCTCGATGACGCATTCGACGCTGATTTTTTACAGAACAACAAAGCAGTATATGCTCCTACGTTGTGGTCAGCATACGATAGTTAAGTCTGACGGCCCTTTACGGGTCAAGCCGTAGCGAAATCCAACTCATGTGGAAGCGCGCTTACAATATTTATTTTAGTGCCTACATTTTTTAATTCATTATGTACTGTCCCCCAGATAGTTATATTCAAGATTTTATCGTATCTATCTATACTATAAATTATTAAGTGAAAAGAATTGATGTGAATATTTGACGCTGACCTGGGACCATTGTGTACTTTTTTTTTTTCTAGTGGTCATTTGTCTCACCTACATACTTCATTATTTATTTTTCTGTTGAATGAAATGTAATGTGTGTGTATTTTGACAATAAATAAATCATTTATCTATTTGTCTATCTATATCATACGCGGAAGACATATATGACACCCGCGCCCAGTCTATAGACTATGGGTATGTTCCGATATACACTGCGAGCACTGCGCAGTGGTCTTACTGCTGAAAAATCCGTTCCGTTATGGACTGCCAGTACACTACTACAGTACCCTAGGGAAATTTATGACGTCATAAATTGCCGCCATATTTGTACTGTGAGCACTGGAGATCTCGAGGTAAGGTGCTCGCAGTGCTTTTGATCACGTGATCAGTCGAAACAGAATCAGAAAATGATAAGTTTCTAAATAAACAAAAAAAAATACTTACGTTTATTATAAGATGGATTTAATTGATAAATAATTTTTTTATACACAATTTTAATATTTTCTTTTGAAAAGAGGGACTCTTTATATTTATATTCACCTTGCATTAACAAATTTGAAAATGGCGCCAAAAAATAGGATTAACAGTATACTGGACTGCGTTCCGTTTTAAAAAGTCACCAGTATAACTAGCTATAAAGGAACGGGCTTCCAGTATACTAAATTGACGTCATACTGTTCAGTGGTCGCAGTGTATATCGGAACATACCCTATATAATTTATTTGAGCGAAGTGGCGGGAAACGGCCACTTCTTTATTTATAGTACTAGTTCTTCATATGGATGAGCAACACTTGGCCAAAATTTCTAGATTTAATTCATTTCAAGTGAGAGATTCTCATATGTTTATACTAACGATATTATTTGTTTAGGTTAGAAAAGAAAGGCATAACCAAAGATGAACGAATCGCCAAACTGGAGAAGGAGATTATGAAGAGGAAAGCGATGTTACACGAGATCAATGCGACCCTGCCCAAACAGAACAGTCTATACTTGCGCATCATACTAGGCAACGTGAACGTGTCCATTTTAAACAAAAATGACAAGTAAGCATTAGAATATGTCAATAGATGATGTTTTGTTGTAATGTCTAAAAATGTAAGTTTTGTTGTAATTTCTAAAAATCTCTTGGTGACTATTTTGAAATCTTTTTTGTACCGAAATGCAAGTGGTCGTTAAATTAAATTATTTAAAAACATATATTCAGAAAATATCAAAATATAAATTTCATTATTGTTACGCCGTCTCGTTGCATGGCAAAACAAAAGATGGTCACGTTAAATATACTATATGTCAAGGGCTATTTGTTAGCTCATGGTCCTAGTTGAGTAACAATTAAAGCAGAGCAATTCCGTAAAAATCCTGATTCGAATTCATTCAGGTGTCCAAATTCACTTCGAAATTGAATCCGCTTTACTTGTATTAGTGTAAAAATTGTATTGATTCCAATTTTTTTGTATAAAATATTCTATCCCTATGACATTTCGAAACGCACTTCACTTATGTCACGCACGAAACGTTAATATCAATTCAAGGATAAACGGATGTAGCTTTCTAAGTGAATTTGGACGCCTGAGTGAATTTAAATTCGGATTTCTACGGAATCACTCTGATGGTCGGGATAAGTTACTCAATCAGGCAAATGAACAAAACAATTTTTAAACGTATCTGCTGTTTCTATGATGTAAACATCTATTTTTACAGACATACGTTTGAATCTTTTTATTTTTTATTTAGGTACTATTTAAAAAATACTGAAGTAAACAAATTCGTGAAATATGTTTTTAATAATTGACATTCAATGGGTATAGTAATCAATAATGTCAATAGGAGTAATTCTCTAAGATCTTACATTAGTTGTTGTTTCCATCCCACACCATAATGCTTGATAGGTACATTAAATCAAAGTAGCGTTGCTAGGTGTCCCTATTTTGGCGGAACGTCCCGATTTGATCGGGACGCTAAATGTCCCGAAAAATCGATGACTTTACGTACGTAAAACTGATAAAGAATAAATAAAACCTTATTTTTGAAATCTGTTAAAAACCACATTTTTGTTTGTGCCAATTTACAAACCTAAATACCGATTTATTTTACTCTTAAAACAAATCGGATCTGGCGACATTAAATCATATTCGATACCAATAACTTGCGATAAACACGTGCAAACATTACACAATGGACTTCAATCACAAACACATTTTATGTAGGTTCTGTATGTATAAATATGCAATCAGTTATATATTTCTAAGCATAAAAAGTGTCTTTTTTTATCACTTGTTTCATATTTTTATACTCATCTAGTTTTTTTTCGTATGTTTGTTAATGATATTCGAGTCTCAAATCATCTCAATATTGATTTACAAGAATGGTTTGAAAAGTTCTCGGCCCGACCAAGAAAAAGAAGAAAATAAAAATAAGTTTTATTTTTCTATTTATTCTTCCCTTGTCTCAAAACAATGGCACTTGACATACGATTATATATATAAACGAGCTATCGAATGACAATAAATTAGTTTACATACTACTCTCAAATCTCGGTCAGGCCGAAAACGTTTCAAACCGCTCTCGTGTCATCACAATAGCCATAGAGGTTAATCTGAGACAGCATAACAGTCCGTGAAAACAGTGATCCCGATCTGACTTTGATTTCTAAAGTACAGTATGAAAAGTAAAACGAACAGTAAAACTGTTTCTAAGAAAAGCAGATCTTGTTTCTTTCATATCGTATGATGATGAATGATTGCCGTTCATCTGATCATCATCTGATTCTGTAATTTTTTCATCGCTAGAAAACGTAAAGTACTTATCTGTAGCCAAGTTTATAAGGGTGGACTTAGACTTTATTAGCCTTATAGATAATGATTATGTTATTTATTCCAACGTTCCCTATATTCCGCAGTCAACTTGTCTTCTTAATAGGTCTTAGTAGATAGTAGATATAAATACATATCACAAGACCTTATACAGATGTGGGTTCAAGAAGCGATGACGAATAGTATGTGACATTTGAACTTTGATTAGGCCAGAGCATCGAATTAATGAGTGGCAATGAAAGGCTAAGATTTCTGCACATTGAAATGTAACTTTGAACATATCCTAAGAGACATGTATAAAGTATATGATAACAATAGCCACGTTATATTTGGCTTTATTCCAGTTATCAAATTCATTTGTTTAAGAGAAAACATCACATAATCAGCCAGTCGCACAAGTGCCATTAAAATGTTCATTACTTTAAAGCGACATTTGGACAAATTTGATATTAATTAGAGCTTAAGGCGTCATTAAACCTTAATCGAAGTTTGTGAAACTGACCGTAGGTCGTCTCTGCTATAATATAACTATTACATGTATTAAACTTACCACCATTATTTAGAGGAAACTACACATATTCATCATCGCCAGCCTGTTAATATCCCCATTGCTGGGATACAGGTTTCCCTAATGATGGAATCGAATCAAATAGGGAGAGTGGGCTATGTTCGACCCGGCCCAGTACGGATTGGTGTCAACGACTGCAGATGCAGCCGGGACCAACGGCTTGGCGTGCCTTCCGAAGTACGGAGGAGCTCAGGATAATAAATTTTGGGCCATCCATCTTATGACCGGCCTATACACGCTAACCGCTCTTGTACACGCATATTACCAATTACATGTTGTAATCCTCTTTTCAGATTCAAGTACAAAGATGAATATGAGAAGTTCAAATTAATACTCAGTGCCATAGCGTTTGTTTTGGCCGTGGCAAACTTGTATATAGACTTCAGGTAGGTGCTTACTTTGATATCTAGTTTTCTTAAGTCAATACGGGTGAAGACAGTAAACGAAAATAATAACATATTGTTTTTTTTTCTAGTAGTGTTTATTAATCACAGTTTTATGCTTGTTATATTTATAATATGCTTAATCACGTGATCGCAAACAGCGCGTGACGTCACTACCCTCTTACTCATATCAGAACATAGACGATATTCGTTTCAGAGTGCCGTGACGTCATAGCGACGCCATGACAGAAGGGGTGTTTGCGCGAGAAATTTAAAAATTTAAATTTATTTTTAGATTTTTACCTTATTATCTGGATGATATTTTTTAAAACAATTATTTTAGATATTTTTCATGTATATCTATGAAATAAAAATATATAAAAAAGTTTTCTACACCCCTATTACACTATCGTATGACGCGCTATCATGATAAAAGTAAAACACAATGGAATACAATTGTAATTGTAGAGAACAAATATTTATTTACTATTTGACAGAGAGAAAACTCATTATAGGACATGAGTTATATGAATTATAGTGTACTGTGTATGGCACCTCGAATATACAAGTTATGAGGTATAACACTGAAAAACTCATTACTTTAAGTATATTAAGTAGAAAATTAAGAGTTATTTTATTGCTTAAGGCTTATTATAGTGTTGACGAATTTCAAATGATAAATTTGAATGATATATTTATTGTATTATTTATTAACGATTTCACATTGAAAGTATTAAATAGTGACCTAATGAATATAATAATATATTTTAATAATTTATTGTAATTGTCAAAATTATAATTTAAATATGTAATTATTTTGCATGCAAAGTGGCGTTTCACATGAATTGTGTGTCACCTATATGTAACTTTATTTGCAAATATATGATTTGAAACTGAGTTACGTTTGCCTATATAAGAAGTCACGCTTAAAATTGTTTTAAAATACTACAAAATTATAAAAGGTAAGATTTGATCTTTTCGGGATCGTTTGTAATAGGTAAACTTAACCCCCTCCCCCTTGCATACATTTTAACTTCTTTATATTATTATGATTTTGGCGGATGACTGCAGTCATTTAGAGGACCCCCAGACCGGAGTCTCCCATTAGTCCGCCACTGAATTTGCACGAATGAGGTCGCAAGCTGTTTGCCTGATAGGTAGTTTATAATAAAACAACTTGTTTTGATGTTATATTTTCCGTTTGCCGCAGGCCGTTACAGTTGATACTGATATTCCTCCTGGTGTGGTACTACTGTACGCTGACTATCCGCGAGAGTATCCTGAAGGTGAACGGGTCTCGTATAAAAGGCTGGTGGCGGTTACACCACTTCATATCGACCGCTGTCTCGGGCATCCTGCTGATTTGGCCACAAAATGCGCCCTGGGAGGAGTTCAGGCACACATTCATGTGGTTTATTGCTTACATCAGTTAGTATAAACCTTCTTGATTTTAACTAACTTTAACACAGTAATAACTAATGCAAATATAACAAAAAAATAAACAAGAATTTAAATGAAGTGAGAACTCAAATGTGACTGACATCTATAGTCGAGCAAAAGTAGGTAATAGAAATTCTATTTAGTCCGTCAGTCAGATAAAAGACAAATATTAGATACGTATTTTTTTACTTTAATTTAACAAGAAATGGCTTAGATAACAGGCGTTAAAGTTGTGCAATGGGGGCTCGCTACTTCACTGTTTTGTAGAATATGTACAAAAGCGTAACGTCATGCGATATTTTAACCCAATGTATCGTCGTAATTTAATGATTACGAAAAAAATGCGTGTTTAATATTTTTCAACAATTTACTTCACGGACAAACAAACATAAATAACTCGTCAACCCTTTTATTGAAGTAAAAGTAATTACTTTTAACAAAGCAAATATTAAGAATACCATTATTTTTAGTTATTAACAGTACTTATTTAATTCAAATTTTCGTCGTACTGCTTAAAAGTATCTGTACAAGTTATGCTATTTTCTCAAGTAATTACTTTTCTCGACTAGAATAGATATGAGTGTGAGACATTTCAATAAAATTTCAGTTTATTTGTTAATGATATTTGCTTAAGTTATTACTTTTACTCGACTATAGATACGAGTGTAAGAAATTTTATTAAAACCATAAAAAATATCAATTATATATAATTATTTTCTTTATTTATAGATATGATAATACTTTATTTATCTAGACTTAGATACTTCGGAACCATGTTGGTCAAAGGCTTTTTGTACCAGAGAAAATAAAAATTTGACACTGGCTGGTATAATGACTACGGAGGTTTTTCTCCTGTTATCTATTTGCTGTGGAGGTTGAAATATTTTAACCTTTATATTTGTTTTCTAGGTGTCGTACAATACATGCAGTTTAGATATCAAAGTGGGGTGCTATACAGGCTCAAAGCCTTAGGGGCCCGTCACAACATGGACATCACAATAGAGGGATTCCACTCTTGGATGTGGCGAGGGCTGTCTTACTTGCTACCGTTCTTATTCGGCGGCTACGTGTTCCAACTATATGTGGCATACACATTGTACAACCTCAGTTACCATCCGGAGGCGACGTGGCAGGTAAGAAAAGGCATATGCGCGGCATGTAAGTTGAACCAAAACGGCGAATGCGTAGTAAATTTTCAGCAGAGCGATTCCGTAAAGATTCGAAACCGAATTTACGTCACTTATTGTTGAAATTCTATTGTTTTAATTTTTTGTATAAAAAAAACAAGACTGATTGATTATACACGTGTTTCAGATATTCATTCCCAAACTCACTTTACTTATGCCACAAAACTTTAATACCCATTAAGGGTTAAGCGGATGTCGTTTTCGAAGTGAATTTGGATACCTAAGTGAATTTAAATTTGGGTTCGGATTTTTCAAAATAGCAGGGCAGGTCTCAATTGAGGTGCGGGGGTGAGACGCAAACGGTAACTATAGTAACTGGAACTTGCTCAGGGAATCGCCATTATGGTTCAACTAGTATGCCTGCCATATTTCCACTTTTAATATTCATTTTTACGTTTTACTATTCGTATAACAAACCCCGTTTTAACGCGTATCGACGTAGATTTTATTATATCAACACAGTATTCCATGGTTTATGATAACTATGCTTTAATAACTTTAAAACTACCAATGATTAGAGTCTGAAACTTTTAATAGTGTTATCCGTTATCCAAAAATTTACTCACTTTAACTTGTTTAGTAGTGTTTTTTAATGGAAGAAAAAAGTGTTTTAATCTGAATCAAAATATAGTTTTATCTTACTTTTGCTATAGTAAGAAAAAAAATACAGTAACTTAATACGTATCCGTTTAAATTCAATTTTGCTTGGGTCATCATAAAATATAAAAGTTTTGATTCTGAGAGATTTCTTTCTGGTTTATGCTTCATATATTAAGAATCTATTACAATCCCATATTATAGTCAAATTAGGCTATTATAACCGATGTATAACGTTAAAAATTGACTTCTAACTTATTTACATGAGAATCATGTAATCGTAGAAAAAAAATGATTTTGCCATATAAAAATGGACTCTGTATTTCAATGTGTAAAGCATGTTTCCGTATGACAAAATAACGGCAGGTGCACGCGTTGAGTATGTCATTCCTGTTACTCGGCATCGGAAACACGGTGACCACACTCATCGTCATCCCGCAGAAACTCAACGAGCAGGTAACGGACGGAGACTGAGCCAGGATCGGTCACGAGATATGACACGTTGACTATGCAACTGAAGTGATGCTCTAATAAGATATATCACATCAATAGGTATTACGACTAGTTTTTGTTTTTTATGTCCGTCGGTTAGATTAATGAAGAATATTAATTCGTATTTTAATTTTTTTTTTGCGTAATCAATAAATTACGGCGGAACTTTGATTTGAAATGTCGCATGACGTCACTCTTGTACATTTTATACAAAACTGTGACGTAGCAAGCCCCCAACTTTAATGCCTATTATCTAATTCGCTGTTAAATTGAAACAAAAAATATCTAGCTATTATTTTTCTATTATCTAACTGACGGACTTAATAGTTTTTTTTTTACCCAGTCGTCATCCCTACTGTATGCTCTCTTAAGGATAGGTCTGCACATTTGTCATTTCAGTGTTCCCGTCTTTTGGTATCGGGTGTTGCCAGTTCGAAAGCGATCTATTTTTTTATTATTTTATAACGGTACTAAAATACTTATATTACAATTATGTATCAACGAAATAATCTTTGCTTTTAGATAAGTTAAAGTTGAAAAATATTATTTATTTCCCTCTTGTAACAAAGACTTTTTTTTTCTTAGAGAACAATATCATTCATTACATATAATTTGATCATAATGCCTTCTTTTCTTTAAACATTGTAATATGAATTTATTAATACATTTTTTTATACAAACACCTTGCTCGTTCGAAACCTCGTGCTGTCTCTACATTGACAAAAAAATGCCTAATAGGGATAATGCCTGGGTAAAAAATAAGAAATTCTATTTAGTCCATCAGGCAGATAATAAAAAAATATTACATCTGTATTTTTGTTAACAAGTTAAGTTAACAAGAAATAGTATAAAAGTTCAGAAGTGGGGGCGCGCTACGTCACAGCTTTGTAGAAAATTAACAAAAGCGTGACATCGTGTGACTTTTTAACTCAATGTACCCCACTAATTTATTGATTTAACAAAAAAAGACGTGTTCAATGTCTACTTGACGGACAGACAAAAAAAAAATAGAGATCTCTATTCTAGTACATTGGCATCGACACTAACGGCTAAGCGCTAACGGATATTCTTTTTACGATGCGGTTACATGTCACAAATGTAGAACAATCTTAACAGGACATGTTACAATGATTGTATATAGTATATAAAAATGTAAACATAGGAATTACAAAATAAAATACGATACTCAAGTGACTTGATATTGTCTTATTAGAACAACACTTTTAGATTTGGTAAATGAATGCCTTGTGTAGCGATAGTGTTTCATGTGGACCATATGTATAGTTTGTAGAGTGGTTTAGATTGTAGTAAATGTGTATAATATGTATATCTTGTGTAGTTGTCGTTGAAAATTATACATTAAAAGTAAGTACTCAGGGTATTTGAGTGATCTTTCTTTATACTTGTTTGTTAAGCGAATCGCACCATTAACTACTACTATTTTATTTACTATTATAATTTTTAGCTACAAATTTTTGTTTGTTATCTATACCATGTTTCTTACGAACTGAGAGTAAATGTAAACAGACGCTTGGGATCAACTCTTTCACGGCTCTTAATAATAGAAAATGCAAGGCCCAACCTGAGTATCATATACTTGATAGACTGATGGAGGGACAATGAAGTGGTCCTATAAATACTTTTTAGGGTAAATCATAAAAGTAATTTTAACTATATATTCCATGGCACTGTCCCATTGAAAAAGCTAGACGACATGTATTAAAAAAAAAAATTACCGCTTATTCATTAATTTGCTCCTTCACTTTAAAACAGTTGATCATATAAGATTGCGGCTAGTTTCATTTATGTAAGAGAAATGATCTATTTAAATAATTATTTCGCTTAAATCTAAAGGAGAAACTATTCTTTTTTAAATTTACTTTTCATTGAGATTTTTAATAATTGCAACTTTGACGGTCTTTGTGGTCTTACTTTAGCATGATATAACCAAAATTTATCTTACAACCATCTCTGAGCCTGTTTTTATTTTCTCTCGGCTGGATATAGATTAAAATATGTGTATCTCTTGCACCGGTTGTGTTTCATAAGTTGCATTATGTAGTTTCGTAGATTTTTTTATTTACATACACATGCTGATTTTTTATACGAGAGAAAAAATATGTGGATGCGCTAGCGAATATATATGTATAGTCACTATGACCAAAATAAATGGACGCATATGTTTACCTCTTTGTATTTTGGTCAAGCTTGCCTACCAATAATTACTTAACCTTGTATATCACATCAAAATCTGACACCCATATCTATAGTCGGGACAAGTAATTATGTGAGAAAATGATATTATTTAAGCTAATATTTTTAACAAATAAACAATCATTTGAATGAATACTCTCAAAGGTTAAAATACTGTTAATTATCGATAGTTCTTACTTCATTCAAATTGCCGGCTATTGGTTACAAATATTTGCTAAAGTTATGACATTTTCTCGAGTAAATACTACTCTCGACTATAGAGATGAGTGTTATACCCGTTTTCATTCAACTTAGGATACGCTCAAATCTGTCGCCTAAACATTTAGGGATAGTCTAAGGTGAAAATTACTAGGGACCACCTAATGATATTAAGCAATGTCTTAACTCATGAGATGCGTTATGCGGCGCCTTGCGCTAGGCGTTTCCGTAACATGATGATGATGATGAAAGATTTTTTTATTTGAAATTAAACTAATCTGCATATCATTCATAACGATTCCTAAGATTAGGCGTTTCCTAGTTAAGCTTTACCTTGTTCTAGGTTAATGAAAACGGTTAAACTCATGCTGAAGTTCATAATTTTTGATTAATTTCAATTAATTTAATTTAAATTTAAAAAAAGCTGTACATAAGGGCTACTAGAAATATTGATACAATACTTATAATCGTAAAACATTAAATTTGAAACGAAATATTTTCAGAGGGTGTATACTTTTTGATTTATTTATTGATAGCATGTATTCAATTATGGATTATTAAGTAGGTTATTAAATATTTAAACATCTGACCGTACTCGAATGTAAACGATTTTATTAGTTATTATGACTCTGTTGCGTTTAAATTTGTTTATGTAAATTGATGATCGTAGTTTATGTGTCGTGGGCCAATTGAATACGGCCCGGGCATTTTGGCCATCTATTTATTAAATGCTTAACGTTTGACGATTTGCCCGATTACACTCAGGCCAATCGATTTTGTAGGGTGACCAGAGTACTATTTAAGCAGAGATGGACAAAAACCCAGATTTTCTCTTACCGCCCATCTCTGTATGTAAGGGAAAAAATTAATTTATATAATAATTATTTATTTAAACAATAAAAATAGAGCAAATCGTCAAATACGTTGCTTTCGTCGATCTTCCAAATTTTTTACCATGCCGATCGGGATTTTCCTGGCCAATCATGAAATGACGGCATATCGTGAAATGCCTAGTCAGATCTCGATCGGTCCAATTCAACGATTTGCCCACGACATATACTCATCGGCACACCGTTTTACCCCAAAATGTAAAATTTTACCGAAAACGATTTTAAACTCTATATCAATTCAATAGTTTAAAATCAATTTCAGTAATTCGACATATTTGTATAGCATGCCGTGCTGTTGACTGTACAATGCCATATAAAGCTATATAAATATTTTTAATTAAGTATTTATATTAACATCGCGCGTGGTGAGTTAATTTAATTAATCCTTAATCATTATCACAAAAGCTACGCCAAAATGTGTATCCTCATTATCACAATATTTTACTCATTCTTTCTTCTTCTTATATTAGGGATTCCCAAACTATATCGTGCTTGACATTATTTTCTCATCGACAAATAAATACGCAAGACTTTCGTTGACTTATCTTGAAAGTTTAATTGAAAGTTATGCTAATAAATAGGGATTGAATTTTAGATGTCATCGGTGGGACACCTATTTCAACTCCTAGGCGTCGATATCGGATACTTTGAGAATTCCTGACCTTGCTAAATGTCATTTTTTTTTCAAATATTGCTTTACAATTAGTTTGTACCTACTAATCGGTGTATTGAAGTCAAATAATTTTATTAAATTCTATTTTCCTAATTACACTGTGATGTTTATGATAATGAGTACTGTGAAGTTGATTTAAAACAGAATACATTTTATTTTGCGTGTCTTTATAACGTACTACGGTAAATAGGCATCAACCGTTATTATATCTACGATAACTTCTTAACTTCCATAATATTTCTGGATTTTATTGGATGGATTTTATTCCATAATATTTCTGTAAATTTTAAAGATATTATGCATTTAACCACTCCATCTAACTCTGCTAACGTTACTTTACTAATAATTCTCAGTAAAGTTCATACAAAAAGTTATTTTTAATACAATCATTGTTATTGTTAATTTTGCATTTAGAAATAATTGCTGCAAATACACTCATTTCATTGTAACGAAAGTAATAACTAGAAGCCAATTCTTATTTATAGAATACGACATTATAAATACCATAAAAATAGGTAGTAAATCAATATCGAGAAGTAAGCGGTTATACCTTTTCTACGAGCACTTAACTCTTATGCCCGTTTTCAACTTAGGAGTCGCCTAAATATTTAGGAATCGCCTAAGATAAAAATGCATTTCACCATGGACTAGGAACCACCTAACGAAACTTAGCAATGTCTAAAATTATGATATTCGTTATGCGGCGCCTTGCGCTAGGCATTTGCTTATATGAACGGTAATCATGACAGGTCGATAACAGAAAAAATATATTTATCTGGAATTAAACCAATCTGCTTAGGCGATTCGTAATATTAAGCTATTCCTAGTTAAGCTATGCCTTTTTCTAGGTTAGTGAAACCGGGTGTTAGTACTGTTTGTAGAATCCGGGCTCTGGGGTGCGACCGTCTAACTCTCTAGCCATAGGATCTTATCGATGTTATGTCGATATTTCAATTTATTACTTTGACATGTATTTTAGTAACGATAAACGAACGATAAAGAATGGTAATTATGGATTTGATAGCAGTGTTACCAACTTAGACACTTATCCCAAATTTATCCACCAGACGACAAGTCAAAGTAATAACATAAAACGAAATATTGTCATTGCATCGCTAAGATGTCGTGTCCTATAGATAGAGTCAAGTACAAAGTTAAGCGGTCGCTCTGCTGATCAAAGATAATTTAGTTGTAGACTAGTCACATAATAATATAACTGCATATTTATTCCTCCTTGACTGTGTCTCGGGGTTTGTACTAAATAAATATTTATGTAAATTATGACTGTTTGGTTGATTTTTTAACGATGTGTGTATATTCTAGTCGCGGTATGAAAAGCTCAGATTTAGGTGAATTTTAAATATTGTAAATTTGTTTGCGACGTGAAAAAAGAATGGATTATTATGTTGTACATAATTCTCAAATGTTGTGAATCTTTGACGGGATTTGTTATAATTGTATTCAGGAACAGAATTGAATATTTTGTTTATTCTCGATTTAATTAAAAATGTTATTCAGATAAAAAGAAACGATATAGGAATTTAGTGGTGATATTTTTTTATATTTTATCGTATCATGTAGAAAGGATCTGAGCTTTAAAGTAGTGACGTCTTATCCCATACAAATAGCTGAATTCAATCATTTTAGTTTGCCAATAACGATATTTATGGATTGAAAGGGCCTGTGTGAATATTTTTTGTACTTATTTTTATCTCATTTTTCCCGTTAAGTGTATTCGTTTGTAATTTATTACTGAAATATCGAATAAAATTTGTTTTTAGTTGCATTTTATGTGATTTTTATTTGTTTCATCTTATTTTTGTTTTTGTAAATTCGACAGGTGCCTTATCTGGCAGCTTTGTTCCTTACGTTGCATAGTTGCAATATGCACACAATACTGCAGACTCTGCGAAAGAAAACGCACGGTGGCTTGAAACTCCGGTATAGATTGCGCGCGATCGCATATCGTCTCTCCAATGAAATCACTGTGTTGGTACGTGCACAATATCCCTTCGAAATTTAAACTACTCAAACGTCGAAAGCTAAAAAAAAAATTACCATCACAGAATTTAGTCCGTGTTTTGTCTTTGCGTACTATTTTTACTGTCTACGTTGAAAAAAACATTTTTGTCGCTTAAATATGTCAAGGGGTGTTATTCAATTCAACTTTCCCGATTATACAGCCAAATGGATTTTGGGTTTTGGTATTTCTTAAGTGAAGAATAATTTTGAAAAAAAAAATAGTTTTTCTGGCTGTGGTTTGTACGGGTGTGGGTAATGGTAGCTGTTCTGATACACACACTTAACTAAATATAGATTCAGTCTTATCAAATTGCGTTTTCATTTGTAGAAATAAATAAGATAGCAGAAATAAACTTTCACCTTTCGCCTTTATAATATTAGTAAAATAGTATACAGGAGTGTAGTTGTTTCTTTGAAATCAAATTATTATATTTTATTTGCGGTAGCCAGGGGTAACGTAAATAAAATATAAATGTATATATATTTATTAATACTTATTTTGCTAATGTACACACCATTGAGATCAAAATATCACAAATAGCTCGTGCGCAGTCAAGGCTTTTTATATATTTTTTTAATGCTAGTCAAATTAGCGAATGAAGCAATCGTCATGTGTTTTAGTCTCCGAATGAGATACTACTGGTATTATTTATTCGTCTCGTTCGTGTCAAAGTAGTAAGTAGGTCACATAATAAAGGTATTGTATTAATGGGCTGTGTTTTCTGTTTGTGATTGTAAAGTTTGTATTGTTTTTTATAGTGGTGTTATTGTTACAATTCCTTTTACACGGTTTGCTTAAATTGTACATTATGTTCAAATATTACATTTATTCGGTGTGTAAAACATGTTCAGTCAGTCCTTAGAAGTGCTTGGAACGGCGGCTCTACCACGTTACGCTCTAGCCACAGGATACAATACCTTAGCCACGGTATTTAAAAGTATCAATAAAACTTATTTATAGCTATAGAGCTATAAAAAAGTTAGGTGGTTACTCTTCTGGACTTGAAATTACGTGTTAGAGTCGCTGGGGTTAAAGACTCCGAGGCATGTGGTCGTATCAAAACTCTAGATCGTAAAGTATTAGATGGCATGGGACGGCATTTAGACTTATGAATTAGAGTAATTTTTATTTTAACACTTACTCTTTGATATATTTAGCAATACTCGCTGCATCGCCAAACGTATCAAAATAGAATACACAATTAATAAGCTTAAAAATATATTATTTACTGAGCCATGATCAATCAGTTCAGTTTAATAATATTCAATTCGCTATTCCGGTAAACAGAAAGTACAAAAAGAGCACAGTCAGTCTCATTTCTCAATTATATGTAATAAATTTTAAATTGTCTATTGTTGATTTCTTAATTGATTACAGACGTTTCACTTTTCTTGGTAACCTGGTGTAGGTACATTGATATTATTTATATCATAGTCAATATTGCGTTTGTATTTAGGTATTAGCTTTTCGTTTCGAGTTGGTCGCCGGCGACCTTTACTAAATGACATCACAATAGGCGCAATAACTGTCGTCGACAAAAAAAAGTGGTTTAACTTTTTAATAATAAAAGAAGACTTAGGAATTGCTATTCATTACGATAAAAATACCAAATTTATCAAAACAAAAACAGCTATCCATAGACAGAATCGATAATTAGAAAACTTAGTCGTCGGCACTCAGTGTACGTTACTAGCGTGTGGCAGCAGCATACTCGAAGGCTATGCTATGCTAGGGCTGGCGAAAAAATTTACCAAATGCGAGTGGGAGTTGCGCATGAATTGTTATGTACTCTATAAAAGCGTAAAACCGAAATCTATGACAAAGCGCATGAAAAATCACGTTTATTGTAGATATGGGAGCTTCTCTGCTATATTTATTTTATTGTTTTGTTATAATGGCAACAGAAATACATCATATGTGAAACTTTCAACTGTCTAGCTATTAAGGTTTACATGAACCGCCAGGTTCTATACCTCATGATGTCATGAGGTATAGAACCTGGTGTTAGACAGACAGCGGAGTCTTGGTAATAGGATCTCGTTTTTACCCTTTTGGTACATGATTATATAAACCCCTAAAACGGATTGACCCCAAATAGTATGCGAACGTAGAAAGTGTTCGGTATGTATCGCTATTAATATAATTAAGCACGACGAGTACGCTGTAGGTCGTCAACTCCACCTTGTAAATCAATAGACAGTACTCCGCAGAAACGTTAGTCTTTGAATAGCGATACATGTCGTTTAGGTACTTGTTATTGTCCGTTTTTTTCGCCTACCCTAGTATTACATAATGCTTAGGTTTTATAGTCAAAATTCAATTTTAACCATTAACAATTAAGGTATATCATACATATGACATTATTTTACATTTTTCCCATAAAAATATTTTATTAACATAAGGTTTGAAGGAATGTTAACTCATTTGTTTTAAAGGTAAACTAACATTGAAGTTAACATTGTTAGAGCGATAAAATTCGTGTGAAGCATAATAGACGTTTTAAACGACCCTATTTATGAGTAAGTAAAATTAGTTTATCAATTTACAGGAACAAAAGTGGAGACAGAATAAAGTGGAAACAAAATCAGATTGAGACCAATTAAATTGGTTGACATTGGCCTACCCGTATGTGATTTCTTAGAACTACTTTAAGCCATAATGAAATAATAAATCAATTATATACTGTTTATATTTTCGTATTTATTATCTATGTATAATGCTGTTATATCACTTCTGTAAATAATAGATATTTAATTAAAGCAGAATGATCTTAAAAAAATGTGTTTTAACTTATTTGTCTTTGTTATTAATGATTTTGAGTACTGCCCTGTCCGTTACCGTGTAACTCGATCGGCATCAGCTGAATTAAATGGAGTGAACAGTGTGTGTAATACCTATTGTGGGAGGGTTGGTATGGTACCGACATTTGAAACAAATTATATACCTACACAGCTTCAGCGGTAGTACAAATTATATTGAACATTGAGTGACTGGTTCAAGCCGAAGTCAATGAAATCGAAGTGTTGGTTAGCTGGTACAAAACACGACGTTGCTGACCGCATGAGCACTATTCCACTAGGACTGAGAACACATGGAGCGACTTTTCAGCAGACAAATCGCTTCGAGTTGCTTGTTAGCAATTACAGCAATTTAAAACTGATATAAGTATTGAAAATATATGCCAATAAAAATGAAGCAGATATTACGCTATCGAGTGATCTACCAATATCCAAGCGCCTGATCTTGCCGAGTGTGAGTGACAAGACACCCTAATGTTTGTATTTTATACGTTTAGTAAGATTTTTTTTAAAATCATGCTGGATCAAATACAAACATATTTTTACAAGAATAACCTTATGAATCGACAATTTAGTTTTACAACGTGTCGCGCAACAACCGAAGCCGGTGTCGAGTCAACACAAGAGATTTATAATGCCTGGGAGGATTCACATGATGCAGGTGTTTTTTTGTGACCTATCTATGACATTTGATTGTGTTTTTCATGAAACATTGATTGAAAAAATTGCATGAAACTTCATTACTATGGATTTAGTTTACGCAATAAACACATCTCAATAGAATCTCAAGTACTTGAATTTTGCTCTTGTACTATCTGAAGTCCAATATTATTATTTATTTGTCACCATTGATATGTTAGGATATCTTAGTACTTAAAATATCTGTGATAACAAATCCACTAAACGAATATTCATCATTTTCAGCCCCCACTGCCGGGGCTCACGGCTTCCTTATAGATGGTTAAGGAGGATGGGTTATAACCCTCCACGCTCATCAAATGTAGATCGGAGGATAGGTATTAACGACTGCAAATGCAGCTGGAATCAACGGCTTAGGCGAAATCCCCACGAGCGAGAGAATCGCGGCGATATTATCGTCGTGCCACGTATTTCTATATACTCTTTATGAAAGCGTCTCCACACGGCGATACGGTGAGTGGCAATGTGCGCGCGTAATATCGTATCGCTCACGCCGCGCGCCCGCCGCAGAAAGTGGCACCCTCGCAGCGCTCGCGTTTTCAAACGTAACGTCATTTCAGCGTTGCCTCTCACCAAGCAAGAATATGATGTTATCTATTGACAAGCTTTATATAAAAACAATACATATGTACAATGTTTGACATCGAAAAGTTTATACTTGAAGTGAGAGAAAGGGCTGCCCTGTACGATGTTTAATTTCCGAGACACTACTTTTTTCGCTCTCGTCTGGCACCTAACTGAATTCTTCCAACAAAATAAAAATACAACGCATCGTCAAGGACATGCGGCGATTCTGTTAAGAGTCGTCGCGGATATGCTGCGATTCCGTCACGAGTCGTGACGATCCGCTGGCAGAATAATCGCTCATTCGTGGAGATTACTCGCGATTCTCTCGCTCGTGAAGACAACACCTTAACGCGCCTTTTGAAGCACGGAGTAGCTAGAGATAATTATTTTTTGGTCACCCATTCTGTGACCGACTCTTGCGAAAGTCAACAGCGTTCGAGGGCCGTGGCGCTTATCCACTACGTTACCGAGCTACTGAATTTTTCACATATACAATTAACGTTATTATATTTGAATGATTTTGCATTCACAATGCACTGCTGAAAAATATTCTTAATGAAAAACGCTTAAAAAATCCATTTTGTCCCTGGTACTCTGAGATGGGATGGGATGATCTGAGAATACCAGGGACATAGTGGATATTTTAAACATTTTTCATTAGCAATAAATTTACTCAATATAATAGGGGATCGGACAATTTTTTAAAAACTGTTTTGAATTAATCATTATGGCACTTATTCGGATAAAAAAAAAATATATTTTGTAAATAAACCTCATGATGTACCCAAAACTGTTTAAAATTTTAATTTTTAAAAAACCGCATAAACTGCGACTCCGTTTACGTCACGTCATTAGTGGGGTACACAAAAATAGTATTTTTGAGTGAAAAAGTTGATTTATCGTCTGCAGTGATTATATTTAAACTCACAAATACGTAAAACAGTAAACTGATCCTTGTAACCTGTTAACAGTAGTAAATCATCAACATTAATTGATGTAGTAGTAAATCATGAACTTTGATGGTTTCCCGCGCTTTTCCTCCCATAAATGACGTATCGCGCTCCGATTGGTGTTTCACTTGACATGAGACAAGACTATAAATATGCGAATAATCTTTAAATTTTATGAACTTTTTAACCACGTACAATTTATATTTCTAATTCCTGTCTGATCCCGTATTATTTATTGCTTTTCATAGAATAATGCAAAAAAGTAATAGATTCTATTGAAGTGCCTTTGTCATGCTCTGGCACAAATAAGGTACTATAATATTGCAAGTTATAAATTGTTTTCTGTAAATAAAAGCTTACAATGCCATTTACATATTTTAATATGTAAAGTATTAAATTTCATAAATTATGTAGGAACAAAAAGACGCAGTACACAGAACAGTACGTCAGGTTACTACCGAATCTCATACGATTTTTAACTTTAATTACAATAACTTTAGTTACAATAACTCAAAGGAATTTGTGTGTTTTTCATAACCAGATGTGCTGTCGATTGTACACTTGAATTTCTACCACATCTTTAAATTTAATATTTACAATATCTGCCAGAAATTAACGTCGGAACCACAAATATATAAGAAACAAACTATTATGTAATAGGCTTAGGTACAACTCATAAGTATAAATTAAGAATTTGTGGACAATGTGTTAACAGGTAAAGCAGACTCAGTAATGAAAACTAAATATTAATGAAAAGAACATTAGGTACTCTTATTCTATTGTTCTTTACATATTTACATCAATATTATGAATATATAGAATTGTTATTATATGAAAATAAATAGGCAACAAAACTTAATCTTCTGGCTCTTCTGTCAAGTACTGGTCATTTTCTCCATCTGAAGGGTCACTATCATTGTTTACCTCCACACGAGGCTTCTTTATTAGAAGACCCTGCTTCTGTAATTTTTCTATTGCCTCTAAAGTATTGCGTTGTGATGCATTAAGTTCGTTCTTCTCTTCAACTTGTACTGCTTGCTTACTTTGACTAGTTTTAACTACTTTTATTCCTGACAAATTATTAAGTTTACTCAATTGTGAGCTACTACTCATTTCAGTTTTCACTTGTGAAGCGGTGACCACTGTGTTTCCTCTTACAACTTTTGTTGCACTGCTAAAGTTCGTTTTACTATGAGAAGTATACTGAACGGTAGAGTTCATCTGTTCATTGTCGAAATTTGGAACATCAGATACAGGAATGAGTGATTCTTTTGGTTTTTTAAAGCAACTGAAATGACCTATGGCATCTTCAGATGGCCTTTTAGTTGTGGTCATAACATTAGGGGAAATTTTAATTGGTCTTCCTACACTTGGACCTTGTTGGCGAGGAGAAGACGAAGGACCAATTTTTTTTACAGTTGGCATTCTTGGAGTGGTTGCTCTTGTTGGATTGAATGATGGTCTTACAGGTACTAACTGATTAGGCGGCCTCAGTGTTGCTCCTATTGTTGGTCTTGTAGGAGTCAAACCTCTGACTTTTGTCCCAAAAGTTGGTGTCGCTTGACGAACTGTAACACCTTGGAAATTTTTAAAGTTTTGGTTAGACCTCATTCCTTGAACTTTTTGATATTTTATAGGTTGAGCAATATCTCTAGAACTTTGAGATTGTTGTTTCACTGTTTGGTTGACTGTTTTTATTGTCTTTGTAACAGTAGTGGTGATCTCTTGTATTACAGTTTTGGTTTGAAACGTTTTCACTGTGACCTCTTTATTTACAGTACTGACTTGATTATCTGATGCTACATTTTGATTGACTAATTGATTAATTGCTTGCGCTGACTTTGTAACTTTACTATTTATTCCAGAGACTGAATCGTTTTCTTCTTCTGTTGTTTGCTTAAATGGTTTTATAGACAATTCTTTATTACTACTTATTGCGGAAGGAATGACTTTCGACGGTGATGGCTGAATCTCTTTATTTCCTTTGTTTATTGATTTTATCGTTAGATTTTTATTTATATTTTTTATGTCTAATGATCGAACTTGTGTATTTTCAAATGGTTTTCTGAGTGTGTTAGTTTTAATGTGGGTTTCTAAATCAGACATCTCATCACCTGGATCCTCATTAAAATCATTGACATTGTCATTGTCACTATTTGAACCTTCTGGTGACTGAACAAATACATTTACATCATGTCCGTGAGTGTTGCTCTCTCTGTCATTAATTTCATTATCACTCATGTTATCATCTTTTAGTTCAGTTATTTTTACTTTCCCAGGAACAAAGTCATTATCGCTGTCTGGATCATCCATATCATCTCTAGACTCAAAATTTAAATCTTTGTTAGAAGTGACAGACACACTAGGGGAAGAATTTCGCGATTTAACTGTTATATTTTTTCCCAGGTTCTTAAGTGCTTGAATATTCGAACTCTGCAGACTTAACTTCTGATTAATACTTAGATTCGCCGGCATGAACATGTCTTGATCATCTTCATCAGAGAAATCAGACATTGAGCATTGATTACTATTATGTAGAGCTTGTTTTGATAATGGTATCTGTTTAATAACATTTTTCTTTATTTTTGTAGTCTGTTGATTAAGCGATTTCACAGTAATATTTTGAACATGCTTTAACTTTTCAAGAGATTTATTGGATGTATATTCATTAGATATAATCTTGGTAGTATTGACTTCTTGGCGAATTGAATTAGATTTTGCTGCTTCATCACTATCGGAATCATCAATGTTATATATTTCAATGTTCTCATTTATTTCTTTTTTATTAACCTCAGTTTGGGTTATGCCTTTTTTACCTAGGAGCTGGGAACTACCTGATGACTTATCTGTCGTAGTGGTTTTGCTCGTTTTATTTACTGGTTTTGCAGTGATGTTCCTTAAATGCTTAAGAAGATTTACATTTGCGTTCTGTTTTTCTAATTTTTCTGAAATATATGTATCTATGTTGCTAATCTGTTTTAATTCAGCAGTTTGTTTTGGCAACTTAACATTATTATCTATATTAACAGCCGCCAAATTCTTTGCAGGAGTATATCGCTCTAGCACTTGCGTTTTATTACTCTTAGCCACATTATCATCTTTTGATTCGGCAACATTATCATACTTTTTTTCTATAACATTTTTAGAATGCATTAGAGGTTTTACTGTTATATTTTTATTGAGTGTTTTTAATGCTTGAAGGGAATCAAATGTTACTTTTGTTTCATTATCAGGCATATCATCTTCATTGTGATCTGATATATTTCCAGTGTCTTCTTCATCTGAATCATTTGTGTCACTGTTATTTTGTAGTCTTTGTGCAGATGTAGGACTACCCTTTGAATTAACCGATTTGACTGTTATTAGATGGCTCAAGTGCTTCAATGCATCTAAAGAATTCTTTTTATTATCATTCGATGCCAAAAGCTGTTTAGTGTTCCCTGTATCTGAATGGTCACTTTTCAAACTTTTATCAGAAAGTTTGAATTGTACCTCTGTGGAATTTATAGTATCAGATTCTTTGTTTATTTCACTACAATTGGCTGGAATTGAAGATTTTACAGAAATATTGTTACTAAGAATATTAGGTTTTATTTGTGCATATTTTTTTTCTATATTATCATTATTTTCTTTGTTAATGCAATCTTTCTCAATAACTGGTTTTGTTTCAAAGCATGTAGAATTCTTAATTAAACCAGAATTTGTATTCTTAGAACACTCAAAATCAGTCTGTGGCTCAGTTCGAGAAATAGAAGAGCTTGAAATATTATTTTTGACATCATTACTTATATAAAATTTTTTTGCTTGGTCTTCAGTCTTTTCTTTTGCGCCCGATGAAGCAACTAAACTATGTTTTATATGAGACTCTTTATTATTTTCTGGTGACTGGCACTTTTTGATACCTTCTACACTAGTGGATGTCAATTCGCTGTGAGAATCAAAATCGGTTTTTTCATTAGAGGATGTTTTTATAATTTTAATTTCTGAATTTGACAACTTTGACAAAACTTCATTGGGTGTTTTTGTTTGAAGAGTGGCTTTATTTTGTGTATTTTGTTGGACTTCAGACTGCTTGCTAGGCAATTTATTTCCCAATTTAACAGCCTTTATTGGCAATTTCTTAGAATTCATTTTAACTATAATTCCTTGTTTTTTTAATTTTTCTATATTAGTACTCTCTAAACGCTTGAGACTTGGTCTACCTACTTTTTTCTGTTTCAATCTTTTTGCAATAACTTTAGTTGGAACTTCTTCAATACCTTCAAAATCTAAACCTTCACCAAACACATCCTTGTTCATATTTAAGAATTCATCAAGAGTTATAGCTGGTTTCTTGCTCTTCTTATGCTTTTTATGTTTTTTGGATTTTTTTGGCTTTTCACTGTCATTGTCATTTGAATTATCCATTGCCATTTCTAAAAACTTTTCCTGTAACAATTTGATTAAAAATATGAAAATGAGTAACAAATTATTCAATCATATTTAATTTTAGCTATAATATATACTGACCAATCCAATTGCATTCATTGCAGTTTCAGCATCTTGGGATTCCACAATTTCCACTTTTTCCATTAATGGAGGTACAGTCTCTAAAGAAAACTCTGTTATCTGCTCAAACCTGCAATCAGATTATGAATTAAATAAAGTATGAATTAATTAAATAAGCGAATCTACTTGTATAACATGATGTAATAAGATACTGTAAGATATTTTTTTTTCTCTTGAGGTTTAGATTTAATTGAACTATGAATTGTGAACTGACATACCTTGTATAACAATATTGTTATAAATGGCTAATAAATAAATTAATTCTGTCCCAAAATAAAAAATAAGTGACTACTGTTTGCAATATTGCAGGCAATAAATGTATTACACTTCAATACTATAAAATATAGCACTTCAATACTATTTAAACAGTAATACCTCTTCATACTTACACACAGTAAGGTATATGATATTGCATAAGCTATGAATACTCACAATTCATTTGTTTCTGTATATAAATCTTCAGTTGAATGAAAAGTAAGATGTAATTCATAAGCATCTAGATGATAAAATATGGCTTCACACAAGGGACACCTAAGCACATCTTCGGGGCATTGGTTCTCATCATTGTGATCATCTAACACATGTTTCTGTAATATATAAAATATTTATATGACAGACATCTTTTTATACAAAATTGCCAACTGCTTGTGATTATATGCTTAGTCAATAGATATGATATGTACTATTAAAGAACAATCAAATATCAATTGCAGTAGTCCAGTGGCATAGTGGGTAGATAAGCACTGTGGCGTGTGAACATGGTTGTTAAACAACTTTCAAAAGGGTTGGTCACAGGATGGGTGCCTAAAAATTATTATCTTGTGCTACTCCATGCTCTAGAATATACATTAAGCTGCTGGTTCCGGCTGTTTTTGCAGTTGCTAATACGCTCCAATCCGCATTGGGCCAGCATGGAGGGTTATGGCACATCCTTATCCACAGGGATAGCCCGAGCACCTGCAGTGGGGACATAACAGGACTCACAATGATCATGATAAATAGTGATTACATCTAATATACCGCCTGCATTTAAAATGACTCTCCAAATTTTTTCTAGGCATTAGGTATCGTTAATAGATCACATATATGAAAAAAAAACAGTATGTAAAATTTTCAAAATGAAGTGTAAACTTTTGTAATTACAAGATAATTATAACATTCGCATTGTCACATTAGTTATGAACGAAACGAGCAGGGGTAGCAAGGGGCGCGGGCGCAGGGGATGCGCCGCGCATGCGCCGCGCATGCACCGCCGACGATATCTGCTCGGTTTTTTATTTAGTCGGCAACATCAGTCACCCGCGCATAATCCCTTTGAACGCACGCGCTTCCGCCTTTGCTTCCGTGTTGCGCGCCACCCGCCGCAGCCCCACACTTCGCGCGTCGGAATGTATTCCAATCGCGAATATTACGAAATGGTGCGGTGTTACATTTTAAGCGGTGAAAGTTTAAATGCAGCTCGGAGACTATACGAAACAGAATCCATCCCAGCCCTGCAAAATCAGGGATTAATAAACCCCGCAGTACCTAGTCGCGAGACATTTTTGGCTGTGAACCAAAGGCTATTGGACTATGGTCAATTTACTACGCCTGCTCACGCTCGCGGAGGTGGAAGATCAAGACTTGCAGTTGAAATCGAAGATGAAATCTTGGATTTCTTCGAAAGGGACCCGCGAGCCAGTACACGAGATGCCGCACGCCGATTTAACGTAAGCCACTATGCCGTGTGGAAGCTGCTGAATGTGACAGGGCTACACCCTTACCACTTCCAAAAGGTCCAAGCTCTACACGATGGAGATAATGTGCCCCGTCGCACCTTTTGTGAATGGCTGATTGCACACCCTAATGCCAACATTTTGTGGACTGACGAAGCATTGTTTACTCGTGTGGGGCTTTATAACCATCATAACGAACACTGGTGGTCCTTCAGAAATCCGCATATGATTCGGGAAACCCACCATCAAGTGCGCTTTAGTGTCAATGTGTGGGCCGGTGTTATAGGCACGAAAATACTGGGGCCGTACTTCATCGAAGGGCCGCTCACCGGCGGCAACTTCCTCGATATGTTGCGGCATGTCATTGCCGATTTCATGGAGGACTTGCCCGTGGCCTACTTCCGGGATTTTTATTTTCAACTGGACGGTGCACCACCCCATTACGCCGCCGCCGTCCGAGATCATCTCACCATAGAATATGGTGATCGATGGATTGGACGCGGAGGCCCCATCGTGTGGCCTGCTCGATCGCCGGACCTAACACCGTGCGACTTTTATTTGTGGGGTGAAATCAAAAGACGTGTGTATTTTGAAGAAGCACAAAGCCTCGAGGACTTAAAAGTGCAAATTAGTGCGGCATTTGACCACGTGAAAAATGACACTGTAGTGCTCGCCAAATTAAAAGACAATGTGCAAAAACGTGCAAGACTCTGTGTGGAGAGGAACGGTATGCACTTTGAACAATTATTAAAGTATACGTAGGTAAATAGTTAAATTAGGTAGGATAGTGATTAGTTGATTATGTACATAAAGTTGATGATTTTTTAAATACGCCTGATTGCAAAGAATATCTAGTTAAGTACCTACTTTTTTTATTATTGGTTTAACTAAACAGAATTTTAGGTAACTTGATATTTGCTTACCTACTTATTTATAAATTTAAAGCAGTATAGTTATTGTAATAGTAGGTATCTAATAGAATTTTTGCAATTTGACGGTCCTAAGCCCGTAAAAGTATGAAGGAAAGGTTTCAACTTTATGTACCATTTGCCCTAGCATAAAAAAACGAAAACATTTTAGGTAGCTGCTACTAACTCGCAAACGTACTTGTATTACTATCAATGAATTGCGGGAAGGGAGGGGGGGGGGAACTAACGTAGCGCGTAAAGCGCACGTACTGGGCAGCGGGAGCGTCCACAAATGTATGTTTTTTGAAAATAACTTGGTGACGATATAACTCAACATTTTTGTTCTAAACGACATAAAAAGAAAAAACACGTATTTCATTATTTGTCGTAAAGATTAACATACTAAAATTTGGAGAGTGGTTTTAAATGCTTCTTGTATAAAATAATAATTTCCCAGTTTTAGTTACTGTACTCCTCTGAAACAGATGACTGATTTTGATGAAATTTCATATTATATTCAGTAGGTCTATTCTAAATAGATTATTATGGTGGTCCACCCCAAAATTATAGGAAAATATTTTTTTTGAGTCTATTACACTCAGTGGTACATACATCCATAAAAAATTATCATTAGTTTAAAATAACACTACCAATATTAATTATTAAATTTAGAAGCTACATTAAAGCTTAAAGTCTCATTAACACTTAAAGTCCTCATTAACACTTAATAGACGTTTGTGCAACTGAATGCGAGTGATATATACAAATATGCTTACATGTAGGTTAACCTTGTTGTCATATTCATCACCACAAAATGCACAATAATAAATTTGTAGAATATCCTGTAAAAATTTCAAAATTTTGTCATTAATCAGTTTGTGATGAATTTAACAAATGAAAGATTATAAATTTTTAAGGTTTTTACTTGATTAATCATTCTCAGTTTCTTTGATTGTCCCACTGAAGACAAATCAGTATCCTGTCTATGAAAAAATTTATTGTGGTATAACATGGCGGTTGCAATAAAAAAGTCAACATTGCACATATCACAATGAAAGTTCACATCATCATTTTTTCCCTGTTCTTGATGGGTTGATTGTAAATGTTTATTGTACAGGTGCTGAAATTATATAATTACATTATATATGACAAAATAGTTTAAAAAATTATTGCAAGAATATAACACAAGCTTATATTGATTACTTATCTATTGTTAAATAAAATATTCTTGGCAGACACAAAAATTTATTTTTTATTATTAGGTAAGCAAAGGAATCCTTAAAGCTTAGATTATAATTTAACGCCTAATAAAAAATAGTAATTTCTTCATATCAACTTTAGATAAAATGATGCGGAGCGGGAGGGGAGAGGGGGGATAGCATAGTTCAACACACACACATTTGTGATTTGTTAGATAGTGGTTGTCAAAAATTCTAACCTTCATTGTGAAGAGTTTTCCACACCAGGGGCAGAAATATTTGGCGTCGTGATCTGGATGTACTTTGTGTTTGTGAGTAATCGCCTTAGATATAGTCGGGAATACTTCGGGGCAAACATCACAGTTAACCAATTCTTCATCTTCATTCCGTTTTTCATCAGAAGCTTCATTTTGAGATCGGTTCTTTATTCTTAAACTTTGATTGAACTTGGGATCACCATGCTTTCTATAGAAATAAGGTAAAGGTAAATAAAAGTTAAATCATATTATTGACAATTAAAATATTGAAGACGTAAGTACCTAAAATGTATTTGCAGCTCCTCTTTATTTTCGAAGGAATCTTTACAAAACACGCAACTGAATTCTTGAGTTGAAGTCATATTCACTCATCTAACAAAATAGGCCCTTGTTATTTCAATACACACATCTTAAACGATCATGTCCTCTATACAGAATAATATTCACTTTACATTTTTTCTATTCTTATATATCTATAAAGTCCTGTTATTATAGTAAAGCACTAATACTAAATTAATATTGTACTAAAGTGCCACTTTTTCTACACAACAAACAAAACGAGAAACAATATCATCCATCCATTTTGCAATCCCAATCAAACAGTGTTGCCAGTAGTCATATATTGGTTTGCCGTATACGAGGGAAAAAATTGCCGTATTTCAACTGAAATTGCCATACATGCTTTATTTTTAACCGATTTCAACAAAGGAGTTTATCAATTTGTCTTGTACTGTGTAATCTAGTTGAAATGACGCAATATTCATATAATCTTAGACTATCTGAGATTCTGAACACGGGTGCAAAATCTTACTTTACAAGTTTTATTTTATTTTGTTTATGTTTTTCATCCAATTCTAATTATTCTTATTACTTTTCTTTAGCTTTTAACTTTCCAAAAATTTCGCCACATATTCTGAAATAAAAGAACTTCAAGGAAAAGCCTTATACGGAACAATGTATCTAGGAATTCTAATAAATTACTCCAAAATTCATCATTCATGCCGTTGTTTGCTGGTGACCTGTGTAACGAGTTTTGTAAAAAATACCTATTTCAGACATCTTCACAGTAAATATATATACATAAAAGATTGAAATTCCTATATTGTACTAAAAAAAAAACATAAATTTGTATATTCATAAATTAATGTACGGGACTGTATCAGAAAACTGTAAATAGAAATGTATAAGATAGAATGTCTTCATTCTGTATAAGAAAGTCTTCACGTTCAGCTTGCTTTTCTTCGTTCAATTTATGGCGCCTATTACACTACCCAATCTATCGGGCACGATATATCGGCCGCGATTTAGGGCGGTTGGTGTCGTTGTGATTACACTGCAACAGATCGCCTCCCTAACTCAGTTGGCATGCAAACGTGGCGTTGAAAGGATGGCTCCTTCGCTCACAAAGTACCAAAACATTGGCATAGCCCATACTTTAACTGCGGGCGTAAATAATAAAACAAAATGTTGGGTGAAAAATATTTGCTTCTAAATGACCAACTATGCAGTTTGAACTACTACAGAATGAGTTCTGCATAATTTGATCATATATTAAACTTAGTCATACCTTATATAGCGCAAAACAGCGGTTAGCTGTGCTGTGACCTTAAAATTTTTATCAACAGAAAATGCATATCATGACTTAAAGTATAAATACTCAATAAGTTTATTGTTTCCATAGGTAATTTAAAATAATATTACATAATTAAGTTAGTCTCACTTTGGACCCTATCGGGCACAACAATAATATAAAGTTTATTATACCATTAGTTTTTATTATTGTAAATATAAAATTTATAATTGTACCAGACACATGCAAAGGCTATCTAGAAATGTTTAAAAAATTTTTTTTGGTGGTTCAGTATCAGTAATAGAACACTTTTCCATAATTAGTTAAAAAAAATTTTTTAAATATTTTTATCCCTATCGAAACGGTAGAATATGGACACATTTTTTAAAATAAAACTTCAATGAAAACGTCTTCTCTTGCGTATACCACCGTGCATCCCCGCCGCACCCGGTAGCCCCCCGTAACAGCCCCCACCGCCCCGCTGGGACCGAGCGACGCGCGCGGCAGTGAGACCATACGCACGCGCCGATGTGACGTGCCCTCACGTTCCAGCGCACGCGACGCGCCCGCCGTCGTGAGTTTTACGAGATGGTATGAGTTTATCTTCTGAGTGGTGAAAACCTATATAAGCGCAATTCGGAGAAAGTATGCGACGAAGAGCATACCTCGTATGCGGGCCTTTGGGATCCGTAACCCCGCGGTCCCTAATGCTTCGAACCATTTTAACAGACGAAGTCCCAGAGTCAGTACCCACGATGCGGCATGTCTCTTTGGTGTGAGCCAGCCTGCGGTATTGAAGCTGCTTAAAACAGCCGGACTCCATCCGTACCACTTTCAGTCGGTTCAACAGTTCCATGACCTAGACCCAGTACCACGTCGAGCCTTATGTGAGTGGCTTCTACACCACCGCGATGTAAACATCTTGTGGACGGATGAGGCATTGTTCACACGTGAGGGACTCTTTCTTATGGGAAGAAGTCAAACGCCGAGATGTTGAGGAGGCACAAAGTCTAGAAGACCTAACAATAAAAAATAATAACGCTTTCAGTGAAGTGAAAAGTGACACTAGTGTTTTAAACAAATTAAATGACAATTTAATGAAATGTGCACGTTTATGTCTGGACAGACGTGGGCTTCATTTTGAACAAATATTAAAATACATGGTAAGTAATTAGTTAGGTATTTGTTATTCAACATTATTGTAAATACGTAGTTGATTCTAATTTTATTAAATACGCCTTAACGCAGAAGTACCAATGTAACTTCGGCATAACGTTAATATTTTTTTCTAGGTAACGAATTTGTTTCTCTTTTATTATTTTGCATTGTGATGGCCTTAACCATAAAAGTATGAAGGGAAAATTGGAATTACTCTTAGAAATCACCTTAGATCATGGCATAAAATCTAGTTCGAATCTAACAAAATGAGCGGCCAGTGACCCGTGTAGATAGGTACCTACGAGTACATGCCTACGGCCGGCGTCGAGCGAGCGCTCAGCTGACGCACGGCGCGCGGTATCCATAAATTAAGTTTTCAAATCTCGATCTTTGATAAGCGATAACTTTATTTTTTAGTATTAGAACATATCAAAATAAAAAATACGTGTTTGTTTAAATTACTTAAAGTTTATTTTCACAAAATCTTCGCAGTGGTTTTAAATTATTCCTGTATATATATATAAGAAAATGTAATAATATTAAATTACACTTAATATTATGTCTTTTCCTTTTGAGAAGACATTTTTGTCTGTTCGCAAATTTCGTTGTCGTTCACTGACGTCTCACACGCACGCTGCGCAACAGCCGACTGAGCGCTCTAACATAGAGCTGTAGCAAATCGTATGTATTCGGTACTGAGTAACGGGTGCGCCGTCTAGTACCGAGTAACGAAACGTTACTCACGAATGCATTTCGTTACTCGCATTTTTCTTATGTACCAAGTACCAATACTGTTTCAGTTTATGTACTAGTACCGTTGATGCGCGTATTGAAACGCTTGTTGATTGTATCTGCCTACCGATATTACGCATGCGCCCATTGCGCGCGCTTATTCGATGAGTTTAAAATGTACGTTACAAAAAACGACGTTTGTTATAGAATAATTTGGAAATTACTCATCCAAGTATTTTACTGTTGAGTAAAATTATTGTGTGTATAAAAGTTTGATTTTGGTACATAAACAAGGTAAGAAAGTATTAATAATTATATGTAATGTTTTGATTTATTATTATTGCGTATTTTTAATTCTTATCTTTTAAGGGTTATTATGATTGAGACACTTGAGTTTTAACTATTTATTGCATGAGGCAATATCTAGAAGAACGCATTATTTTTTATACCCCGAACTTTCAAATATGTCTGAGAAATATTTATCAGTGATGACTACCTCGGTACCATTTGGAAGGATATTTTCAAATCGGTCCAAATATTAAAGGAAAAGATTTATTTTTAAATATGAACTATAGATTCCTGCCCTAAAATGTCTTATTTTATTATAAATAAATGATTTTCTACTCCCATTACTATTACCAACGTTACTACAAATAACGAATGTTGCGATATCATACTGTACAATTCGATTCGTAGCTCTGACATAAATATGAGATATTGGAAGTAACGAGTAACGTAACGATACGAAAGTAACGAGTAATGATTTTTAGAGTAACGAATACATACGGGTACAGTTTTATTCGTTACTTTTACAGCTCTACTCTAACACCCTAACAGCGATCACATTACCCGATAAATCGGCCCTAACTCTCATCGGGCGATCGGGCGCCCACGTTCACCCGATATCGGGACCCTAACTCCCTAACTGCGATTAGACTACCCAATTTACAGTGTATCCGATGGATCGGGCTATCGGGCCCGATTGGGTAGTGTAATAGGCGCCTATGTCTACTCTAATAATGATAAAGATTCCTTGCTTAGTTAGCTCGGTGATAAAATTGAAATGCATATGATAGACCATTTGTTTAACTATGAATTTTTCAAAGTACCTAGTATGAGTGTAATCTTATTTCATAGACAGTAGTTTAGTAGTGTGATTGTGTGTTCCATTGATTTGAGCCGTCTTTTGGTGTACAGTAGTAGTACTCCGTCTGCCGTACACCGTACTATCTGATTTTTAAGAGCTTGTTCCCGAAATCAAACTAAATGTTGCTACGCTACTTTCTTGAGTTCTATATGACAACTCTTCCGGTTTTCTTTCAAGTATAAAAGTAAATTAATTTTCAAAACTAAATAAGCAACTCATATTCTATTTGTACTTTTTCGTATTTGAATTGCCAATAACCCTGCAGATTTAGAAAAAATTTAGAGCCATAGAGAAAGACCAATATCGAAGTGATGTTACTTATTTTCTAATCGATTTTAAAGCGATCCGAATTTTATAGAATATTACAAATTCTGCGATCCTAAAGAGATTCTTCTGCTAGTGCAATATGCCCACAGAACATTATTATTACTCTACGAGATTTAGTAAATTTCAGAAGTTGGGTAGTTTTGTATTTATGTGCTCTTGACTTTTGGCAGTCTGTTGATTAAATTGGAACTGAGGGTAGACGTATATTAGTGTGATATTAGTTCAGGCACGTTCAGGCGGCTACGATATTTTTATATCTTTGTAACTTTTTTCGCTAGCATTTCATTATTAAATAAGTTTTCATCATCATCATTATCATCAGCCCTTTTACGTCCCCACTGCAGGGGCTCAGGCCTTCCTTATGGATGGTTATGGAGGATGGGCCATGACCCTCCACCTTGCCCCAATGCGGATTGGAGGGTATTAACGACTGCAAATGCAGCCGGGACCAACGGCTTAACGTGCCTTCCGAAGCACGGAGTATCTCGAGATAATAATTTTTTGGTCACCCATCCCGTGACCGACCCTTGCGAAAGTTTCTTAACGACTACGATCACGGGCCGCGGCGCTAATCCACTACGCCACCGAGCTACTCAAATAAGTTTTAATTAAAATAAATTAACGATGATCAGTTGTAATATGTTTATAATATTTTCGAGGAGGAGGATTGGGTTGAAAGTGTAAATGTCGATAATCCATGGCGTATTTTGTATGTAGCTAAAAAGCTATGTATCCACCATAATTAAAATAATGTAAAATAGCCGCAGTTTTCAATGATATTGTTTTCTATTACGAATTTTATTTCATTTTATTCACAGGTTTGAAAGTTCATAATGGCCAAGTTAATAAAACTATTTCACACTTCAACGCGATATTACTCAGGTGTAAGTGGGAATATAAAAGCTAGAAAATATGTGCTTACAAAATATTTTAATGGAGAACCAAAAAAGTCAGATTTTAAAATTGTCGAAGAAGAACTGCCCGAGTTGAAAGATGGAGGTAAATGTTGTACTGTATTATGTATTGTACGATCTACAAAAATATATATGATTAACTTAAAGTCCTCAAACTTGCCAACTTTATGAAATGAGAAAGAAAATATAGAATGCATAGATTTCAGTTTTTTTATAAGTTGTTAAATGAAACAAGCCTTTTTTCCAATAAAATAATTCAAGTTCTGGGCTTGTTTTATTCTTTATAAGAGGAGGCATGGTAAACCTCTCAACCAAGGTACTAGCAGCTGCCTCTCGTTGTATAAGCATTGAGTAAAAATTTAAACTCTAAAAACCAAAGGGTTTGATAAATTTTACAATATTGGTTTTTATTGATTGAAGGTTTCCAGAGAATTTTGAAATAAAAACATTAAATGTGAAAGCTATTTTGCATTTAGGTTTATATTTTTCATATGACGTATGTTTATACGTCATCAGAATCTTGACTACATAAAAATAAAATTATTATTTATTTTTACAGAAATATTGACGGAAGCCGAATATCTCAGTGTCGATCCATACATGCGGGCTTATATGATTGGTTATAAATTGCCTACAGACATGATTGGAGGACAGGTGGCAAAGTAAGGAATAGTGTTTTGTATAATCAAAAAACAGTAGGTTTATTACCTTTAATGCAACTTTCATGTGTTTGTATTGACAAGGTTTTAATATCATGCTTAGTATATATTTATGTTTTTAGGATAATAGAGAGCCGTAATGAAAAGTTTCCTGTTGGTAAATATGTTGTAGGTCAATTTGGATGGCGCACTCACACAGTGTGCAACCCACACAAACCATTAAATCAAGTTTTTATGCCGACATTGTTATTAAATCTAGGTTCACATCCCGTGTCTCTTGGTCTTGGAATACTGGGTATGCCTGGGTAAGCATTTTTATAATGAATTAAGAAGGCATGTACATATAGCATTATTAACGTTCAACTGGTTTTGTTTAGAGAGATATGTCCAAGTTGTAATTCAAAATAAAAGGTTTTGCTATGCACACCAAAAGGAATTTATAAATATTACTATAAAGAATAAAATAACAAAACTATCTCTAAAATTCTATTTTGTTTTCTTTTCTTATTTGTCTCGTAATTATACCCATTTTTAGGAAAAAGTTGATAAATATGTGAGTCACATTGTGGCCAAGGGTATAATTATACAACACTTAAATAATCTAGCTTGCGAGTAAATAAAATAAAATTGTCTATCTTATTGCTAGACGTAATAAGATACACAGGGACAGTATTAAGACTTTCCTCCTTCTCCAATAGTGATATTAAGATAAACTTTTAATAGTAAATTATAATGCAGGCATACCTTTTTTTTAAATATAGAAATACTTCTTACTTTGGCTTGAAGGAAATTTGTAAGCCAAAATCAGGTGAAACTATTGTAATTACCGGTGCTGCTGGTGCAGTAGGTTCTCATGTGGGCCAGATTGGGAAAATACTTGGTAAGTAATTAATCAGCTTAGGTAATATATTTAAAATCCAAATTCGTATATCTCGCGTGGATTAATAATACGTTTCATAAAATATTATTTTCAGGGTGCAGAGTTATAGGATTTGCTGGCACTGATGAAAAATGCGAATATTTAACTAAAGAATTGGGCTTTGATCATGCGTTTAACTACAAAACCACCAATATAAGAGATGCATTAAAAGAAGGGGCTCCTAAGAGAGTTGATTGCTATTTTGATAACGTAAATATCTTATAATATGATATATTAAAAAATATATGATGTATGAATGCGGCATGCATGTCAGCAGTTTGAGCATGTGCCGTAACTATCACTAGGATTATTAATGGTGTGTTGGGAGTCGCCGTATTCGCTGTAGCATATCTGGGACTGAAACCTTTCCATCCGGCACGCCATATAGGAGCCACTGTACATTTTCAGCCTAAAGGGTTTAGCCGGATACGTATGACGAGTCGGCCCCCAAATGGGAATCGATATTGAAACTTATGTTTTAATATCGACTTGATATTCAAACACGATTTATGTACTTTTCGCGACCGACTTCCGCTTTGACCTTGAGATAGAGAGCAAAATATCCGTATGCTTGACTATTACTAAATGTGATATATCTCTAAAGCTAATTAAGATAAAGAAGTGAAACTAACGCGAGGTGTTAGGTTACATTACAGAGTATATCACATATATTTTTTTATAATTTTTAGAATAAAAAATTACATAAAAAAAATAAAAAATAAAAAATCATGTTTTTTTTTCTGAGTTCTCTGTGACTTACAATCACGAAATTAATATATGTTATGCTCCTTTGTGTGCTCTATTACCCATAAAAATTGCGTGAAAAAAAAGTTGGTGCAACACAACGAAAAAAAATTATATGTGATTCGCGCCTTGTAGTGTGAGTGTATAAACAAACAAGTTCGAACTTGTTATCGAGCTGTTTACTGCATCGTTTGTTTAGCTAAAGTAGCAGTCATTTGTATTACACAAGAAGGCAGTTTGGGACTCAAATTCTGTCATAGGTATTTTGTATCAGCATTTTGAAATTATTAAATATCGAACCAAATCATTATTAAGTAATAATGTCGAGAAAGTGTAAAAATTGTAACAAGTACCTGTGTAAGATTCCAGGTTATAAAAAAATTATAAAGAATGAAGAAGAAGCTAAAGTGTTTAGTGACTGTTTGAATAAAATCGTAATAGTTAATGATATTTTTTATAAGAAGTGTCGACTTATCCCATATATTAACAAAAAAGCTTCTACTTCTAAATGTGCAGCATTTAACTTGGCCGAAATAATGGACGATCAAAATAATCTCTCAGTACATATGTGAAATCAGCACCTAATATCATCAAAGCAGAAGTAAAATCAAGACATATAAATAGAAAAGTCTATCGAATTTACATTCACTATATTTCCGAACGTAATGACTACAATAGTATTCTTCGTTATTGCTGTGATTGCCCCAATGGCAAACGTACAGTGGGATGCTGTTCTCATGTAGCAGCTATTATTTATTATCTATCATATGGATGATATTTGTCCAAAATCGTACGTCCTGCTGGGGTCCTAACTAAGTTATTTGCGACTCAAAGTGTTCCGATTGTAATTAATTACAACAGTGACGATGATTAATATTTTGTTTCTTGTATTTTGATAGACACGAAAAAGTAATAATAATAAGTATTGAACACTGGCTGTTTTTTTTTCATTTCTTTTTTAACTATTATCCCATCTCTTAGGACTAGTTACTTATGTTTTAAAACAAGCTGATGTGAAATTTCGAAAAAAAAAAACAATGATGTAATGTGAAAACCTTATAATACAGGGGTATACCATAAGACAGAAATCACATATAATTTTTTTCACGCAATTTTTATGGGTAATAGAGCACACAAAGGAGCATAACATATATTAATTTCGTGATTGTAAGTCACAGAGAACTCAGAAAAAAAAACATGATTTTTTTATTTTTTATTTTTTTAATGTAATTTTTTATTCTAAAAATTATAAAAAAATATATGTGATATACTCTGTAATGTAACCTAACACCTCGCGTTAGTTTCACTTCTTTATCTTAATTAGCTTTAGAGATATATCACATTCAGTAATAGTCAAGCATACGGATATTTTGCTCTCTATCTCAAGGTCAAAGCGGAAGTCGGTCGCGAAAAGTACATAAATCGTGTTTGAACATCAAGTCGATATTAAAACATAAGTTTCAATATCGATTCCCATTTGGGGGCCGACTCGTCATACGTATCCGGCTAAACCCTTTACTAACCTTGATGAATCCCTTTGGTATAGACAAGAAGGGAGGTGGGATCACGAATTAACGCTTTCCTTTTTTGCGTTGTCAGTTGAAAATTCTGAAATAAACTTTAAATAATAACCATTTTAGCCATACAGTTCAAAGCAGTATAACAAAAATATAATGAAAGATATTATCTTTGCTGTTTTACAGGTTGGCGGAGAGATAAGTTCTACGATTATGAATTACATGAATCATTATGGTCGAGTTGCTGTTTGTGGATCGATTTCTTCGTATAATGATTCTATTTTGCCTAAAGGTACTAAGCAGTTTTTAAAATATTTATATGAAATATTTATCAGATTTATAAAATAATAACACTTTTTGTAGTGTCCATTTTGCAACCTGCAATAGTTTTCAAAGAATTGAAAGTTGAAGGGTTTTTGGTGAACAGATGGATTAATAGATGGGAAGAAGGAATCAATGCTAATTTGAATTGGCTGGACGAAGGAAAGCTGAAGTATCAAGAAAAAATATACCATGGATTTGATAATATGGTAGATGCTTTAATTGGTATTTTGAAAGGTGAAAATACTGGAAAAGCTGTTGTGAAAGTTAAGTAATTGTTATATAAAACGCCTATCAATAAACAAAAAATACATTTTTTCAACATTATAGTTTTCATCATTAATACTTACCGGTAGTGCCACATTATACCGTAAAATAAAATAAAACCAGAACTGCACCTGTAGAAAATTTTTAAAGGGTACCTTAGTTTTCTTAGACTAAGTGAACACGGAATCTGTAAAGAATCCGAAACGCCTAAAATGAAATCTATATAAACGCTTTACATTCGTATAAAAGAGTGCCAGTGATCAGAATTACCCATAGATTTTACATAGCAATTCTATGGGGTTACCTTTTTAATACTTAGCTGCAATCATTTATTCTGCGAACGCCTCTTAAATACTAATATGCGATATTATATGGCGAATACTAAAATTAGCAGCAGCCTACTTCCGTGAAGACTTCCTACGATGTGTATTAGTACTTCCTGCTTTCATATGCGTGACCACAATGGAAAATGTCTTACTGCAAGTTATAATGATAAAAAGATCAGGGTAGCAAAATAATGTCACAGATGACACTAATATCCCATGCGATGATATTAGGTTTCGATATCGTTTACTGTGTTCTGTGATATCGAATATATCAATGTTTTGTGATATATTCGATATCACAGATGTGATATGTCTTGACATATCACATCCTCAATTTTGTGGCAAAGAGTAGTCTATTTTTTGAATTTTGTGGGTGCTTACCAAAGATTTGGCTGTATGGCTTAGTTCCTTCGCCTGTCCTATGGACGAAATAATACTTCTATGATGAATTTTGTGATTGTTTTGTTATTTTCGAAATGCCGGGAATGTAAAACTTTCTGTACGTAAAAATTGAAATAGTTAATTACGACTTTCGAAAACTATCTGTTTAAGTTTCTATAACAAATATTAATTAAAAATGGAATATATCAACATTATAAAACCGTATTCAAAGGACTCTGCAGCTAAAGTTTACATTTCTTCGTTTGACTCCCCAATCGGTACAATTATTGCTGCTGCTGATGACAGTTATGTTTATATGATATCTTTTGACGATTCTAAAAAAATTAACAGAAGAATACAATTAATAAATGAAGTGCTGACATGCCAATTTATCTCAGAAAAGAATAAAATATTGGAAAATCTGGAAAAGGAAGTAAACTCATATTTCAAAGGAAATTGTAAGAAGTTTACTACCCCCATAAAAACAATCGGAACAGAATTTCAAAAGGTATTTAATTATTATAAATAAATAACCAATTCAACGGCTTCCATAGAAGAGAACTATTTCTTAATTTCTAACTTTATTTTCATTTAGGAGGTGTGGGATAAACTAATAGAAATTCCTTATGGATCAACACAGACTTACGGAGATCTTGCAAAATCTCTTGGCAGATCAACAAGTCATGCTCGAGCAATTGGTACAACATGTGGTGCTAATGCTCATATACTGATTATACCATGCCACCGTGTAGTGGCATCTGATTCTATGGGGGGATTTAGCTCTGGTCAAGATCGAAAATCATGGTTATTATTACATGAGAAGAAACATATGTCATGAAAATATATATATTTACAGTACAATATTTTAAGTAATTTATGAGTAAAGTCTGAACTATGGTGCCTATAATTTTTAGAACTTAGATTTTGTATAGTAGTTCTTAAAGTGTACATCATACAGCATCTAAGCTATTAACACCAACTTGTATCAGTAAAAATTGAGAAGCAATGAAAATTTGTCATCACCAATTGACAAAATAATGACTAAATCGAGATTTATTTCGAAATCCTAGAGGGTGGCAGTATATAATAAACAAAAATAATAAAAAACAGATATTTACTTCTTACAAGTTTGCTTATTATTAGGTTGTGTTGTAACCTCATGATAAAATATAATTAATATATATTAAGTACAATAAAAATGTTACTAACATTAGAATGAGAAACACCATTGAAATAAAAACAGTTTTAGTTAAATAAAAACCAATTGTAAATAAAAATGCATAATGTTTATAATTTCTATGAGACTGTCTGAATTTTCTGAATGATTTGTTTTGAGGTTTTGTAAGTTTAATTAATGTGTCCAAGACAGTATATAAATAATAAAGCTAGTTACTAATTTTTGAAGAAGTTTGATTGCACTGAAATTTTTGATTGCAGTCTTGTATGTATAATAAAAAATTGATTATGAGAATTACTATATATTTTTTGTATTTCAAAAATGTGTGCAGGGTGATTAAATAAATAGTACAATTTTCACATTGCCTTCTAAAACATTTTGCTCTTATTAAATGCATACTTATTACAGCATTATTTGTTAGGACCACATTATTATGCATGGTCTTTTAATGCCTAATATCTTTGGTATAGTGCTTCACTGAAACTAATATTTTAGTACTTTTGATCTTTGACAGTGACATGTGTTATTGTGTTTATTAAATTAAATTACTTTACCAGATTATTGAAGAATATTAAACACATATTTTTTTGTGTAATTAATAAATAACAGGAGTAAATTGAAGAGAAAAAATATTTTTCTGATGTCTGACTGATGGAACTGAATAGATTCTTTTACCAAGGCATAATCCCTATTATTTTACCTGTTTGATATCTATTCAGATACTAGAGACTTCTCTATTACTTATCAAAACAATAGTTATCATTTTTATTTTTTATAAATATACAGTATTATTTTCAAAACATGGCTTTGCAATGGCTTTGCAGGACTAGATAGCACATAGCAAAAAATATATATTAGTTTTGTAAATTTGTTACAGTCTTGCCTTCATAAAAAAGACAGCTCATTATCACATTGTGGAAGCAAAAACGTCGTCTTTTCATCTATGAATAAAACATAGAAATACATATGTAGCAACACTACAAAACTTAAACTTAACTTGTTAAACTAGTTTTGTTCAAGGTATTATAGTAACAAAATCACTAATGTTTTATAAATTACCCTTTATAGGTATACAATTGCCTTACTGCAGACATTAATATCTCAAGAATTCAATTTATAGGTCGTATTCACATTGGACGACAACCGTAACAAGGCGATATAGTTGGTCGTCGTCTTTGTCGTCGCCGACAGATATCGGGTGACGACACAGTTTTTTTGCCTTAAATATAAAAGCTAAAGTAAATGTAACTTGCTCATAGGTATATAAAAATTTTGGTATCATGCGGTTGCTTTTGCAAGCTGTTTGTTATGTCACATACTGTTCTCGTTGTCGTTCGGGCTGACGATATTTGTGAATCATGTAATGTCGTTATTGTTACAATGTGAAAACGTCCAATAGCATTTAATGATTTTAAGATATAACATTAATGTGATGATATAGTATTTATTATTGTTGTTATATTAATATAATGTAACAAAATAATATAAGTTCCGCAGAATTGAATCTACAACTAGCACTTCTTGATTACCTTGTATAAGACGGTAATGTATATATTGAAATAATTGCTACTTAAGTACTAAAGTTATTTAAGGCCATTGTTATTTTAGACGGAATAAGGTTGAACATGAAGTGAAGTCTAATGAAAAATATTATTACAGTTGTTAAGTGTTATTAATTTGGAACTAGATTTTAATTGCAACAGCACCATCAAGTATCTTAAGTGTTAAATAAAAAAATATTCTTACATTATATAAACCTAGAAAAATACAGATTTTATCATAATTTATTTATATTCTTATTTACAATTAAATGTTTCTAAAATATTCCACTCTTACTCATACAGAACATAGAAAAAAAATTAATGGCGATTATAATCTGTATAAGAACCGATGTCACCTATTGGTTTCTACTATCAATACCACTGTCGTACTCTTTAACCATTCATCACTGAACTACAGTAAGCTATAATAAATATGAGTTCACGCTTACTAGTTTGATTGCGCGAGTACAAACATTTTCTAAACGTGTATTCATTGATTAAATTGTACAAACACAGGAATATGAACACTAACATATGCCTGTACTCTGTACAGTAACATCCAAGACAGTTTTATTATTTGCACAGACCCGAGGGTAGGATAAAAAATATATAATTATTCTTGTTTTGATAACCATACAGACTCCCTAGAATATAATATAAAAAAAGCTTTATTAAACAGTATTCACTAGAATACTTCAGTCAGGCGCGGATCCATCGTTGTGAGCACTGTGGGTATGGTATGCCCACAACCCCAATTTACTAGTTGCAACCGGTAAAGTCTCACTTTAGATATAAGCTATGCATAACAAGCCTTAATGGCACAGGAAAATTATTGGAGCTACCTTTTTTATATATATATATAAATGTATGTATACGAAATAATTTGTATTCGCAAAAAAAGCGTAGTTTACCTATTCTATATTATGCGGTATATATAAATAAATTAAAAAATCAAGCTTAACAAAAAAACCATATGCTCAAACGCAAAACGCAAAACTAAAACTAAAAAAATGATCAAAACGGTTTGGGCAAAGCCATCCAAAAATCTGTCAAGTGTGAACTGAAGAGTTTGAACAAGTTTAAATGCAAGACAATCTTTTTTTGGGGTTGGACCAGTGCCTGTTCTCAGTCACAATGGACCTGATAAAAAGTTTGACAGCTCCCCCTTCCGACGATGGTCCGTGGTACAACGGGAAGATAAAAAATGGTCCCTAATGTAATGACTCAGGGGCTTTTAATAAATTACGTAGCTCGTTAGGAGGAGAGGTTCGAAGAAGTGTGACATTAAAACATTGGAACTAATTCTATTCAATATTGAATAGAATTTGTATAGACAAAATGTGACTGTGGGCGGTGGGGATAAATTCATGTATTTCGTGTGACGTTATTTATGGACGGGCCCCTAAAAGACTTATTAAATAAACATGAATGTTTTCCTAATGAATTTCTGTGTTCTGTGCTCTCGTCGCTTCGGTTTACGCATATCCGCTTCTATTGAGGTTGTAGTACAATCCCTTGAGTGCTATAAGGTCAGCGTGTGTACCGCTCTCGGCCACGTGTCCATCGCTAATGACGCATATAAGGTCCGCGTCACGCACGGTACTTAGACGATGGGCTATCAACACGCATGTACGACCAGCCTTAGCCGCATCCAACGCCTCTTGTACTACCTGAACAGATATTTCATCATTAAGAAAAATATTCAAAACCAGATTCAAACCGTGGGTGTATATTAAAAAACTGAGACTAAATGGCATCTAAATAGTAACAATGTAAATAAAGAGATTGTGGAATATGTTATGATAAATACTATTCATATTAATTCAAATTCTATTTAAAAAAATATGTAGTTATTCAAAAAAAGAAATCAGCTGTCTGCTCTAATCACAGATGCGCGAATTTTGCCATGCGGAAGTTAAGCAACTTTCGTAAGGGCTGGTCTATGATGGGTGACCAAAATCGATTATCTCTAGCTCCTCCGTTCTTCGGAAGGGACGTTAAGCCATTGGTCCCGGCTGCATCTGCAGTTGTTAACAAAATAATCCGTATTGGGCCAGCATGTGTGGGTCATGACGACTTATTATCCCTATTCGATGTGATTCGATTCGTGTGTGTATCCTCCCCTAGGGTTGAAACCCCGTCACGCTGAGACCGAATCACCAGGACACTCGCCCCCCTTTCGGGAACTATAGTCCACGGATAGAGAAGCTTAGGTACATTGAGAGCCTCTCCCAGATAGGTGAGGTCGTGCAAATGCAGAGGTAGCTGCTTGGTGTAGTCCGTTTCATATAGCATGGGTTTGGTGACGTATGTTATTTCACGCAATTTGTATATTGATAGCCATAATTACTGAAATCTAATCATCTAAGTTTGATGCCCGTTTTCACTAATCTAGAACACATAATATTAAAAATAGCTTAAGCAGATTTATCGTTTTACCAAACTTGTAACGTTAGGTAATGCCTTATTAAGCAGATGCTTAGATGGGCAATGTTTGTCTAAGTTTTTGAATGCTTCAGTTCTTCTTTTTTTTAAATGTATGGATGGCCTAATTGCGTTTACAGAATTCCACCAACGTCACTTAGTGGCCTATACACGTAAAAATACAACAACAAAAATATATATTTTGAGGTGATAAAACATGAAACATTATACGTGTTCTCGCATCCAAGTCGTCATGGTCCGTATATAAAAAGTCCGAAAATTCAACTAATCTCATTGTTTATATCTTATTTCTAATATATAAACTCCTTCAGCGCCATTAAAAATAATGTTTAGCGTCAGAGTAAATTTATGCTTGAATTGCATTTTAGTATTACTCCATATTCATATTATACAGATAATAAGCAAATCAAAAACCACCTTCTAGGAGTAAATATTACTCCCTATAGAACCTCGTACTAGGTTAACTTTTGCTAAGTCTCTGTTTAATAATTTGCTGTAACTTTTTTAAAATTAAATAATTTGAAAAAAGTTGCAGCGTAAATTTACTCCATCTCTAAACTTCGTTTATTTAAACACTGCTTGATTCCAACTTACTGATTTTATCTCTTGACACGTCCGTTATGGACAAAGAGTAAATGTATATGTCACCTCACGTAAATGCCCAGCGCTAGGTGCAACACAGTGCATGTCTTAATTTTAAGCGTTGCTTAAAGACGTTAGGTGACTCCTTGTCATTGGTGAAACCCATTTTCACCTTAGACAACGCCCAAATATTTATTTTTCATATTTGGGAGACTTCGAAGTTTAGTGAAAACGGGCATAAAACTTCAATACTTGTTACGAAAATCAGATAATTTTTTAATATGGATTGAATCAATAAAAACTTTTAAATCGAAATGTATATACGGTAATCATTTGACAATTTTTAATTATTGTTGTTGTAACAATTAAACTTAACTATACCAATTACAAATTTACTTATTGTGTATTGAGTTGGTATGAACATTTTGTTCAAAATATAGATTTTTTGTTTCTCTTAAACTAATAATTTATAAGAAATGGTCAGAGAGAAGAAAAGAATCGATACCTTATAAGTATCTACTCGGTATCGAAACAAAAGTATCGATACTTTGAAGTATGTGCTATATACCCATGCTATGTGAAACAGACTATAGCTGCCAGAACTTTGTGAAATCCTGCTGTAGAACATAGTTATGTGATACCTTCTCGCTCTCAGTGTCAAGAGCACTGGTAGCTTCATCGAGCAGCAGCATCTTGGGTCTCCTTACGAGCGCCCGTGCTATCGCCACCCGCTGTTTCTGTCCACCGGAAAGCTGCGTACCCTTCGAGCCTATATTTGTATCGTAGCCCTAGGGAAGACAGTTTAACATATCAAGTTTTGCAGCTTTGTTTATTAACCAGAGGAAGTCTATCAGTCAGATAATAGCAAAATATTAGATACTTATTTTTTTTGCACAATTATAGAGAATAGTACAAAGGTGTGACGTCATGTAACATTTCAAGTTAATGTATGGCCGTTATTTATTGATAACGCAAAAAATACATGTTTAATATTCTTCAATAATCTACTGATGGACAGACAAATATAAATTAGACGTCATCCCTATTGTCTAATATTAAAATTTAATTTGACATTTGAAACTCACGAACTTCATGCTACAACTATTTGACGTGTAAGAGCGATTGCGATCGCGACGTTTTTTGAAAGACATAGAATGTACTATATTGTTAAAAAGCGATTAATGCATGTGAGCTATTTTGTAGAATGAGGAAGTATTTAAAAAAAAACGAAAGCACAAAAAGATTATCTTCACTAGATGGCGACTCTAGCAAAATTTGTTTTTTGCAGCAAACGAATGGACCAAAGATAATCATTTCCGTTCCTATTAACTAACAATAACATATTAAAAAACTGAAATTTGAAAAGTTCGAAAATTAGATATCAATACAACGAAAAAATGCAAATAGAAAATTAGTTGTTTATTGAGTTTTGAAAACTAATTTACTTTTAAACATGAAAGAAAACCGAAAAGGTTTTCATGGAGAAACCAAGAACGTAGTGTGGCGACATCTAGTTAGATTTCGGGAAATAATGTTTTTTTTTTAATATTTCTCATTGCCAAATGAAGGAGTTAAATGTTAACTGCAATTTTTCAATTAAGCTTTTGTTATTTTTCTTGATCATTCAAAATCATTATTCGTTCCAAAAGCAATTGCGATTTTAAACGTTGCATAATACCAAAAATCGATTTGTAAAATTTAACAAGCCATAAGGAATGCAGTCTCGACAAATTTAAAGAATTTCTATAACTTGATAGTTCAACACGTTGCGCGCCTAATAAACTATACATTTCATCCATTAAATCACGATTTTTAGGAGTTAGAGAACTTTTTTATATTTCATTTTATAGTTATATATGAAATATGTCTAAAAAAAGTATAATTCACACAATAAGTTAAAATTCAAAAATAAATTTATTTTTCATTATTTCCCGCGAAAACGCCACTTCTGTCATGGCGTCGATATGATGATAAATCTAATATCGTTCTATGTATACATAAAGTTGAATTCTCTAAGTTCTGATATAAGAGGGGCGTGACGTCACGCGCTGTTTGCGATCACGTCACTACGAGTATAAAATATTCGTGTTTTTATCATTAATTTATGCAATATCATAAATATAATAAGCATAAAAATGTGATTATCGGTGATAGTATATAAACAATATTAGAAAAAAAAACATGTAGGCATTAATGTTCCTCTAATGTACTTACTGTATTTGCTTTCGTAAACTCTCTCGTTTTTTTTCTAATTTAATAGTATATAGACTCTATAAATGCAGAGCTTCTTAAATAAAAATTCGTTAAAAAGTTATTTATCAAGTAAATTATGATGAAATATTAAAGTAGGGTAAATGATAACAAACCAAATACCTATATCTTACCAGTGGTAATGACGTAATAAAGTTATGTATATTAGCTTGCTGGGCCGCATCCACGATCTCGTCCATTTTAACTTTTCTCGAGTTGTCCCCGTAGGCGATGTTCTCGCCGATAGTTCGGTCGAACAGTATAGGTTCTTGTTGCACGAAACCAATAGTACTTCTTACATCGACTAGCCGTAACTTAGGCAATGGATTGCCGTCTTGTGCCTGAAAATTTATAATTTTTTATTGCACTAAAACCCCTACTGAAGAAGAAGAAACATTTATTGACCTCACAAAGACACAAACAAGATAATACATTACTAGGAACACATAAAACACAATAAAGATACGAAAGAAACAATAAGGTACATAATGAATAAAAGAGAAAGAAAGTAAGGTCAACCAGCACGGGTAGCATGATGAACTAGAGAGCGTTTTGTCTACACTCAAATGTCACTTTTTTCGGGTGCGCCCATACGATATCTTACTCTTGACCCGAGAAACTGACAACTAAGTATAGAGAAAGCGTTTCTCGGGTTTGTCATGCTACCCGTGCAGGACTTACTGTGCACCTTCTCGTGGATTCTTTTTCTTAACCAAAACTCACATAACCTAACCTAAACATTAGAACTTACAGATTGACTTTGACGTTATAATCACCATCCAAACCATATTATCGAAAATAAGCAAAGCCCACCACAACCCTATGGAGCTTTATGATATGTTCTAGTATGGTATTATATGTGGTGATACTACTTTTTCTTTTACTAATGCCTTATCTGCGCACAATTCTACCAATATCAAGAGAATAAATTGATTTCTACATGTAAAATGAAAATGAAATGAATAAAAAATGACGATTAATTCCCAGTTTTGGATGTCCCCTAAAATAAGTGGTTAGTGTCATTCATCGAAGTGCCCAATGTGAACAAAAATATGTCAAAAACAGAAGTTCAATTTTATCTAGGCAATCAAAGTTCCATATTGATTTAAGTACATAAACTACAAACAACTTATTTTGAATTAATTTCACCGATTCCAGTCGAATAGTGTTGTATCCAATCGAATAGTTTTGAGTAGGTAGATAAAAAAATTAAGAAAAGGTCTAAGATAATTTGATGCGCATATTAAGATCAATATGCAAGTTTAGCGAAGAATATTAAAGACGTAAATCAATAAATTGCAGCAATACCTTTACTTGAAATGTTGCGTAAGATCATCTTAGTATATTTTATACATAGTTGTGACATAGCGAGCCCCCTTCTCAACTTTAGTATCTATTTCTTTTTAAATTGAAACAAAAAAAATACGTATCTAATATTTTCAATTATCTAACTTAAGATTTTTTTTTAACCCAGGTTACTGTGTTATAGATAAAATTGAACTTCTATACTCGTTATTTTATTGTTCACATTGGGTTCTTCGATGATTGTAACACTTTAAAAATGAATAATATAATTTACATACCACAATACCAGAATCCGGATCGTAATATCTTTGCAGTAGTTGTATAACGGTACTCTTGCCGCATCCGCTGCTGCCGACTAGCGCGACAGTTTTGCCGCGTTGAATTTCCAGGTCTAAATTATTCAATACTTGTATCATCGGCCGTGTCGGGTATCTGAACATAACATTCTGTAAGCTCGCCTCTCCGGTGCCCCTCTGAAAAAAAATTTTTTTTTTCATTATTATTTATGTAAAATTTTGCATTCACTCACTTTTGCAGTCAGTTGCATAAACGTGTATTCAGTGGCGGACTGACATCATCAGGCCCGGAATTACAACTTATTCCAATCGGGTAGAACCTACAAAACTGCTAAGACAAAACTGAACTTGGAAAGATAAGGCAGTATAACTCTAATTAACGATTTGATCAATGGAAATCGCCGCCATTTGGAGGCCCCCCAGGACAAGAGGCCCGGGGCGGACCGAATAACAGTGCGTGTACCGCGCCCGAGGGACCTATGGATTAATTGACGATATACATATTATGATGTCATGAAATTACTTTTACAACTAGTTTCATATATATCCACACGTTTAACTTTTAAATAATTATTTGTAGACAAATGTGAATTATCGGATTCCTTTTTAACTCTAAATATATATAACTCAAAGGTGACCGACTGACTTAGTGATCTATCAACGCACAGCCCAAACCACTGGACGGATCGGGCTGAAATTTGGCATTCAGGCAGATGTTATAACGTAGGCATCCCCTAAGAAAGGATTTTGATAAATTCCACCTCTAAAGGGATAATAAGGGGATGAAAGTTTGTACCAATATTCATAGATTTTCGACTGATTGAACTGAAATTAAAGATTGGAGCTACTATGATGAAGACGTCCGCTTAAATAGGATTTTGATAAATTCAACCCCCATGGGGATAAAAAAGGGATGATGGAGGATATAAATGTATTAGTTTGAACATATAAATAAATATTCGTTAGAAATGCTTCTCAAAGTAACTTTACCAAAAAGAAAAGAAAAAAAAAAACACGCGGACGAAATCGCGGGCAAAAGCTAGTTTTATTATAAAACTTGTTGTGTGTCTAATAATAAACAGGGTTGACCACCTTTATTAAAATAAATCAAAAAAGGTGTTATATTTATCATAGTACATACAAAAAAAAATTAAGTAGCACAGTAGCGTAGTGGATAATTTGTTGTTGTGTAAGGGTTGGTCGCGAACAAAAAAAAAAAAAAACTATTTCAAGCTACTCCGTGCAGAGGAAGGCACGCATTTGCAGTCGTTAATACCCTCCAATCCGCATTGGAGCAGCGTGGAGGGTGTTGGCCCATGCAGTGGGGACGTAAAAGAGCTGATGATAACATACAAAATTATGAATAGCTGGTTTCACAGGGTCGGTGATTTTGGATTCCCTCTCCAATAAAACTACAACACGTCCAGCCGCTTTTATGCCTTTCTGGAAGTTGGGAGCAAAAGCGAATGCTTGGGCTGCTGATGAAGCACCCATCAGAAGCGCTTGAGCGGACCTAGAATATTATATAAAGTACATTAAAATATATACCGTCTTATTATAAAATTTGGTAGGTTACCATTGGCCGCCTAAAGCAAATTGACAATTACAGTAAAGAAAACGTCAAATTGAGACGTATTGACTTATTTTGGTCGGATAATGGTTTAAACCTGGTACTAAAGTTAGTCCTCGTTATATAATTAGATAGTTAAAGTTAAGGAAGCCCCTTTTATTTTTTCGTGTTGAAAATATGACGATCCTTTATATACCAGTACCAGTATGTAAATGTTTGGTATTTTTTTTACTATATAAACTCCGTTGTCGAGATGCTTACAGGCCGGTTTTTAAGGTGTCATTTCAAGATCTCGGCTTCGATTTCCGTTCGAAATCATATAAAAAAATGTACTATTTGGTATTTGAGCATTTTTTCCAAAATCCGTGAATGCTGCTCAGAATATCTTAAAAAAGTAAGGGAAGGTCTAGGTCTATTCGGTCTGAAATGGTTAAGGTACCTGCCCTTACAGTTCCATCCTAAAAATTCACCCTGTATATTTACTCAAAATCTTCTTTGTATCTTTTTATAACACAGGGCTTTAGCTGCTTAGAATAGTAGGTCTGATTAACTAAATACAACCAGCACTGAATAGAATTTAACTTTGTTTCACGCACGAACTTCGTCTAGCTATAAAAATGGGTGGACAAAATTTATTTAATTATATATCAAGTTTATGAGTTAAGCGGCAGACCCACTGAACGATACTTACGCAATGTTATTTAGCATTTATTAAAAAAAAATCGCAGTGAGCCCGAGTGGTGGGTAAGGCTTTAGCCCCAGCAGATATACTTACTTAAGTACTAATGCGAAATCGACGTCGTGATACACGATTCGAACACCCCCATAGTACATGGCTGCAGCATATACAAAGTTGAACAGTCCTCTAGATAGTCCGAACACGATACCGCGCCAATGAGCGGTCCGCTTAGCGAGGTACAGTGCTGGGAGCAGTTGGTTAGCATAATCATTGAGGAAGGTCTCCTCCCTGCCGAGAGATGCTACAGTGCGTACGTTAGATACTGCTTCCACTGCGATCTGGGATGTGGAAAATGTATCTATATCATGCATCATGTTGCAATTCCGTTTTCGTATCTTTAAAGCAGTAATCCTTAACGTTATAATAATTAGGGACTATTTGACAAATTTCAATCTTGCCATATACCACCCGAGTAGCTCGGTGGCGTAGTGGATAAGCGCTGCGGGACGCGATCGTTCTTGTTAAGTGACTGGCAAAATGTCGGTCACGGGATGGGTGACCGAAGTGTTATCTCGAGCTACTCCGTGTTTCGGCTGTTGGTCCCGGCTGCATTTGCAGTTGTTAATACTCTCCGTATTGGGCCAGCGCGGAGGGTCTTGGCCCATCCTCCTTTACTATCCACAAGGAAGACGTGAGCCCCTGCAGTGGGCACGATAAAAGGCTGATGACGATGATGATAGATCACCCATTTGGATACAATACCTAAATATCGATAAACAACGATGTTCTATGTGTCTGTTATGAATGAAATGATAAATTAGGGCATCATAAATAATGAACAACTGTTTTGGTCAAAATTATTTTGACTTGACTTCCTTATTTATCACATTGTACGCTTGTGTTAGGCATTTTTCATAGTGTACGGGCATTTACACTATGAAAAATGCCTAACACTTTATTTATTTATATAACCAACAGCATATACCAGTTTGAAAAGTTCTCGGCGTTACCGAGATCTGAGGGTAGTATGTAAATAAAAAAACATCTCGATTGTAAAAGGATAGAAGAGGCTAATAATACCTACTCATAATGTCGAACACCAGTAGTCCGCAGACCGCCAGTTAAGGACCACTACTCTAAAGTCCAAAGAATCCTTATGACCCTATGAGATTATGACAAGGTCATAAGTATTTCTTTTGTTTGTGTATCAAGATTAATTTTGCTTAAATCTCGATTTGAAAAGGATAGAAATATACGAGTATATTGCTGTCCTGTTTCAATTTTTAACGCTTTTCTAAGAAGAAACTTATGACGACATATTGAGGCCAAAAAAATTACCTTAGAGCTAGCTTCCATAGTTTTAGCTGTGCCGAAACTTTCAGCGCTAACCATCCTGCCTTCCTTGTACAAAACACCCGCCATAAGAGGTACAAATGTCATAGCGACTAAAGCGACTCGCCACTCGTACACTAGCGCTAGTACAAGCGCGAATCCGAATGTACCTATTGCTTGTAACACTGTCCCGATACGTTGACCCGTCGCCTGCAAATAATTTATTTTATTCTTATTAACGCCACTAGACAAACTACTACCAGGGCACCTTAAATTTCTATATGTACATACATGAGCGATATATGTATAACTATATTGAAAAAGTTATAAGCAAGCAGTGATCCTTTACCACGATTTAAAAAGATTTAAGAGGTTTTATGTATATCTATAAAATAACAATATAAAAAAAGTTGTCTACGCCCCTATTCCGGCGTTGTCTAATGTTCCATTTCAGTTCTGTGAGACAGATAGAGACATGCTCATATTTATAATAATAATAATAATAATATATTTATTTATTTCTGCATAAATATGGAAAGTACAAGATGTTACAATTTATTTTCTAGTTAACAGACATATTTACCAGAAACTGGCATGCAGAAGAAATTATAACAATTAGGGAATTACAATAATAATCATAAAATTAAACAAATGTCAATTAAATTTCATCAATATAACGCAATAATAGTAGTTTAATAATTCATAATTTTGAGATATTTACGTAAGCGATAAATGAAACGAATGCAGTAATTACAAAAAGAAGCAAATCGCTGATTTAGGCTATATGACGTTCGCCGAAGCAGTTGGTAAACTGTCAAATAATGAGGAAGTATTTAAAAAAAAACATTAGTTCCCGAAATCAAGCGAGATGTCGTTACGGTACGTTCTTGATTTCTCCATGACAACGATTTCTCCTTCCGGTTTTCTTTCATGTTTAAAAGTAAATTAGTCTTCAAAACTCAAAACAAATCGTATTCTATTTGTACTTTTTCGTATTTGTATTGATGTCTAAGTTTCTAACTTTTCAAATTTCAGTTTTTTAATATGTTAGGTAAAAGGAACGGAAATGTCTCTCTTTGGTGCATTACTTTCCTGGAAAAAACAACTTTTGCTAGAGTCGCCATCTAGTGGAGGTGCTTTTTTAGTGCTTTCGTTTTTTTTAAATACTTCCTCATTAATTAAATTAAAATTAAGTATACCCCTTGAACAGCAGCTGCTTCGCCCGAAAGTCGAGCACATAGCGCTCCAGTAGAATGATCCTTATTATCGTAGAAAGCGATCTCAAATTGTAGTAATTTTTCAAACATTTGCTTTCTCAGTCTTTCAGTTAAATGCTCACCAGCTACACTGTAAAAGAATACCTGTGAAAATATTATTTAAATTAAATAAAAAAAAAGTATTTAAAATTTTTCATAATAAAAAGTGTTTTTTTACACACCGTGATGAAATTAGAAATGCCAGAAAATACACCGATGCCGACAAATATAAGTGCAAATCGGCGTACCTCCGATTCTGCTTCTTCTGTATTCGGGTTCGATAGTGCCTGATTGAAATAAAGAGAAAGATAAAAACACTTTATTGTAAACACATTTTGCACAATAGGCGGCCTTATTGCTTAAACAAAGATTTCTTCCATTCTGAAAGAAGCAATGTTCATTACTGCACGTAGATGCTGCGCGTTATTATAAATGCTATTAATAATAGCTACAAATGTCTATATGATGAATAAATAAACATAAATAAACTATGCTTACTAGAAAAAAAGGCAGATTTTAACTAGATTATTGTTCAACCGACAAAACAAATTCACAACTAGAGACTTCTAAGACTCCAGCGTTCCAAGAACTCCATAAATGAATAGTTCGTAGGGTAAAATGGGGAAAACTTAAGCGAACTTAGTCTATTTACATCTTATATATAAAAATGAATCGCAAAATGTGTTGGTAAGCGCATAACTCAACAACGCCTCGACCAATTTGGCCAAATCTTTTTTTAAAATGTTCGTTGAAGTTCAAGGATGGTTTTTACGGCGAGAAAAATTAGAATTATTGCTGGAAAAACCCTAAAAATAGCCCTTTTCTTTTTCCCATACAAATGATTTGTAACTAAAACGTAGTCAATTTGAGCTTTATTGCTATGGTATAAAGTTCATATTAAATTACAAGCACAATACGTAGGCAAAAAAACTGCCACATTACAAATCTTTTTGACAGGACGAAGTCTGTCGGGTCAGCTAGTATAATATAAAAAAAAGAATCTCACATTTACAAAATCCCCCAAAATCACTGCTAAAAGGGGCATAGCAAAACCGCTCAGAAGCGAAGCAAAACTAGCCGCTGTAATAGATTTCTTCTCTGGTCCATTAAGTTTTAGGACATTCCAGAACGATACGTTTCTTTGGTCAAGGTCAGCTTCAACGTTCTCCTAAAATTACAAACGTGTTTTTAAATTTAATGAAAGCTAACATACATCATGTAATGGTTGCAATTTCGCCGGCATTGCCGTTTTGCTAGGTAATAACGGAATAGTCACACCAATACGTATAATACTCGTTGCAGCTTCACTCTTGGATTCGGGACCTTTTGTCTCGCAACTGTACTCAAATTGTACATTTAACAGCACATAAAGTTATACATACAGAGTCTTAAAGTCAATATCTATTTCAGAAATTTGATATTTGAACCGATTCGTATTCGAGCCTTTCAGATTGATTCGGGAAATTATCGCTGACGTAAAGATCGATCTATCAAAAATCGATTTATTTATACTCCAAATATACAAAACTCTATTTATGTAAATTATTGGGGTAATAACGAATTATTACACGAAGAAAATTGTTAACTGATAATAATTTAACATTGCCGTTGTTTTCTAAGTTAATGAGGAGAATTAAAGGTTTTTTAAAGACAATAAGAGTAATGATCGATTTTCGATTTGTTTGTTTTGCGACGATTTTGAGATTAACTGGGGTAGCAAAAAATTTATTTAAAAAAACGAAGATAGTGGTCAAAAAAATCAATTTGTGATAAAATCAAATCGAGATCGAAATCTTATTAGAATTACTCTTATATGATAAGAAAACAACAAAAAAAAAATGATAAGAAATAACAAAAAACAAATTATAACTTTAATTACCCCTGATTCGTGTTCGATTTCTTCTTCATCGTCGATTTCGCTCTTTACCGATATTTCTCTGGTAAGACGGTTGGGTTCTGCTAAAATAACAATAGACAAAAGAGATATATAAACAAAAATCTTACACAAGCATAGTACAATATGGTTTGTTAGCGATTTTTGCCATGTAACCAAATAATATACGTAGGTATATTTCCATAAACAGTAAATAGTGTAGCGAAACACAAAGCAGACAAAACAAAACGTAGTATATGTAGTTATTACAAAATTAATAAATGTGTAATTCGTAAAGGCATATAAGCGACAAAAAAAAAGGAAAAGAGAGAAGGAAAGGAAAGACAGACAAATCTTCAGTCAGATATGAAGATGAATAGATCTAACTAGTAATTATAATGATCAGATATATATTATAGATAGATATTAGCTTAATCATATTAAAGCTTACGGTCGGTTGCACAAACGTTCGTTAAAGTTTAATGAGCCTTTAAGCTTTAATGAATATTAAATTTATATGGGTGATGTCTCTTTAAACTAATAAGAATTTTAATGAACGTTCGTGCAACTGGCTGTTAGATTTAACACTATAATGAACTATTAACGTTTGTTTAGACATTAAATATGCCGGTCACATATAGCCACAGTATTGGGTATTATTAAAATCCTGTAACTTATAATAACAAACGGTCGAATTGTAGCGCACTTTAAAAAGAATCTTTAAATAAGAGGGTAACCATTAAATTTCAGTAATGATTCTACAAAGTTACCATACTTTTTTAATACTACTGTGATGTGACTGAGATATATACATAAAAAACGCACAGCGCAGAAAAACCGTTCACGGTCCGTAAATAGTTTTCTCCTATTTTTCATATTTTATTAATTTTGCGTTCGCAATGCTATACTCAAATATTCTTAATGAAAAATGCTGTCAGTTCTCATTAACAATATATAAAAAAAGTTTAAAAAAACACTTTATCCCTGGCACTCTAAGATGGAACAAAGTGGACTTTTTAAGTATTTTTTAGATATATTTTTAATAAATTCTTAGAGTGATTTAAAAAGAAGGTTTTTATGTATTTTTAATATTTTAACAAAAATGAATATTAACAAAAAAAAAAAATCTTTGTAAATAAGTTCTACTAACGATACTAAGCCATAGTGCATTAATATTGAAGACACTATTCACAAGTACATATTACTACAATGGAGACTTTGATTAGTTGATTAGGTACCAATTTCGTTTCCTTCAGAGCCTCCAAAAGTCTGTAACATGACCATGTCGTAATAATGACATTTCATCTTCATCAGCTCCTCGTGATTCCCATTTTCTACTATGACACCATCTTTGAACACATATATGACGTCTACGTTCCTTATGGTAGACAGTCTGTGGGCTATCACGATCGTCGTTCTACCTTCCTGCGCCTGGAGTTGACACAATGGAAATAGCTCATATTCACAAACAGGGGGCCAATTCTACTAAATAAATTCTGTTTAAATCGAATCGAAAACGGATTGAAACCGAACGAAACTACAGTTTTTAGTGCTTTTTCTATTTTACTAAGTGACATACGATACAATTCCAACTAAAATAGAACTGGAATTGTATCGTATGTCACTTTGTAGAATAGGAAAACCATTAAAAACTGTAGTTTCGTTCGGTTTCGATCCGTTTTCGATTCGATTTAAACAAAATTTACTTAGTAGAATTGGCCCTTAGGTAAGGTGCAAATTAGATATATGTATTCAAGAATTATATCGGACACCGATTTTAATTATTATGTTTTATTACTAGTATATTTGTATAATGGTGCCAATTCTGTTGTATCTCTCTCATAAATAATTAAAAAAATTGTATAAAAACAAAAAAAAAATTTTTTGACACAATCTATTAATATAGCAGTTTTGAGTATTAACCACAGTAAAATGTGTAGATAGTTTTAGGGTCGGTGCAAATAAGACGGAGCATATGTGAAGCGTCACAAGAGAGCATGCGTTAGTACACGACGTTTCATCTCTGTCTAGTGTGCAAGTTAGAATGTATTTCATATGTTTGTAAGTTCTGACTTTTGGCTACCAACAAGCACGGGACGTATCTTCCGTCATATATACACCGACCCCTTAGTTCACCATTGTAAGAATAAGAGAAAGTCTAACGGTGAGTTGCACAAACGTCCATTAAGGCTTAATGACGCTTTTAAGCTCTAATGGATGTCAAATTTGTATCGGTAATGTCACTTTAAACTAATGACAATATTATTGGACGTTTGTGCAACTGGCTGTATAATGATTACTTATTTGAGACGCCAAATTATAAAAATGTTCCCTGATCGCTTCTGCCTGAATTCGATGAATAAAAACACTGATTTCATTTCTTTAAAAGAAATATGAAATTAATTAAAGGGCAAATGTAAGTTGGTTGAAGTATTTCATATTTATGTGAAAGATACCGGAAATCACACTGTGCATGTAAAATGCACGAGTCGCTAATGACTGACTCAAATTTATAACTAAAAGTAATTTAATCAATTATGCATTCACAAAAATGGATTAATTAAGCATTTTAATTAAGAATAACTAAACTTAGTCAAAAATAAGATGACTTCGGAATCCGAGTGGTTAAATGGTTTCAAAGTGTCGCCATATCTGAGGTCCTGGGTTCGATACCCGGTCGGTCACTGTAGAAAAAAGACGTTTCTCTGCTCTGAGTATTGAAGTACCTTCGTTGTCACATATACTCTATAATACGGGGGCTTTAGCTACTCATCTTGGAATCTGAGCAATGTGATGTCGTAGATTACAATGTAATATAACTAACTATAGCAGGACATCACATGTATACTTACCACTAATTATGTACCACCTCTTTGTTTGTAATAATGTAACATGCAATAAATATTTTGATTTGATTTGTCTAATATATATTAAAGTATACGAACCCTGTCAAGTGCTTTTTGGACCCTCGCTTCAGAGTTTAGATCTAGCGCACTGGTTGCTTCGTCTAGTAGCAGGATACTGGGATTTCGTATGAGCGCGCGAGCAATGGCTACGCGCTGTTTCTGACCACCAGATAAGGATGCTCCGCGCTCACCCACCAAAGTATCGTAGCCCTATTATAAACAAACATACATACTTGATAGTACTATCATAACTTTCATATGGTCATATTATAATAGATAATAAAGTGAAAACGTATTTTTATTCATTAATTTCGAACCGTGACGTCACATTTCATAAAACATGAGTACTGGTTGCATTGGTAACAAAGACGTTTAGTTTTTTGAAATACCTGAAGTAACTATACACGCTAGTTTTTAAAAGCAACTATTTAATAAAATCAAAAGATTGAAGTCTGAATTAAAACTCTACCCATTTAATAAAATTAAAACACTCAAATCTGAATTAATATTCCACTCCTAAAGAACAGTCAATAGCCCGTCAGGGTGCTAAAATACAAAAAGCTAGATTTATAAAATAAGTTCATAAATGATTGCCCAAAGGCTCATAGTGAGTAACCTGATATACTGGTATTTGTACACACCTACCTTAGGAAGTTTCATGATAAACTGATGCGCGTACGCCTGTTTCGCTGCGGCCTCTATATCTTCGTCGGTGACATCCTCCCGGCCATACCTTATGTTCTGTCGGACTGTTGTATTAAACAACACAGGCTCCTGTCCCACCAAGCCCACTTGACTTCGGAGCCATCGTATCGACAAATCACGTACATCATTTCCATCTACGGTTACCTATTTAAAAAAAAAGGAAAATAATAATTATGTTATAGACCAACTAGCTGTTTTCTCGTTTGTCCGCCTAAATTATAGGCTATTATCTAAATACAATTAATTTTGTATTTAGTTGCCATACAGTAATAAAAAAAGATCTATAATATTTACCATTGTGACTGGTTGTACTATAATGGTTTTCGATAAAGCGATTTGATTATATAATCGTAAGTGTTTATGTTGTGTTTATTGAACACATCAGATATCAAACTGGGGCTAATTTGGGGTTTACAACATTATTATAAAACCGATTAATATGCGTAAAAACATTTTTTAAACTTCTTCAGTACCGATTTTTGCTATTTGGGTTGCTTGCTTGGATTTTGCTACTTTCCGCTAGCAATTACGCCCGCGTGGTCCTGTTTTATACATATAAACCATGATTATAAATCACTCTGTATTTTGAAGAAAACCGCATTAAAATCCGTTGTGTAGTTTAAAATATTCAACATACAGACAGCGGGAAGCGACTTTATTTTATATTATGTATAGATATCACCCAAATGTGATTGTTTCCGAAGATTACCCTCTACAAATAAATAAACAAAGTAAGAATCTTTAATCTCTGTATAATATTAGTATAGATTGATAAAAAAAAAAATGAAATTGACGAAACTAAAAACGTTAGAGTCGATGATGACCGTAAATATTTTATTTTGCGTAATTATGCTGACTAATTAAAGAGATTAGGAAACCCAAATACAACCATTCAAAGTTGCGATTAGATTAACGTATTATGAATTTTAATCTGATGAAACGGAAAACATTCTATTAATTTGGAATGAATTTGGTAAAACGGTTCGGAAACAATTTTTTTTTATAAGTATTCAATTTAGATTTTTATTGTTATATAAAATTAGGGATACATCGATATTCACTTCAGCCGATATTATTATACCTATATTTATTTATAAAAAAAAAACTATTACCGAAAATATACGATACTGATGCGGACAGCGAAAATTCCAAGAAAGTCCGAAAAGTATAAAATATCACGTCACAATTACGACCACTAACAAATTAACATAATTACATATCAAGAGCACAAACCAATTAGTGAAATGCCCTATGTGAGATGTACGTTAACATGAGGTGTCTCAGATAACAAAAAACATAATTGATACTTATGTTGTGAAAACATAATCTTTATAGGTCTCATTAATTGTAAACTTACACTACCATCGATGACATCATAATAGCGGGAGATGAGCTGAATTATCGTGGACTTGCCACAACCGGAGTGTCCAACCAACGCCACTGTCTGTCCACGCTTCACATTTAAACTGATGCCTTTTAACACCTGCCAAACCGAAAGACGATTTTTAAACAAATAAAGACATCACACTAGGTTTTTGGTCATAACATTAGATCAGTTCTCCTCAAGGTACCTTAGGCCTATGCAAAGCATAAGTTGGGTCTTTGATCTGTGTGGATTATTGGTCATATTTCGGTAAACTATCAGTTACATAAAACTGGTTACCGAAAGGAATCAAAAGAAAAAAAAGGTTGAGAACCGCTGCTCTAAATGAAAGTTACTTATGAAAAGACATATAACATTGCAAGCAGAGTATACAAAAATTACTCTGATACGTATCACACTACTACGTTATGATGCAAAAATATAACTATAAGTATGTTATTGAAGAAAAAGCAATTTATTTATATCTCACGTAAACACTCACAATCTCACGTAATTAATTTACTTATTATATGGCTATGAAATATAGCGTCTATTAAATATAAACGTGTTAGATATTTAATAGACGCTAACAGAAAATAATAGGCTTGCCGATATACAAATAACTTTTTTTAATTTACTAAGTGGCATTCAGACAATTTATTTTATAACAGACAGACCGAAGAGCCAAAAGCAGAAATTGATGACATTTAGCAGTTTTTAAAAAGTCATTTCAACGATTTAATTTCTGCATTATTAATTTTATATTTTATTTAAAATATACAACTTTGAATATCTACCTCTCAATCATAGTCAGTCTATTTCAATCACAATAAAGTATGGGTATTCGAACTATGGAACGATTTGAAGGGTTTAAAAACAACATACATAATTAATTTTGTAAATAACTTTACATCGAAAGAGCCGATAGCCTGTGACTAGCAAGCCCCGCAGGTTGCCGACCCCTGGCATAGATCTTTATACCCGTATTACTAAATATATGAACTTTTACGACCTTTAGGGTAGTTATATGACGCTATATTTATAAGTACACTGAAATACATTGGTACATATTCAAATGGTACTGTTAAATTTATCGAACTGAAACATTTCTGAATATATAACAATTGATTGCTTTTCGTTTGTTTCACTAAAACTCGGGAATGGCTAGGCTGATTTAGCAGATTTTGGTTTTGAAGTGTTTGTCGTAGTCCTGGGAACATATAAACGGTGAGAGGTAATACGAAGTACACTGAGTCATCTAGTATTAAATAATAAAAATCAGAAAAAAAAACACTGAATTAATAATGACTAATTTACTTAAGAGACTATTTTTCTTTTGATAGCGGGCGGACATCATATTCAATATGTTGTTGTGTACATTAAAGCAAGTTACATTAACCTTCTAAACTTGACATGTATTGGAAAAAAAATAAAAATTCTGTTATAAAAACTGATAAATGCACAATTTGCATTATAAAATTGTACAACATAGTTGTCGCAATTTATGGAATGGCACACGCTAAACCGTGTCGAGTCCGAGCCGAATGTCGGCCGTGACACGGTCAACATAATAATTATAATGATATTTCTGGCCTGTATAAAAGGTAAACAAAGTAGGAAACATTTAAACCACTTTTGTACAAGAAAGCAACATCTACTTTAGAATCGGTTCATTGTGACTTAGCGGGTTCAATATTCATTAACTTTTAAACAAATATGATAAAAACAAATATGTTTTGTATCTTATAGATGATTTTTGGAGATTTATTTTTACGTTGAAAAACAGTTGAAGATCTTATTGACAGATAATGATACTTAATTCGTGAATAAAGAACTTGACTCCTTGGTGTCTAAAGGTATTATTCATCAAACATTGTGCCTTACTGTCAACAGCACTATGGAGTTGCCGAACAAATAGGTCGCTTTGTTATGAAAAAGGCTCGTGCTTTACTGGCAGAATCGACTCTACCGAAGGCGTACTGCAAGTATATCGTTGATTGTTCTATCTGACAAATAGGTCACCGCATCGCGCTTTGGAAGGAGTGATGCCTTTTGGTAAGATAAAAAGCCAAATCTTAGTCATCTGAAAATTTTTGTTTGTAGGGCACTTGTACATGTGCCACCACAAGTGCGTACAAAACTAGATTTTAAGGCAATGGAACAAATATTTGTTGGATATTCACAAAATTCACACAGTTCGGCCCCGATTTTTTTTTGTTTAGCGCGGCAGTCATAGTAATTGAATTCTCTTTGGCGTTAGTTCCTGTGTGATATCAAAGTATTTATAACATGTAAGTGTGTGTAATATCTGTCGTATAATACTTATATGTACTTCGATTATTCATCAAAGATTAGAATATTAACACATTTTTGGCATGTTATATGCTTGCCATTATCATAGTTGACGTACGGGATGTGAATTTTAGAGATATTACATATAGAATAGATACTATATAGTAGTCGCTTAGCAGAGGTGGAAATTTATAAAACTTAAAGCATGAACATTATTAAGGATTTCTCACGAACTTTATATATTGTTTTCTTATCAAATACCAAAAACATAAAAACAGATACTAGACTTGTCTTCAGGGGCTACCTGCTTAATTGTGAAATAAATATAAAAGTATTTTTGACAACATTTTTAAGTGTAATTAATACAAAATAATGCCCTCTGTTGTCTAGCTTCCATACAAATACTGATAACTTATGAATAAAGTGGTGTTTCTAGTGGGCAAAGCTAAAAGACACTTTTATTTATTTCGTTACTGAAGCATGCAACAAATAAAGAATCATGTCCAATTTTGACCTAAATTTAGTAACGCGTCTAATGATGTGATATATCTTAAAAAGTACCTTATTTTTTACTTATTTCATATCGTGTAATAAGTCTTAAAATAAAGACAGGATAAAAATTGCGGGACTAATAAATATTTTAAAAAAGTTATCCATAAGCGATTCAGAGCCTACCATGACGGTTTGCTACACTACCCCTATGCGATACGGATTGTACAATGACAGTTTGCTACGTTTCGTTTCATCTACTACGGAAAAATTATATTATCTTTCATCGTATAGTTAAGAAGTACATATTAAGAATTGCATATTAATTTATTTCCACGTTTCCGAGTGAAACTATAAAAAGATTTTATTTTAATGCATTAATTTTAAAGTAGCTTCACAATTATCTCGAGATTTGATAGCTGATATAACCTTAAAACATTATTTACAAATGATGGATCTCTCTGGCCTCCAGATGAAAACATGCTTAGATATTATTTTAAGCAAAAAGTAATTTAAATTGTTACGTAATAGTAGGTAGACGCGACTTTTAAAAAACATGTGACAGATATAGAAAGTGGACAAGATTCTTTGCATGGGAATTCTCTTAAAGGCTGCTCTATAATCTATTTAAACTTCTTTGTCAAAGACTATATTCTCGCAGAACGCAAGTTGAACCAAAATGTTGAAACCGTTCACGTATATGAGGAATAGGAATGAGCACCGTACAAGTCAGAATAATACGTCTATATAAACTTATTATTACAAACCTGCATAAAGCATCTAATCATAGATTTAGGAATAGCTTAAGTCTAACATTACTAAAGAAAGAAATTGCTTGAGAACTGATCAAGTTAATTGATACAATATTATCTATGTGTATCAATATATTTATAGAGCGATAAAGAATTATCGCAAATTGAGTCTTGTTAGGCGCCAGTATCTATTGCCAAAATTAGTGAGTAAATTGTCTAGTATTTATCAATATGAATATTTACTAAATATCATCATCCTATTAATGTCCCCAATAATGGCCTATTTATCAATAGAATATCGTAGGGCGAAAATCCACTTTCAGGGTCAAGTGTGGATTAATGGGTGTTTATGACAGCAGACGCAGTGGTTATTAGAGGTTATGACTTGACATAACAAAATTTTGGTCACCCAACGGATGCTTGACTTTTTGAAAAGTTCATATAATTTAAAAAATGCCAGAACGAGTTGCTCTTCTAAACGCCGACACAATTACAAATATTGACAATAATTCTTACCGGAACATCGGGTCTGGATGGGTAGTGGAATACAACATTTTTCAACTCTATATTCCCGGATATAGAGGCTGGTTTGGTTCCGGTGTCTAGCAATGGGTTTATTGTGGGTACATTATCTATCAGGTTGAATATTTGTGCGCCGGCGCCTCTTGCTACACCGAATACTTCCATGAGAGTGGATGATATACCGAAATTAGCAGAACCCATTAAGACACCGAAAAATACCTGCAAAAATTGAAGAATATTAGGTCGTTTCATGAACAAGAATATTTATTTTTAAATGAGTAGTGATTGGAGCAGATAGGGCTTATTTTTATTATTTAAGATATGTTTTCTGTGTTTTCCGTTTGTCTGCGATTTTGGAATTTGAAAAAAATAGTGTGAATATAGTGATAAAAACTACTTGTTGGTAGTTCCGATAATTTTACTGAATTATGGAAAAAATCCAATTAGCAGATACTTTTTTAAAGCATCAGAATTTATAGTCATATCCATATTTACATAACATCGTTGAAATACTCACAGCGATCATAGTTTCCACGTCGTAGTCATCATCTACAATAAGTCTGTAACCGAACCATAATGATAACGCATATGAGCAGAATATGCAAAAGAAGAGGCTCCCCATAGCTATGCCATTGAAGAACCCTGTAGGCAAAAAAATAAGTCGAACTAGATATTTGTTGATATGCATTTGCATTATGTTATCTTTATCGCAAACAATATTATAGGGATTTAATATTTTCTAACGACCTTTCTTAATGTTTATTTTTCTAACATCAATGAGATGCGATTCGTATCTTTCAGTTTCTTTTTGTTGTCCACTGAATGCATAAACTGTGCGTATCGCTGATATAACCTCTTCTGCTATGGCACCTGCTTTGCCTGATGCTACTGCCTCCTTTTTAGACAGCTTAGAGGCAACCTGAAAATTATACCTTAGATATACATAACTATCTAAAGTAAATCTGATTAATAGATAGGTCGTGGACCGTGATTTGCACAAATCATACCATATGGCACAAGCAAAAACTACATCAAATATCCTGGGGTGCGAAAGCCTATTTCGTTACAAATCTAGCTATAAGATATGACAACATAGCGAATAGAGCGATATTTTGTTTCATTGTCCTAATTTGAGATGTCTTTAAATGGTCTGTTAATGGATTTATTATTAAGTTTTTATTATTATCATCCGTTAAATTAAAGTAAATGTCAAAGTGGTATAACGAGAGAGCTAGGCGGTCGCTTTGCTGGACTAACTCGGGATAACCATTATAGAGCTCGTGCAGACTAAATCAACTAAAGGAAAATCATTTTAATACTATTGCTTACCAAGCCGGCTACACCCACTAGTGTTAATGTGATAGGAAATGATATGAGACAGAGGAGTGCTAGTTTCCATCCCATCACTAATGCCATTATGATGGAGCTTAAGAATGCTGATTGGTAAAAGACAAATGTTCCTAATTTCTCACCGATACCATCCTCTAATTTTACGACGTCTCTGCAAAAAACATATGATGATAAGGAAAGTTGAAGTTAATCTGTCTTGGTAGCTAACTAGATCTTTTCAAAGGTAACAAACCAGATTTAACTAAATGATGATTTATCTTTGCATATTCTCGAAGTTTCATGTGTAACATTGATGTATGTTAAAGTAATAAATTCTATAAAGACTACTTAAAATGTTTATAAAATTATCATAATTAAGTGATGAGTCAGCGTGATTTCCCAGACGTTGTTATATATCAGATTGTTTGTACAAAATGTCTTCATGAGTTCTGTGGATTTCGAGTTTTAGCCTGATACAACTTTCAGTATGGAGATCAAACTTTAAAACATAGCAGCTGTTTCTTTTTATTATGAGGTATCGTATATTTCCTTTTTAATATATGAATTAGTCAATCGACATTTTCTTTCGGATTATCAGAGTTTGGAAAAAGAAATCCAAACTCAATGGCATGATAAGCAAAATACATATAAAGTGACTTCTACGTATTTTCACGGTGTTACTTATGTTACTTCCATGAAATACATAAATATTCCTAATATTATATTTGGAAACTCATATTTTTATAAAAACACGGACAATAAATATTTAAAAAACTATTTGTAAAAAAATCAATAATATTAACAATAAAATACGACTTCAATCGATATTACTATATTGCGTTAAGTATATTTTGTTTTAATCAAATGAAATTTCCATGGGAATATTGCATACCAATAGCCTTATAATTATTTATGTCTTGAAACCCAACTACCGAAAAGGTTATTGGTTAGATACAATATAATTCGCGAGCGATGTTATTGTCCTAATACACTTATTACATAACATATATATATTTTTTTGATGACTATAATTAAAAAAATAGTTTAATAAAAATCACAATTTCCTGTAAATTTTTAAGTAGCATTTCAGTAATTTTCATTGTCGCCATGATCAATAAAACCTAAATTTGTGAAAAAAGTCGTGTTAGTAATTTTCTGTGAAGGAAATGAAGGTTTTTTGACTTGATGTTTTTTTTATACCTTCCGTAGCTAAAATGAGATGGATTCTTAAATAAAGTCTCTTGTAATTGGCTCACAAATTTGATTATAAATATTCCAGGCTTATATCGAATTATTTCCGTTTTTCTCGTGTTTGTATCAGGCTATTTACCGACAGACAAATTAGGAGACTACTTTTCTCTTTTAGATTCAACATAAAGGCAGTGCAAAATAATAATAATGATATAATTTAAAAAAACATTTATCAATAACAAAGATGTCTAATATCTATATCGGCTTCTCTGTCTAAACTATTAGAAAAGATTATAAATAAAAGGTTGACTAAGTATTTGGAGGAGAAATCGATATTGTCTACGACGCAATTTATATTCAGATCAAAGATGTCAACTGATGATGCCGTACATAATTTTGCTCATTATTGTAACGTGCCATATGTTTACCAATGTGCATGCCCAAAAATCAAAATCACTAATTCCATTAAATATCTTGGGATTACAGGTATTAGATGAAAATCTTTCATTTAAGAAACACATTAAAGCTGCAAGTAATAGAATTCGTAAAATGATATTTGTTTTAAAAAAGTTTAGGACATATTGAAGACGATACAAGTTTACATGGAACTATGCCAATCAATTTTATCCAACTGTATTGCAACATGGGTCGGTGTGGGTTAAACTTCTCTACCGAGAGAGCACAGAGGGCTATTCTTGAGGTTTCTATTTTCAGTATTTTTTCATACTAATTTGTTCTATGAAAATGTAAGGTTTTAACAGCTAAAACACGCTGCTATTCCTTATGACACGGAAATTAGTAAAAAAAGACGAAAGGATAAAGTTTGCATTCAAAAAACTAAAGTGAAATGCGTTTTTACAACAAAATTCTATACGTTCCTTGGCCCGTTATTATACAATGGATTAATCGCTATTCACTCGCAAAATTTTGGAAATTGTAAGTTTAAGATTGAAAAAACTTTGCAAACGATGTCGTATGAGGACACGAAGAAGCTTTTAATTGCGCTAAAGTAAGTTTTATATTCCTGCTATTATTAAATTGTTTGTTTTTTTTTTCATAGAATTTTTGCTGATTAAGTAGTGATTATAAAATTAAGCCTTAGATTATCTATTATCGATATTCCGTGTTCCCTACAAAGCGCAACGACAATAGTGAAGCCATTTGAGATTAGTGTGTGCGTGAGCAAAGAGCGTGTATTCATTGCCAAGCTATCATTTATGTGAGTGACACGAGTGATAATAGTGTAAAACGATTACCCCAAAATGTGGGAAATTAGTATTGGTTAAGTTTTTTTATTAGTATAATTTTTACAAGATATTGATTCTTGACCAATAATATGCTTGGCAAAAGCTAAATCCTTAATGTTAGTGAAATAGTAAATGACATTATATTCTGCCGGAAAGATACGGCAAAGACGCCAATTTCGTTTGTTTATTTACCTACCCACTAGCACCGTCGCAAAGTCAGAGACAATAACTTAAAATATCCTCTGTCTCTATCTATCTCATTGTCAGGTGTTATATTAATACCAACAGTATATACAAACCGTATTTTTATTTCAGTCCAATGACTGCAAATAAAGGTTATTGGTTCGGTTGGAAATATATATGAAAACTTTCAATTTTTATGAATAATACACAGTGGAAAGCGCCCAATAAAGCAAAACATCATTTTTTTATAGAAAAATTATGTAACATCTACCTATTATTGTTTTATATCTAATTATAACAAAATTAACATTATTCTGCCAGATTAAACAAAGACGCTAATTTTGGAACATTTCCTTGCTTATCAAAGATAACGTAACCACTCGATTTTATTCCTAAGAAAAAAAAACTATTGTTCTTTTTCAACGTTTAAGATAATAACCTAAAATATTAATTCTAATATAATTTAGACTATTAAAACGATATTATAAAAACACATTATAAAAAATGGGAAATAAATTTTACACCCATGGCAATATCGTCGTCGTTTTATGACTTTTTGATTTTATGTGATTTGGAGAGAATTACGGCAGCAAATTACTCCCTTATTAATGAAAAGTAATGGTCAAATTATTATCTTTCTTTAAGTATTATTTAAGCCTGATTTCAGTACCCAAACAGTCATTTTTATAACAAAATCTTGAATAATGTGTGCGCGGCCACTAAGACACGGAATCTGGAGAATACATAATCTAAGAATTAAACAAGGATACTACTTGTCTGACACACAGGTCGTCCTAGTTCAGACAAAAACTAAAAATGTTCTAAATGTATGCAAAAAAATAAATAAAGAAACTATGTTAAAAATTTAATATAAGCTATATTATACGCTTACATTACCATTAAATACAATACTAACCAAATTTATGAATAAATTAAATTATTATTGTTATTAATTTTATTACGGTCAGAAATAAAAATATTAATTGTAATGAGTACTTGTATCATTTTATAAGTACTCATTACACCGATTGTAGGTAGTAAACACTCACCCGGTCATTTTCGCAGCGATATCCCCAGTCTGATGTGCATCAAAATACGCGAAGTCTTGGTTCAAAGCTGCTTTAAGATATGCTTGGCGGATTTTGTAGATCTGAGATATAAGTAGCGTTTTCATAAGGTATTGTATTACTAAATGTACGAGTAAGTTTAAGGCATATTGGAAAGCATAATAAAGTATACCTATAGCACGATGGTGGTGAAAGTACGATGGTGCGTGCAAAACTATTGGAGCTTGAATAGATAATAGAATATTCTTATATTGCCTTTTATAAACTATCTACTAGGGTGACCATCTAAGTGGAATACTGCAGTGCTATGTATATATGCCTTTGTTTTCCCAGAGCGCTATGCCTCTCTTATAATAACAATGAATAAGCACTTTCTAGGTTGATGCTCCAATTTAAGTACGTCATATCTAGTTTACTGTGTATTATAAGACCGTAACAGTAACCAAGCAAGCGATAGATAAAAAAGCTTAACAGTAACTGTAATTGAGTTAAAGACAGACAATCGTTTAATTTTGTCTCGTGATTTTTTACATAAAAAGTTATGATTAGTTCTGAAATTCAGAAAAGTTATTTTTAGTTAAACGATAAGGGTCAATGCGTCAAGTATCATCAAGCTCACAAGCGTTTAGAAGTTATTACACTCACCTGATTGTACGCCGCGGTATTCATAAGTACCGTGGCTATGTAGGAAAGAATAACAAGAGCTGCCCCAACTATACTGTTGTAAATAGCGAAATCTGTGACTGCCTGCATGAATTGGTCACCCTGCGGATCGCCCAGGATCAGGGAGATACCATACTGTACCATGGCTTCTAGTAACGCCGCGAATAACAATACGTTGAGAGGTGTGGTGCATCCTGCTGCTATAGAACATAGCAATCCTATATATAAGTAACATTTGTCTCTTGCTGTGGCGAATCTGAACTGTAACAAAATAGTTGGTTCAGTAATTTTTTTATGGATTGAGGAGCCAAATCACATTTTAAAAGGAAATTTACCCCTTTTGTTTTTCCCCTGTAGGAAATTGTATAATTTTGGAGCCAGTTAAAATGCGATTTTTGCTAAAATCACCGTGTTTTTACTGTTTTGTATATTCTGTCACCAAATTTAAACACACTACTAAATGTTTTTTTTTTGTAGTAGAATATAAATTAAAAAATAACTTATACTGAAATTCCCGCTTTTATGTTTAGATTGAAGAACTACATTAAAAGTATTGTGTATTCTTTAATATCAACCGTATTTCTGTAAGACATTTAGTAGGAGTTACATACAATTGTTACTAATTGATACAATATATTCATCAATCTATACTAATATTGTAAAGCTGAAGAGTTTGTTTGTTTTAATGCGCTAAACTCAGGAACTAACTGGTTCGAATTGAAAAATTCTTTTTGTGTTGAATTGACTATTTATCGAGGAAGGCTTAAGGCTATATAACATCACGCTGCAACTATTAGGCGCGAAGAAATAATGAAAAACGCGGACAAAGTCGCTAGCGGCCACTAGTATATTATAACTACTTTCCATGTTTCATGTGGCTCCTCAGTTCAGATGTTTAGATTGAAGAGTCACTTTTACATTGATATAACTCTGGATTTATTATACTAGAAGTTACTGAATTCAGCCTACAAAATTATTAAATCCCCTGATAAATATAAGTATATTTCTTTTTAAAATCTGAAGTGGCCTCAATCCATGTTCGTTCCAAACGAACTACTTATACGACCTCTAAGCAGTTTTTTCTTCTTTACTGAATCATGTCCCATCAAAAAAGAAAAGAAAAGCAAATTTAAAATTGATGTTGAGTTATAGCATAAGAACGGTGATGACGATATGTTGTACCTCATCAGCATTCCTTATGGATGGTTAAGGATGTTGTTTTAACTACCCGTTCTTAATAGCTTGGGTGACAGGCGCGGATCCATAAAGAAGGTCGTGGCTTTTCTTCTTTGCCATATCGCGTTGAGGTCTAATAGCATGTCAACCACGACACGTATTTCGCTATGTGGTTATTCTGCGATTGCCACAACGCGTTGTGATTTTTTCGTTCAATGAGTGATTTCGAATTTTAAGTGTAACATAAGAGGAAAGATTTCTTAGTTTGTTTGCTTTGGATAGACTCCGAAACTTAAGATTTTTAAAAATTTATCACCTACTATGAAGTTTCATGCGTGGCTGGCATAGACCATAATTTATGCGGGCAAAGTTGCTAAATAACCATTGTTGTTTGTTGATCATATAAATGACTGAATAAGGAAAAAAAATATATTAATCGCATTGTCAACAGATTGCGTGTTTTCTTTTGTAATTTCGTCATTTTTAATGAATTTAGATAAACCAAATCGCGATATTGTGAACGTGAGAACTACGTGAACGTAAAATGGTCGACTTTGATTTTTTTTGTTTGTAGATACCTATTACGCTATTATTAATAGTGAGGTAACATGATTAAACACCAGTCTTTCATTGCGTCGTAATTCATAAGTTTTTGTATTATTATTGACCGCGTTATTGTCCTCAATTAACACGCAGCGAGTATCTTGTAATAGGGGATACTTTATACTTACTGTTTTACATTTATTTGTTACAGTTACCAAAGAATTTAGTGAATTGTAAGTTATCTGAGATTAGAGAATATATCATAATTTGAGCAGATATCTTTACCAAATAAAGAAGAATTTGAATGAAGTAAGAACTGTTAATTGTTGAACCAAGTTGGAGTTCTCACTTCATTCAAATTCTCGTTAATTGGTTGAAAATATTTATTTATGACATTACTTAAAGTGATTACTTCTCTCAACTATAGATACGAGCGAGAGTGCCTAGGTAAGAGGTGTACCTAATTTGACACTGTTCAAGTGCATTGAGAAATTAACTAGATAAGGATATATTAAATATTAATTAGAGCAGCGATTCCCCAAAGGTGATCTCTTAAAAATATGATCAATTTAGGTTCAGAGACCAAATAATTGGGAATCGTTTTAGAGTGTTTACTATAGTTTCTTAACATTTAATGGAACCGTATCTTCGTTATCCATGCAATAATGAAGCTTTAATTCAACATATTACTATATCTGTAGCAAATAATGAGACCAGTCATATAGTAGGTATATGTTTTCTATACCGATCGGTTGGATAATAAGTTTCACGAACAATTCGTTGAACAAACAACTGTATGGTACACACAAGGTCACCTTTGCCAATCCTCAATTGTGATGTCATACAACTATTCAAATTGACCTTCACTGAGGAGTAAGATAGCTCACATATTTGATAATTGGGACATTTGGTGAAAGTGACTTCAAAATTCGAAACACGCAGGATTGATGGGACTTTAGTGTTATTAAGAGGGCGAGTAAACTAAAAATCACTAACAACTCAACCGATTTTCTATAATGCAAAGACTAATAAATTCGCTGTAATTACATCAATTATTTTTATGGGCTGTGTCACATTTAAAATGAGATCCATAAATTACGGCCGGGGGGGGGGGGGGTCAGGGGTCAATGAACTGTGATATTAGAACAATATTTAGTAGAATTTGTATAGACAAACATGTGACAGGAAGGGGGGTTAAAAAATCGCGTGTGTGGGAATTTTGTGTGACATAATTTATGGACAGCCCCTTATCTCATTGAATAAAATCATGAAGTTACCCTGATTATAGCTTTATTTAGTAATAGAGAATGTAAGACAAGATGAAGATACAAGACACGTGGTTAAGGAGGAGATAATACAGCACTTTTAAATTAAATTATTGTCATAGTTTGCAAGTCATTAATTACCCAGAAGAGACAAAAAGCCCAGGTAGATCACTCTTTTTAAAAACTCTTTTTAAACTGTTAAAAAGCACTTTTAATATTTACATTGCTTACTTTAGCCTTAGCTTAGCCTGCTCAGTGGTGGCACTAGTGGCAGGAATAGTAAGTAACATTTTCCCAGGGTAAAAGTTACTATGAATGAAATAGGAACTTGATTGAAAATTTACATATTTTATATTTACCAATGTGAAGTAAGAGATGCTTGGGACTTCTTCAGGTTTGTCTTCAGTATCTCCATTTCTGTAACGAATATTTCATTTATCAGTATTTATAAAGCAGCATAGCAAAATTATTATCAATCAATTCTAATCTATAAATAACTTTGATAGAGAATGGTGAACATATCTTCATTAATAATAACAGTATTGTTCATGTAATTGAAATAGCATCTAGATTCATTGTTACAGCCGGCACAATTTTATTGACAGAAGATAATGGCAATGTCTTTGTGGAAATTTGTCATAAGGTCTAATAGAAATAAGGGTAATTTACAATTTTTATTATACTAGTTTTTTTATTATAATCAGTTAAACTGTTTGAGCTTTTTCATTACAAATCGTTTTATTACATTGTTTGGTTTCAACATTCATTTGTTATATTACACATATTGTTCATTAATTGAATGATATGAGAACAATTAGTTTTAAGGTTAATTTCATACTAAATAAATTGTAGGCAAAATAATGGAGAACCGTTTTTTGCAAAATAATTATCAAAAATCTTACTGTGTATCAATTCTCTTCCAAGATTTTGATAATATTACAAGATATTTTTTACAAAAAGTGCTAATATATTCAAGATCTTCAAGTCATTTGGTAAAGACAATCAAGATATAAAAGGTACTTATAAACATACTAGTAACACAGATATGCCATAGTTCGTATACTATAATGCTTAATACTGTTTATCAGATATCAATTTTTATCAATATCATAGTTGGTATAAGCAGAAAGTATCTGCCTATGTACTATAAGTTTTATTTATCTAACGAGTTTCATTTTTAAATTTATAATATATTCTTATAGTTTTAAGATCTTTCTTAAAATATTGTGACAAACTTTTTATTTACTTTTAAACTAAATATTAAACGGTTGTATAGCAATTGTAATACTATTTTAATTGAGTTTCAAATAAATTAAGTACTTACTCGTCACTTTCTTTACTACATTTTCCCCACAATTTCCTTTTTCTTGATCTTTGTTCTACTTTTGGAAATTTGTATATTGCTGCGATTTTTAAATCATTTTTGTTATTTATTGTATCTGAGGCAACTTTATTATAACAAAATGAAGGAGAACTAGGCATCGTATTATTTTAATAGCTATTAGGTTTTTATGATTTACTTTATTTGGTAAAACTACAATCTATGAACGAAATGCTTTTTCGTAATTCCGCGAAAAGTAAACTAACCACAGATTAAGATGTGAAATGGTGAGGCACTATCACTATGACACTTGACAATGACGAGGATAGGTTTGTCGAAAATATATCGATATATTATCTTTTAGATGCATCGATATTTTCTTAGAGATTTATATCATACTAAATATGCATTTCATTTTTATTATTTTTTATTAAGTATACCTTTGAAACACGTTGGTCGAGTCTGTATAGGCTATGGTAAAAATAAATGATTTATTTATTACTGCCTGTGAGTGAGAATAGACGATGATTGTATGGGCGCAGTTCTTCGCATTTCCCAAATAGATTATATTGGCATACAAATTTCTTTGATAGAGTGGTTTGTTCTTTTAAATTGGATATGTGTTGTTATGAATATTTTATTACGGAATATCAAGATTGATATTTTTATACTTATTTTTCATTTAACATTCTTAGATAAGGATAAAACTTCTTTCTGTTCATATACATTGTTATTAGGATAATGAAATTTAATATCATCAATTAAAGTGTACTTTTCATTGTTCCTTTTAGAGAAGCTTATATAAGTCAGTTTATAGTTACATTAATGTAGTTATTATTAAGTTATTACAAAAAGATTGCGCAATTGATATCGCTTATCGATTTTCCGAATAGAAAATCGAAAGTAGATACGATTTGTGACGGATTTGCCACATTGCGTAATCTCATGAGTAAACAAACACTTGCGATTCTTTTTTCATATTGTAAGGATGCGATATCGTTCATCAATCAGTTTTCAACACTCAATAAACAACTCATATTTTATTTGTACTTTTACGTATTTATATTGATATCTTAGTTTCGAACTTTTAATTTCAGTTTTTTAATATGTTAATTAAAAGGAACGGAAATGAATGTCTTTGGTCCCTTCGTATCCTGCAAAAATCAATTTTTGCTAGAGTCGTCATCTAGTGGAGGTGCTTTTTTAGTGCTTTCGTTTTCTTTTAAAATATTTCCTCGTTGCCACAGTAGTAAAAAAACTAAACAAACTTGATATCTTACTCGGCTGTTTTTTAATATATAGTCCATGGTAAAACCACAGTGTTAACACGTAGCATTTTATTAGTAGTCTGTGGTAAAACTATTTAGGAAAAGCGCGGGAAACATTCAAAGTAAAAACTATAAAACTGAAATTTAGACAGAGAAAATTTTTCATCTTTCATTCATTTCATTTTCATTTTACATGTAAAAATTAATTTATTTACTTGACATTGGCAGAATTGTGCGAAATGCGCAGATAAAACATTAATTAAAAAAGAAGAAGAAGAAGAGTTTTTGACAAGTTGGAAGGGTCATTTAAGGGTCATGTATTTTATTTATTTGTAACTTTGAATGTATAAAATCATAAGACAATATTTTTTTTACTTATACTAACACTTATACTATATAATATAAATAAAAGCATGTTTGTCTCCCTCATATTAGACAACGACAGAATATGTGCGAACAACAGAATGAACGAAAAATGGGTAATCGATACTGTATTGCTAGCTGTCGAAAATGATACCCCTTATCATAAACGAATAAATGAATAAACGAGTAATGTAGATATATGTATAAAATCAATTAGTAAAATAATTTCTTTAATATACCTATCCAAAATCGACAAAATAATCGTCCATTGTCTTTTATCATTTCGCCCTTTTTATCATTTATATTAGAAGACCTAGAAATAATACTAGTTTGAATTATAGGCGCATAAACGTATACAAATTTTCGATTTTGTTTCAGTATTACTTGAATATTGATTACTTTTTATAATCTCACTCCATTTTAATATCACAAAATATTAATTTTGTATTGTGTTGGCGCAAAATAGAAAATACTATGAAATCTTATAAAAATGAAATTCGATATTCAAAAGTAATATTTTGTTTATTTACAATACTAACAGTATTTATCGCAAGACTAAGTACTATTATCGAAATGTCAATAAGGCATAGCGCCGCGTGTTATAATCTACTTTTCGCTTTGTTTTGATTGCGAATAATAAATTATGATCGCCAATAAAATTATAAGTGTTTTGTGCATATGCGCTTATGTACGCTATAATAACCAACTTTTTCATTTAACGATACCAAGTCAAGTTTATACACACTAGCTTTCTAATAGCGGCTTCACCCGCGTGGTCTCTACAGAACTGTTTAGTGGGATAAAAAGTGGATAGTAATTTATTTGGATAAGGTTTCATATAATCATGATATAGATATAATTACTATGACAAATTGAATAGTAATATATATAGGGTTAAAATATAGTCTGTGTCTACTGCATATGATGTAGCTTCCAGTAGGTAAAAGAATTTTAAAAATCCGCCTATTATTTTTAGAGCTTGTTCGATGCTAACAAAGAAACAATCAGATTTGATTGTTTGTTGTTTATCTCTTTATAATATTAGTATAGAAAACCTTATTTTCCTATGATCAACTTAGATTAGAAGTTTCCATTTTATCTTACATAAATTATTATTGGTCTGATAATTTATTGATACCTACTTATTAGCTCCAAAGCTAAACTATAGAACACGAAGACTAGGCATAGGTACGTCAGGAAGATAAATAAATATAAATATATAACAACATCACATACATTGCTCAGATTCCAAGACGAGTAGCTAAAGCCCCCGTATTATGGAGTATCTGAGACAACAAAGGTACCACCTTCGTTGCCTCTTACCCAGACCCGAGACAAAATAGAATTTTCTACATTGACCCGACCGGTAATCGAACCCGGGACCTCAGAGATGGCGACACCTTGACCGACGTGCGAACCATTCAACTCGTCTACGAAGGTCGTCAAAGATCATGATTCATAGTTACACAATAACGTAATTTTATCGTCTTCTGATAACTAATATTGGTATTTTATTGCACATATAATTTAAAAACAAAATTTATATTATCTGGAGACATATCTAGCTGATAATGATGAAATTTATAATTGTTATGAACAATTTATGTTACCTTTTAGTTATTCGGAAAATCTTGTTCATTAGTTCCAAGTTGCAGACACTATATTACGCTTATATGCATTCATGCAGTAAATTCAACTACAGGTAGCGATTCCATAAAATTAAAAATATTTTTTTTTGTCTGAAAACTGCTTAGTTATGTTTCATTTCATTTTAAAATTTTGACATGTTTTTCGATGCGTAAATTTGGAATAATCGGCTAAGTTGAAAACACTGCTGATCAAATCCACATATATCATTCTTTATATTCGTTCTTCGCGATCAAAGTACATCTTAAAGTAGTAAAATGAAACGAAAAAGTGCTATAAAATAATTATGATGTCATATCCTATGGTTAGAGTTATAACTAGAGTAGTTAGACGGTCGCTCTGTAGTGTCGTTGACTGCATAGATTTCACTTAAGATCTTGAGCTAAAACTAGCTCTAGCTCTCTAATTTGACATATTTGACACTCCCCTAGTCTGTTCTAAGTGGTCATTAGCGTAAGTTTTTGGACCTCTTAATACTAAATTACTTGCTAACCTTTTGGCCTATAAGGAAAGTTTTACTTTTCATTATAACCTAGCTCCTCTTTATATAGCAATAATTTAATGCAATGATTTCATTTAGAATAATTAATTTGAGTTTAAATGGACTATTAGTAATGTGCTCTTTATTTTTGAGTTATGTACTAAGTAGTCTAATCATAAATTCTGTTACTGGCTGTTTACAAACATTAAAAAAAAACATTAATTTGAATTTCGAACATTAGCTTCTACGATAATACCATAGACTTTTTTCCCGCCAAAGTGTATCAAGATACCGTGTTAGAACAACATCTTATTCAAAAAGCTCAAGCTAAATTTGAATACTGCGCGCGGGTCATAAGGCGCATATTATTCAAATTTAGCTTGAGCAAAATGTTTCAGACTTCCTAAAGGCTGATAATTGGCCTTCGGCTAGTCCGGACTTAAACCTTTTGGACTATTATTTGGTCTATGCTAGAGGACATGGCCTGCTCTAAGCGTCACCCAAATTGAGTCGCTCAAGAAATCTTTGGGGGCAGCAATGACCAAGTTTCCAATGGAAACCGTTCGTAAATCCATTAACGAATGACCCGACCGTTTGAAAGCATGCGTTAAAGCTACAGGTGGACACTTTGAATAACTAGTTTAGTACGTTAACATATCTTTTTCACTCTACATAATCACATAAAACTTTAAAATATATTTTTTTAATTATCGGATTTTTTCTTTGTAACAGAACTTATGGCTAGACTATTATTTAGAAAACTCTCATCATTTACAGAATATAAACCGTGTCGAATAAACTTTAAACTTAATTTTTTATACACCGTCTCTCTTCGCTCTTTATGATTGAATTTCCTACTTATAAGGAATATCAACGAACACGTATCTACAGGTATCTACAGGTTACTTACTATTTATTTGTTACGTTTTATTGTGTTATAATGTTATCACGTCATTATCTTATTATGATTTGTAAACCTATTTACACACTTTTTAAAATAATATTGATTTATTCATTATCTCAATCCTGGAATTTGCTTAAATGACATATCAACATTTTAAACATTTTTTTATTAAAAAGGAATCTGGTTCTCCAAAGTTTCGTTGATCATATCATGAAACACAGTTGCCTGTTTCTGTTAACATCGTGAAATGGACAATACTCAGATATACGTATCGTATACATATGTCTACAACTATATACGTAGTTGTACACTTACTGGGTACGTTTATTAGTCAAATATATTCATTAAACACAATGTTGATAAAGCTTCTATTTATTTTGGAATATCTGAATATTTCATTTATACATAATCTAATTTTTATACACTAAAACCTTACAAAATATTAATAAAGAAAAGTCCATCGAATCCATGATCTTATAAGTAGTAGTTTTTTAAGAAAATCGCCGACATTGATATATACATAATATAAAATCTCCTTGTTTTGGACTCATTCAAATTTGCACAATATTGTTTAAACCTTGCGCTTGTTTAAATATAAACTCTAATTCTATAGGTTAATAATTTGTTATTGTAAATAACTTACGTTTCCTCCGTGTCAAATTTCCCTTTAGAGTGGTCGTTGTCGACAAATCGTTTTTCTTTTGAAGTTCCGTTCAAATCATAAGTTTTGTTCTTCATTGTGTTAAAATTTTATTTCCCACTATTTAACTTCTTTGCACAACACTGTTTTTACCCGATACCTTGGCAAGGTTATGATCGTTTGATCGGTATCCGTGCGACGAAACTATCCATTGATAGGTGTTATCTATAAACTCTGATAAAATTTACTTTATATTTGCTCCAAGCTTCAATGCGTATTTTAATATAGAATATACATGTGTGAATATAGAAAACACATGGGTGTACGAAAATTTAAATCATAGGTATTTGTATATACATTTAAAAAATTCTCTTGAAACACTCTGTATATTGATGAAAACCATATTAAAATCCATCGGATAGTTTAATTTATCTTAGAATCTCGCCTCTTTGTTTATTGCTATGTATATATAGATAGTAGAGTAGATCCCTGAGAAATCGCCTGACGTCACTTGTTTTCAAATGTGATTAGGGTACCTAATGTCATTGTATACCTACTAAGGTATAAGGCCTTCTTGTACTTCCGCTTACATTCTCATAATACCTTATGTAGTTTGTGTTCTTATACGATACGCATACGCACACTTGATTTTATATTTTTTTTTATCACAGATAAAAAGAAATTCAGTTACATTTTTTTGTCATCTAGAGAATATATTAAATACTACTTTTTGTATAATTATGATGAAATATCTATAATAATAATATAAGTCGTAAAATCGATAAAAAATCTATTTAAAATCTTTCCCATTTTTTCTATTGAGCCAATTATTGAAAGAATTCATTCCATTGAAAGAAGTCCATTTTTGAACAAAAATTTTGCTAATGCGTCTAGTTATGTGATATGTCTAAAATATAGCTTATTTTTAACTTATTTTGTATCGTGAAAGTAATGAAGATTTTAGATTTTTTGAAATATTATCAAAAAGTTATACCTTTCATCATAAGTTTCAAAAGTACACATTTACAATTACTTATTAATTTATTTTTTCATTTACGAGTCGAACTATAAAAATCTTTTAATTTAATGCATTTTTTTTAAAGTATCTTCACAATTACCTCGATTTTTGACAGCTGTTATAAACTAATAACATTAATGACAAATTACGATTCTCCTTGACCTCCAAATGAAAAGATGTTTAGATATTATTAATTTTAAGCAAAAACTAATTTAATTTTTCACTAATGGTAGGTAGGGGCGACGTGGAGGTGACCTTTAAAATACATTGACAGATCAATCAATTTATGGGAAGTGGACATGATTCTCATTGTTCTTAATATTTAATTTTCATAGAATGAATTTTATTTCGCAAATAGTAGCATTGCCTTAAAATTTTGTACCAATCGTATGCCTATCTGCTTAGAATAGTTAGGATAGGATTGGACAAAGTAATCCTGATTGGTCTGCTTACAGTTGATCTATTAGCCCGGCAGAACACCCACTTCATTTTGACGGACCCTCACATGAAGCAGAAATATCAATCTAGGCTTAGTTACACCGTAGATATACTGGTCATAATACGTCTTGGCAGTGGCAGACTAACCTAATCGGAGGCCCGGGGCTCCAATAGGCCTGGATCGAAAAATCGAAAACTTTATCCAACCAGGGCAGAAACTTGATATTGCGTTTACATCGCCCTACTAATATTTATAAAGAGAAAAGATTTGACTGTTTGTCTGTTTATTTCGAATTGGTTCTGAGACTACTGAACCGAATTAAGAAAAATATTTCACTTACGCGATGCTACTCTTAATGATTTACCGTAACAGACTCAATTTTAAAATGCAATGATTATATATTTTTTTTTCTGTAACAATATGATAAAAAAGTATCACATAAAAACTACTAATATAAATACGAGTAGATTATTTTTGTGTCACATGTTATTTTATCGCTATCGTTATTATTAATGACCTCGATGAATGAATCATTAACTTATACATCAATTAACTCTGTCTGTCTTTCTTAGTTTTCTTTAATTTCTCAACAAAAATTGTACCTAATATTATTTTTTGATTAATAATGATGATGACTTATTTTTAATTGTTTGTTTGTCAGGTAAAATCATCATCACTATATCAGTCGTTCGATGCCCACTGCTGGGCATAGGCCTCCCTCCATAGTTTTTCAGGACTATCGCTCATGCCCGGTTATACTATGGTCCTGCTACCCCCATCCAGCGGTTTCCCGCGACCTTTATTAGATCGTAGGTCCACCTGGTCGGGAGCCTGCCCACCGAGCACATACTATATAAATAAAATAGTAAAAGCATTAAAAAACTATAGAAATATAATGTCGGCTAGAGTTATAGATAACTCTCTCTATAACTCTACCCGACATTATAATTATAATCTACAATTTTTACCGATCAAATATTAAATAATTCTCAATCAAAGTTGATATTTTTTTATGTAGATTCATATAGTCACGCAATTATTTGAATTGTTCTAATTTTACAAATAAAGACATTATTGAACCTGAAATTAAAATATTTGATTTGTATTTGTACTAGGTATACAAGTATTACCCCCAGAGTAACCATTACCCGAGCAAACAGATATAGATTTTACTAAGCAACTGAAGTATCTTCGACGTATTGACATTAAACTCGGATACGTACAAAGTAATCATTCGTATAATTATAGCAATTCCATTTGATCTCCGTATCCACACACACAAATGCTTTAATATTTGATTAAATAAATAATAAATATACTTTAAAAGAATATTAACATTTTCATTGATAAAATCATCAAAATGTTTTATAGCTATAGCTAGAGTTAGCGTTGGATCCAAGCGGATAAAGCCGGACATAGGTAGGCTTTTTGATTGTGTATCCGGCCAAAATAAATGGTGACCGGCTTGTCTGACTTTTGTTAAGCTTTTTACACTTCAAAAACAATCGAGCGCTGAGCGTGGCCGAACGCAGGCGAGTCGACAGATTTATAAGAATAATCAAAAAAAAGCTTGATTTTACATTTTTTTTATCGTACCTATTAATACTAAGACACAAAATCCTCAATAATTTAGGGCGTCTGGCCTTTCTACCCAAATGTCCGGCAAAACTGGCTGATATGACCGGCTTTTTAAGTTTGGCGACCTGGCAACCCTACCTAGAGTTATAAGTAAAGACGTTTAAAATCGCATTATATACCTATTTAGCGTTTCATCATAAAGAAGTATAGTTGCTACGCGTAACGTGGTCACGTAGCCTACGAATTAAATGCGTAGCCGCTACGTATTCAGTACATCCGAATAAATAAAGGTCATTCTTATAAAAATCATCATAAACCTCTAATTACTTGAGTATTGGGTTCAAAATCGATTGCAGGAGCTTCACATTTTATGATAACCTCTATGTGGCTGAGTAATTATTTCATAGTATAATTTGTAGTAACAAATTATGACGCACTCGTTTCTTGAAAAAGCTCTCTAGTTTCGATATTTCAAATGTCAGCTTCATTATAGTGATGAATGATGAAATTGAATTACACTGTATTGTTATTAGATGTACTCATTCTATTTTTTTTTTGGAAGATTAATTGAATAAGTAAGAGTGGTTCAATACGTATAGGTTTTAAAATATGTAAAATAATGGCCAATCTTTTCCGCGCGTCTCGTCATGGCCTAGTTTACCCAGTCACTAATTCAACATTGTAACATTGCGTGCTGCTTTCTATATTTAGATTAGTTTTGGAAATCGGAAGTATGTTTGCTATCCCTTTCTGTACGAACCTACATATTCATTTAGCTTCTTTTATGTGATCTGTTAATGCAAAGAAAAAACGTAGGAATATATATATTATATTTAATAAATTATGCATTAATAATGCTATGCTGGTAAATATTTTTAATGAAAAATACATCTCTCTCTCTCGGGGTATCTTGGAACTGGTGGATTTTTTAAGTATTTTTCATTAGAATAGGAATACGTCACACGCATAGTATAAAAAACAAAGTCGCTTTTTTGTTTGTCCCTTTGTATGTCACTTTATGTGCTTAAATCTTTAAAACTACGCAACGATTACGATTTTGATGAGGGTTTATTTAATAGGTAAAAAGATACATCAAGAAGGTATAATAACATGCAATATATAGTAGAGAAATACTGTTATTTTTGAGGTTTTCAATGTGATTTAAATAATTTCATTCATGCTGAACTCTACGAGATATATCAAAATAATAATGTATGTAATGTAGTATTGTATACCTTGAAAAGGTCTAAAGGAAACTCCGCGATGGTATATGCCCGTTTCTTAGGAATAACCCATAATAACAATTTTTTTGTCATTTACTTTTTACGAGAAATAATGACTAATTTTCGAAGCGATTTTAAGCAATACAGCATTAATCCTTATCCAATAAGGTATCTTAAATACATTGTTAATTTAATATACATCAATATGGCCCCCTACAGCATGTAATATTTTTGAAGATTATTACAGATTTAAAATATAGGTTGTGGTGGTACCGGCCGGCCGGGGCCGTGCTCTTCGCCTTCAAGGACTTAGCTGTATTTTTCACTCGATAAGCTGAGCCTGTTCAGAGTTAATGGCTAACATCTCGATGTCATATTCCACCAAATGTCCAAGGCGGTGCGTGGTTAGTCAGGAGGAGTCTGACATAACAGGCTGTGTGGTATCCAATGAAGGATTCACCGCCTCTTTCCCCCGTTGGAATGGTGGTTAGAAACCCCGTTGAGAGCCGAACAAAAAATAACAATCAATACATACTCATAGTATAAAACAAAGTCGCTTTCCACTATCTGTCCTTATGTATGCTTAGATCTTTAAAACTTCGTACCGAATTTGATGCGGTTTTTTATATAGTTAGATTAGTTATTTTTTTATAGACAGATAAATTTAATAATAGATTTTTATGTATAATACTGGCCCACGCTAGCGGACAGCTAGTACCCTAGCAACACACATATCAAATAAGAGCAAAATGAACTCACAATAAGAAGTTTCTGGCTCCACAAAACTTCTATAACTGCTGACGTGATAGCATTATATCGGTTAAAAGAGTTTTTAGGCCT